GCATTAAGTTGTCTAGGGATATGCTTGGATTTGACCAATATGTCATCATCACTTTCTGACATTTAAACTTTTTGAATGCTATGATCAAAGCAATAGGTTATATGATTTTCCAACAAATCCTGCCTCATAACCCCAGAAGACAACGTCTGCATTTAAATGTTGTATGCCCGTATTTTGTCCTATCCCCCATGAGACGACTAAAATTCCTTATCAAACTGAAATGCCTTTTGTCTCCCTCACTAAGCAATAATAAATCTACCTTTGATTTAAAATGGAGTTTACTGATATGCAATGGGAACACCCCTTCTTCTTTTTCATAACCAAATATGTTAATAGAAATTTGATTTTGATTTTCGAATTTGTGAATTTGTGATAGAGGTACTGGCATATCAATGCCATTGAGATAAAGTTCATTTTCATACTGCTGATAATGGCTCACTCTGTTGGCATGATCAGTTGGATGTTAAGCAGCCAAAGTGGACCAAATAAAGCATTTTTGAACCTGGTTTTGTATTTTCAATATGGCCTTTTTATTCGTGAGATATTTGGGAAGAGGAAAGTAACTTCTCCCTGACAAGGGGGTATATTCAGCTGTGTTGACTTCTATATGGATAATATGATTTAACATCCATCCACTCCCCGCGGCCTGAAACTCTTGGGAGTCTTTATAAAATTTCTGAAAAGCTTCAGCTAAAAGTGATTCAATTTCATTAAAATTGTGGGTCCAGAAATGTGTTGTTCGGGGGATGGGTTCTGACAAATTGCTTTCATTGTGTTCATTATATTTGATGTATTTAATTTTCAAGGTCAGAAACCATTTCATATCTAGTTTTTGCTTTGAGAAATTCATGTTACAAAGTCTCTATGTTGAATTGTTCATTCGCCACAAACTTAAGAATGTCAAGGCTGTCTGTTTCACGGGGAGTCAGTGTTGTAGTCCTTAGTGTCCCTTCCAGCGCCGACCCACGAACCTGGTTAAGTCGCCTCTCCTTATATCTCTCCCGTCGGCTAGGCAGCTATCACACTGATCCACACGTCGAGAGTAGAATCTCTCGGGCAGTGGGCGATGGCATTGTCTTCATTCTCGTCCCTTTGTGGAACATGGCTCACAATAAACACCGAACATGACCACAAACGTTGCATGTATCGTAACGGGCTGTCGGATAATTGTAATTTGTTGAGAGTGTCTGTAAACAAGGCCGTTTACTTGCAGGATCGGTATTAGGTGTCTGGCTGGGTCTCTTCAGGCTCGGTTGACAACTGTGGCTTTTGTATTTATCCATGCGTGCATAAGACTTGCCACATTGATTACACTCATACCTCTGGCTGTTCTTATATGTCGGAGAAGATTGTGATTCTGTGTCAACACGTTGTTACATAGTTTGCAAGCATACGTTTTTGTTGTTGATACCGACATGGTTAGCTAGTAACGCAATTCTTTTTAGATTTACATCTCGTACAGTTGTGACTCATGTCCCATGGCTCCAAGTCTGAGAGGGATTTCACATTGTTGCGAAAATTCTGTTTCTCTTCCATCCTACAAGTAATGAAATTAAAACTTTTCATTTTCTCTTAATAATATCCTCATGATATGTAGCGAAATCTTATCATTGTTTCTTTAAAATTGTTTTCTTTATGTTTAAAGTCATTAGGCACTATATTTATTCTTCCCCGCCCTTAAGGCGGGGAAGTATACGGGAAACGTTAAATTTGTGGCATGTATGTCGACATGTTGGTTTATTTGAAATTTCAAGCCACGCATTTACGGAAACAAAACATACAAATCATGTGCGTCGAATGTTGATGCTATTCTTTTCCAGCAATAAGAGATACTTCAAAATCGTCTTTATGTAGTTAATTGATGCATCTGACCGTTTCTGGTCATTAGCTGACATTATTAAACCATTCATGTGTAATCCGATGTCGTTTTTTTCCTCAAGCACTAATTTTCTGATTGTCACGGTGCATACAAAAGAAGAACTGTGCACCGGAGATCGTAAATAACAGCATAATAAAAATTATGTTCTGAATATGCTTATTCATGAACAACGACGACATCTCAATTTAAATGTAATATGGCTGAATTCCATATTCTACATACCACACTTTTGATTGTTTGGATGCTCATGTTCACTGGAAATATTTGGAATAGTTATATTCCGTATTTTGAATTAACCCAGTGCCCCGTGTGTTTTTTTTAATCAGTGCACCGCACATAACCACATGTGAAACGTTTGGTAGCAAAGTCAAAGCAAAATCGGAGTAGTGTGTCAGCGAATTTGCATCAAGGCTGTAGTATTTTTCAACCGTTTAATGGAATTCAATGTACAGCCGTAGCTCTGGTCACTCATATATTTTGTGTCCCATAGCTCAAATCTATTTGCATCTGTACCGTGTTTCACTGACCTCGATAATCTGTTGGATGAAGGCACAGCTCTCTACAGCCACAAAGTTAACACCGAAGGCTATGAGGAGTATTTAGGTCATAATCAGTTCCCAGCAGCCACTGCCTCAAGCGATATTGTCTACATAACAGATCAGTTTTATGGCTCCGTCACAGGTGCTCCAAATATTGAAGCAGGGAAAACAAATTTCATAGAATCATTTCAAAAAGCAATATTGATATCCCCGTCACTTTTGGTAACTTTTAATGATGTCTCCATTGCAGTTTTTAAGGATTTCGATTCGTATGCATTATTTGACTGTCATCAGCGGAATGGTCTTGGTCAGATTGATCCGAATGGACAAGCAGTTTTACTTCTGTTTAGTAGTATGGATTAATTGTCATGTTACATCTTAACAGTATATATATCAGGCGACTATGCTTGTCTTAAGAGGCGTCGATCCCAATTGCGTGGATCGATGCTCATGATATTACAGGCACTGGATTGTCTGGTCCAGACTCGATTATTTACAGAACGCCGTCATATAGCTGGGATATTACTGAGTGCGGCGTTAAACGACAAACCAATCAATCATCATCATATGAACTCAACCCAGTCATTGTTACAAGTAAACCACATTCCACAACAGTTACTGACACTGGATAAAAAACAGTATATAGAAAAAAACCAAGTAACTCAACTCATCATGATCACAATTACCATTCTTTGAAAGAAAGAAATACACACAAAAACTGACCAAAAAACGTAAAACAAGAGACGAGAAATCTCCGTTATTGATTAGTCCCGGTATAGAAATGTTCTCCAACTACGTGATAATATTTTGAGTATGTGCATCTGTGGTTGTGACAAAAAGACCTTATTTAGTATGACTTTTTTTTGCCATATGGAGCCCTTAGTATTTTCATTTACATTATTATAACCAAAAGCCAAGTGTAAAAAGAATGTGACCTATTATTTGAGTATGTGCATCTGCCAATGTTGTTCGCAGTTTTGATACTATTTCCACATGTTTACATTTGTGCCAGAAATTGCTTCGATTTCCTTCAATCTACTTTTTAAATAAAGACCCAGGTAAGAATAGGTCTTCAGCAACCTATGCTTGCCGTAAGAGGCGACGAACAGGATTGGGTAGTCAGGCTCGCCGAATTGGTCGATGCATAACATCATATTCCAATTGCGTATTTCGATGCTCTTGGTGTCAATCACTGGATGATCTGGTCCAGACTGGATTATTTACAGACCTCCGTCATATGGCTGGAATAATGCTGAGTGCGGCGTTAAACAAGAAACTATTTTTAAATAGACCTACCCTATGCAAATGTATCAACTGTATTGCCCAATACTCAAAATAAATAATATTTTTTTCCACAACAGCGTTGTGTTATTTGTGGTTAATATAATTATGCTCCATCATGCCTTTTAGTAACATCATAATTATGCGTTTGTGAGGCATCACATATGGCGGGGAACTTTGATGCTCTGCATCAATGTTTTCCTGTATACTATAACATTGAGTTAGTGAAAGAAATATTTTATTTCTTAATATTTATACAACTTTCAACTATTACCTTAAGTCGTGAGATAATCTGTACTTGAAAAGATTCACAGACGACTTTCAAACACTTCAACTCTCTCCGAGGGTCGCGCGCTGACTGATAGGAGACACTGTGTTCCAATGCTATTAGCGATGTGTACATTTATTGTGAACAACAATTATACTCAAACACGTCCGCTCTGCTTAACCATCGCTGCTTGACTGATAGGGGGCATGGGTGGCCCAGTCGTCTGAGGCGCCGCGATTCACTGTGCAGAGTTGCGTCCCTTGGGTACGCCAGAAACTTATGATTGCGGGTTTGAATCCCGGTTCGCCGTGCTCGCTGGTTTCACCGAAGTGGTTAACGTCTTAGACCTGCATCACTTCAGGCTTTCCTCCCACATTAAGATGACAGGCCTCGATATAACTGGAATACTGTTAAAAGCGGCGTTAAACCCAACTCACTCCCTCACTCCTTGACTGGTAGCATAATGATAAGCTGTCTATCTTTATTACATTCAATAAGAAGAGTTCACTTCCCCGTTCAATACACGCTCCCTTTGAAAAACGCTACCTTGCCTATGAAGGTAAAGAAAGGGGTTTACAGGTTACTGAACAGTATACGATCTAAATCATACCTAACGCTGCTACGAATAAAAGTCCCCTCTACAATGAAACCCATCCAACAAGTCTATACAGGTGAATAAACATGTTTCAACATGTTCAGCTGAGACATTGCGTTGGTATGCAGTCCAGCGTAATAAGGTGACCTAGTTATTATAGACATTGTGTTAACAGCGATAGGCTTGCTAACATTGCTGCGACCTGTCGATGTCTCGCTAGCCGACCTGATAGCAAAGTGACACAGTACAAAATGTCCTGCTTGACTTAAGCTGTATTATTGATGTATATCTAAAACCCCGCCAACCTCGTTAAGTAGTCCTTTTATTTGATACAATTAAGGTGTAACCTTGAAAAAATTGCTCCCTTTCTCATATTTTTGAAAAGTATAGAACTGTAGAGTTATTTCTACTTCATGTTGTATGTAGAGAGCGTAGCGTCACTGACCTATTTTTAGCGAGGGGATTCCCCTATATTGCACCACGCCTTGAAATGCCTTGTTTTACAAATCACCCAGCTTTTGGTCTAGAATCGGTGTTTCATACTCATCAGACATCCGGTTGGTGGAGGTCGACGGTCACCTTCCTGTGGTGCTTGTTCCTGTGGGCCAGATTGACCTTCAGGAGGGGGAGGACATCCGGTTGGTGGAGGAGGACGATGATCTTCCTGTGGTGCTTGTTCCTGTGGGCCAGATTGACCTTCAGGTGGGGGAGGACATCCGGTTGGTGGAGGAGGACGATGATCTTCCTGTGGTGCTTGTTCCTGTGGGCCAGATTGACCTTCAGGAGGGGGAGGACATCCGGTTGGTGGAGGAGGACGATGATCTTCCTGTGGTGCTTGTTCCTGTGGGCCAGATTGACCTTCAGGTGGGGGAGGGCATCCGGTTGGAGGAGGTAGGCGGTCACCTACTTGTCGTGCTTGTCTGCGCGGTCGGGATTCACCTTGTGAAGGGGGATGACATCCGGTTGGTGGAGGCGGGCGGTCACTTTCCGGTTGTGCTTTAGACCAACATGTGGCAACAAAGGAGAGCGCGAGTAGTATCAGGAATGTCTTCATGGTGATAGTGATGCACATGTCTCGGGACAGCACAGCTTTTATACACTTCGAGTTCAAGTCAGATGGCACATCATTACCTCGGAGTAATTATTACATTACGGTGTTGCGTGACTCTTTGTATTGTCAGTAGCTCGGATGGTCATGTTCGGTGACTTGGTTATATGTCACTGTACTCTGACTATGCTAGTAATATCAATCACTGGATTGCCTGATCAAGACTCGAATATTTACAGACCGCCCGCATATAACTGGAATATAGCTAGCTGTTGGTTTGTTTGAACTTGTCACGATTATTTCAGGGCGGCCGTCAGATAGCTGGAACACTATAAGTTGTCAACCGATCGAGGGGTATATGGTGTGATCTACCCTGTGTGTCAGGCGAGGGGTACATAGGCTCACACACAGGGTACAACACAACATATGTCCCGAGGGATCGATTGACATCATTTTATCTCACCGAAATTCATTCTTACAGTCCCGGAATATATGAAAGAAGTTTCAATCAGTAAAACGACGATGCAAACGAACCGAGTTACTTCCTTTACCCAAAGCATTAGAATAAAAATAAACATCAGTTCATTTCAGCTTATAGATATTTATGCGAGTTACCTTAGGTGTGCTCCGATTGATTTCTCAGCGGGGACCATGAGCGGGCTACATGGAAAATAATTTCCCGCTCCGTAATAACGTTTGAATATTTGCTACTACCACCAAGATCTGCACCGAGCGCGGCTCCATTTAGACTCACGTCACGAGTTTCACCGCCAGTTCAACCTGGTGAATATCACAGGCTTGTTTGGTCCAGATGCCACTGGTGTAACAATCATCGAGTTTATACATTCTCTCATTTCAGTGACACGTTGAATTATCAGTATTACCTATATCTCTTAGAGAAGCGTGTAGTGCGTGTCTGTATATCAAGTTGTTTTGATGGCATTCGTACTGTATGGAGGACAATCAAAACGTTTTGCCATCAGTCTTTCTATTCCTATTCCTGGATCATATTTCAGACAGTTTATGCAGACAACTTATTCCAAATATCTGCAAACTGGAGAGTGAGTGCATGAGTGAAAGTTGTTTGAGGCCGCAGTCTACCATATCCATCTCTATAGCAATAACCTGTAAGTAATCCAGTCACACGAGTGTTGAGAGCACCAGCGCCGATCTACGTCGTCGGGAAATATAACATGTGATCAGATCACAAACCACCCGATCCTCATAACTGGACCCTACCGTACACTACCGTTCTACCATGTGGTTCATCAGTTCAATGTGTCACTACTGCGTTGGAAACATCTGCCAATGTGTGCGCTGTGATTTCCAGCACTATTCTAGATTTCTATACAAAAAAATGCTTTTACCTGCCTTAAAAAGATACTTCAAATTAGATAAACCCCTTTTCATCGAAAGTGTGTCGAACACAAAAACTGGTAGACAAGATGGAAAAGTCATAAACTTGACTCTCATGATCACCATGAAGACTTTCCTGAATTTTGTATACCTTTGAACTGTAAAGAATGTTATTGCTTTTCCTGTTATGGAGAGACGGGGTATCATAGCATCTTTCCCTTTTGAAAGGGAAAGACCGTTTTGATTTTTTGGGATTTAAATGATATACATTCTTTCCTAAATTAGGGCCAATCAGCCTTTGCATAGTCCATTGTGGATTAAAGATTTAGCTGTTCCTCTAATTGGGGTGGACTACCTATGTAGGTAAGTGTAGGAAGGTGGTCGCTTCCCCAAGTGTCATCATGGACTTGACATTGCCAATGTGAGGCGTGATTCTTCTGATCATATGTCTTATATAATATTGATACTAATTTCAGAAAAAAACAACTCCAAAGAATTTAGGTGTGAGACTAACAGATCTACTCAGTAAACATATCAGTGACAAGAAAGTGTGAAACAGTAACATATGAAGTACATACACTTTAAAGGGATAACAGTTTACTTTTAAATGGCGTACTCACTTGCGAAAACAAACTGGTTATGTTAAGTCTATTAAACTCACTTGTAAAAACAAGCAGTAAGCACAATCTAGCAAACTTCTGTGAAAACAAACATATTTACTGTTTTACCAAGCCGTTTAAAACTTCAAAGAGATTGCAAGTCCCTGGGTCATATCATAATGAGTAAATGGGTGTGTGGCATTTAAAAAATATTCCACTGTCTGACAAATGGGAGGACCCCCTTTCCTGACATGTGTAGGTCACAATCACAACATAAGAGAAAGCTCACCAACAGTATCCAAGGCTAAGGATTATGCAATATAGATCTCAATTAATATTTTGCTGTACTTTGTTTAAAGTAGTGATAGAAGTTCTGTGTTGGCCACCTTCTTGACTGCCGTTTGATGTTAGAGTCACTTTCAAAGAACGTAAATATGTCAATTTTGAGGTAATTTTTTACCGTACAGGGTTAACCGAGTTTTAAATGTGGAAATATAGACTGATGCTGTAAATCCTACAGCACTCATTCACAGACTTCTAAAGTGCAGAAGTGACAGAAAGTCTAGATGATTAATCATGACAAATGAGGGTATTCCCAACATTATGGCCCCTCTGAGGTAGGGTCAGCTAATGAGGATCGGTGCTTTATCACCTGACTAAGTATGTTATATTGTTGTCCATGTGCTCAATATACTTGTGATACTATATTCTGGACAGAGTTATCGACTGTACGTCCTTGCCAATTAGCCGATTGCCAGCAACGCTAACTGTACAATACCTTAAGGCAAGTGTTCCTCCGCTCAACTCACATATGTTTGAGCTGGAAAACCGCTTATTGTTGTGTTTGTGATGTCAGAGCAGGTAATCCACTCATTGTGTATTTGTTGTTTGACTATTTATATGCATTGTACTAAATTGTCTGGAACCGCGATGCCAATGTTGCCCTTCATTTCTCTCAGAGCTACCTCCCCAGAGACAGCACGTGTCAGTTGTGAACCAAGACATTTCTTCAGATTTGAGTGTCCGAGTGGATGAACACTTGCAACAGTATTCAAACTATCTCATGGCAAGCCTCAAAACAGCTAGCCAGAGACAGACAGACAACAACTGAACGAAGCATGAGAAACGTCCTACGATGACACTCAATCAAATCAGCCAAGTCATCAAGACATTCACGAGATTGGACCAGCGGAGGAACATTATTTAACTTAATCGCCTTCTTGGAAGTTCTGGGCAGCTCTACTGACTCAGGCGTCCATGTCATGCAAGCCATTGGGAAGGAAAACGTCGAGCTATGTTCGAACTGTCTCATTTCGGCCTTGATACAAGCGTGTCACCGACAGACAAACAGCTGAAAACACGAGCAACACCACACGCCATCGGGGTACGTTGACAAGCGATCAACCAAGCAAGAGAGTTCTGGGGACAATATGTCGCATATTCAGAGTACAAACGAATATGTCCCAACTTAATGAAACAAATTCATAACGAAAGATTTGATTTTTTTTATTGCGATCTATTACGAAGGAGTCATCTGTAAAAGAAAGGCAGATTTACATTACAATACAGTTTTCAACATACATGTAATATATAACATACAGGAATCAGTTTGCAATGCCCTATGTATTGAACATGAAACCACGATCAGATATTACTGCGTGTGACGAAAGCGGCTTCAATAAAAAACAATTATTTGTTTTTATTAGATACAGCTTGAAGGCAAATCTGAAATGTAGCTCGATCAATACCAGTATCTGAACATCCTTATCACTGTAATTTATTACGTGAAGGGGCACGGGTGGCCCAATCGTCTGAGGCACCGCGATTCGCTGTGCAGAGTTGCAGCCCTTGGGCATGCCAGAAACCTATGATTGTGGGTTCGAATCCCGGTTCGCCCCAATTATGTTTCTAGGTTTGTTAGCGCCATACCCGTGCTCGTGGGTTTCACTTGAAGTGGAAAACGTCTGAGACCTGCATTTTTCCTCCTACATTAAGCTGACACGCCGAGATATAACTGGAATACTGTTAAAAGCGGCGTTGAACCCTTACTCACATATACATATCTATATCCTTTGCATTTAAATGTTCTGTAAACTTGAACCCTTACTCATCGACTCACTATTACGTGTACATATTTATATCCATTGCATTTAAATGTTCTGTAAACAGAAAAAGAATCATGCTGTTAAAAATATAAGAAGCTCACCGTGAGTATCGGTTAGTTCCTGCGTTTAGGAGGTGGCCTTCTTCCTCCAGGACCTCTAGCACCTTGCCTTTTACCTTCTGAAGGTGGAGGGCATCCATTTGGTGGAGGTGGGCGGTCACCTTCTTGTGGTGCTTGTCCTTGTGGGCCAGATTGACCTTCAGGTAGGAGAGAACTTCCAGTCGTTGGTGGTGGGCGGTCACCTTCCTGTTGTGCTTGTCTGTGTGGTCGGGATTGTTCTCTACCTTCTGGAGGGGGAGGACATCCGGTTGGTGCAGGAGGACGGTCGCCTTCCTGTGGTGCTTGTTCCTTTGGGCCAGATTGACCTTCAGGTGGGGGAGGGCATCCGGTTGGTGGAGGTGGGTGGTCACCTTCTTGTCGTGCTTGTCTGCGTGGTCGGGATTCACCTTCTGGAGGTGGAGGACATCCGGTTGGTGGTGGTGGGCGGTCACCGTCCTGTTGTGCTTGAGACCAACATGTGGCCACAAAGGAGAGCGCAAGTAGTACCAGGAACGTCTTCATGGTGAATGTGATGCTCATGTCTCGGGGCAGCATTGCTTTTATACACTTCAAGTCCAAGCCAGATGGCACGTCATTAGCTTGCAGTAATTACCAATACGGGTTGCGTGTCTCTTTGCATTGTCATTGAAATATTTTCGGTGATTAAAACGTGAATCTCCAATTTAAGATACATATGATATAACTATCCTCAACAGTACAAAGAGCGAAAGGGATTATGTACATTATATTTTGAATAGGACGATAGAAGGCATCACGGCGTGTACATATCTTATTACACACCATAAGGTGTATCTTTGAGTTAGAAATTAATTAGAAAAATCGTTAAAAATATTGAACACAAATGCTAACAAGTGGGTGCATTTAAAAAAACCAGCTGTTGTAAACTGTTGTATAAACTGTCAGCGAGTGAATATTGTTTAATGCCGCTTTCAGTGATGTTCCAGATAATCAAGCCTCGACCAGACAGCCTGGAAACACGAGGAACGATCCACTATATCGGGCCTGGTGACACACAAGCATTTATCGAGTCTGATTGCCTCTTCCTATTAACTCGGCTCTTTCGACAAGCGTGGGATACAAGATAACTATTTAGGTCTGGATTCCCGCTGGATTCTAAAGTAATGAATTCTTGTGACAAATAGTTGTTGTTGTCCTGGTTTTATGGTAGGCAACAATAATATTCCCAGTCACTGTTTCTTACACACTGAATTTTGTATTTTGAAACTGAAGTAATCTAGATTTGCCAAGTATTATAGACTTGCATCGCCTGTATTGGATATATAGAGGATATTTCACGTGTCGATTGAAATATCATATTTCTTTCGTCGAGTTATCTCCTTTCATCTGTCACGAGATGAGAGAAACATGATATTTCACTCGACATATGGAATATCCTATTTATTATACATTTTCAGTATAGTTGTCTACCGGAAAATTAATTTTTGTCACAACAAATATAAAACCTTGAAACGTAATTTCTCCCTATCTAACACGCAGGGACGTTTCACCACCCCTTGTTATTGCGACGTAAAAAGTAGTTCCGAGTTTGCAAAATCTTAAAACATATCAGCAAAAGTAATACAAAATTACAAAAGATCACTAAAATTATTAATCATACATTTGGATATGATTATATACAAAATCAACCACAAAAACACTATTCTTGAATGCTGGTCAGGTAACAAATAGCGCTTTGGGAAAGGAACAGTCTTGATTGATGAGTTAAATGAGAAATTTACAGTTTATAACGACACATTTTCAAGAGAATAACAAACAGAAAGAGATGATATTAACTTCATAAATGATCATCTGTCATCATTTTGCCTTGTCAATGTGGAACTAACTTAAAAAGGAAGTCAACAGTTTGTGTACGGGCCAACACTTACGATAAAGGGAGACAATTTGCAGGGAAGAAGCTCTTGTATGACAATAGTTCCGTCAAAGTGTTATGGTCACGACAGTGAAATAGCAAATGTAATTTTCACTGCAGTGACATATCAAGTGTTATGTGTTATGAAGATATCACTTTTCTCAACTTAAGAAAACACAGTCCTTCACGCTGAAGTACAGTAAACTACGGTTATAACGACCTCAAAGGGACCACTAATTTTAGTTCGTTATAACCGTAGTTCGTTATAAGCATATATACAGCATAACTACAGCAAATAGTCGGGACCAAAAAGTAAGTTCGTTATAGCCGTCAATTCATTATAAGCGTGTTCGTTATAACCGTAGTTTACTGTATATAATAAATTTGTTTCAGGGTCTGTACGAGATACTTCCTGATCTAAACGACAAGGGGCGGTCGGGTAGCCTTGTGGTTAAAGCGTTTGCTCGTCACGCCGAAGACCCGGGTTCGATTCCCGACATGGGTACAATGTGTGAAGCCCATTTCTGGTATCCCCCGCCGTGATATTGCTGGAATATTGCTAAAAGCGGCGTAAAACCATACTCACTCACTCACTCTAAACGACAAACCTGGTGAATGGGAAGCTATTATCTCCTGGAATCCTAACGGAACTCTTGTGTCATGTGTGTCAAATGCAGTTATTGTAAAAGTCTTCAGCATGTGTTTGTGACGTGTGCCACCGATGGGACGTCCTCATCTTCTTCACGAACGCAGAGTAGCATCACTATTTGATTGTAAACATATGCTTTTAGCAGAGTTTTCTTCTGATAATGACGCACATTAATTATACAACCTGTCACTTCGGTCGGTACTCATCCTGTTTCATCGCATAAAATAAACATAAAGTAAAATTATCACACATAACCCTTGTGTACATCACTGTATGTTTTTGACCGAGCGAGCTACTTGGATGACAGTCCGAGCCCTAGTACCCTCCTCGAAAACGGTGAAGAAAACTCGACAAATATTGTCTTATACATTTTTATCCTTCTCAGTCACTGAGTGCGTATCGGCACCATTATTAGAAGACAAAATCACGTGATGCATGGATCCATTTCACCGATGGAGGCAATATGTAAGCAAGGATTATATCCTACCTAAATACCTGTTTAGTTTCTGATTACACAGCTTTTCATGGAGTCCAGTTAAAATAGGTTCATAGCCTCATTGTGTTAGTTGTAAGAGAATTACTTTTTAAAAAGTCCTTGTCCTTTCAGCCAAGAAAAACATTGCACTCATGTTTGCATAAAACAGATAAAACGGCATATGGATATTCTCGATGTAGGTTGCTGCCAATTTCTCTCTTCTGCCAGCAAGGTTCATTTCATTTGAGATGCAAACAGACCAAAAAAGCATCACTAGGCTGTGTATTTACTTGAAGTCGAATGTCATTAAAGAATTGTCAAAATTGTTCATAACTTTTAATCAGAGAACATAGATATATCAGTTCGTAAATGAAGCCAAAATGTTTCTTCATGTGATCAGTTCTATCTGTCTCTACAGAATTGGAGGAGTCAGTCAGTTTGCGTTATGGGATTTACATCGTAATTCTACATCAACGGTTAAACATGCCCAAAGTCTATACGGCGTTATCTACCTAAAACATTCACTTCCAGATTGGTAAACCTGACATAACTGAACTCAAACTAACCTCACAGAACGAAAATCGGTAAAGACAAGATGGCGGCCAACATGAAATTGCCATTATGTTCACTTTTGTAAAGAAAGAGATGATGTTGCATTTGAGTTAATGAGATGTGTACAGCATACTGTTCTGTTCTCAGCCTAAATTATTGCTGGTAATGTATCCTCAACAATGGCACATTTGGCTTTTAATAAGTATTTCCATTTTGGAAGAAAATATTGATTTTCAATCAAAGTGATGAATGCAGTACTGTCACAGAAGAAATGGCATCTTTCGCTATTTGTCTCTTAAGATAAGATCTTTATCACAAAAGTAATCAACTTTTCATGTTCCAGTCACATTTCAATTTCAATCAACAAAACTATTTCGATGACAATAGAACGAAACAAAGAGAATAAATAGTAATTCCTGCGAGTTAATAATGAGCCATCTGGCTTGGACTGGAGGTGTATAAAAGATGTGCTGTACCGAGACAACAGTATCACTCTCACCATGAAGACTTTCTTGCTGCTACTGGCGCTCTCTTGTGTCGCTTCATGTTGGTCTTATCCTCTTCTAGAATCTCGCTTTCGGAGACAAGCACCACAGGAAGGTGATCACCCTCCACCCCCAACCGGATGTCCTCCCCCTCCAGAAGGTGAATCCCGTCCACGCAGACAAGCACCACAGGAAGGTGATCGCCCTCCACCACCAACCGGATGTCCTCCCCCTCCAGAAGGTGAATCCCGTCCACGCAGACAAGCACCACAGGAAGGTGATCACCCTCCACCACCAACCGGATGTCCTCCCCCTCCAGAAGGTGAATCCCGTCCACGCAGACAAGCACCACAGGAAGGTGATCGCCCTCCACCACCAACCGGATGTCCTCCCCCTCCAGAAGGTGAATCCCGTCCACGCAGACAAGCACCACAGGAAGGTGATCGCCCTCCACCACCAACCGGATGTCCTCCCCCTCCAGAAGGTGAATCCCGTCCACGCAGACAAGCACCACAGGAAGGTGATCGCCCTCCACCACCAACCGGATGTCCTCCCCCTCCAGAAGGTGAATCCCGTCCACGCAGACAAGCACCACAGGAAGGTGATCGCCCTCCACCACCAACCGGATGTCCTCCCCCTCCAGAAGGTGAATCCCGACCACGCAGACAAGCACCACAGGAAGGTGACCGCCCGCCACCACCAACCGGATGTCCTCCCCCTCCAGAAGGTGAATCCCGTCCACGCAGACAAGCACCACAGGAAGGTGACCGCCCTCCACCACCAACCGGATGCCCACCACCTCCCGAAGGCAAAGGACCAGGTGCCAGTGGTCTTTGAAAGAGGGAGACCACCCCCTCCACCACGCGGGAACTTAATTGTTCTTTAGGTGAGATTTATATTCTTGTAATTCGTTTTTTTCTGTATGATTCTGTAATCTGTTTACATGATATTTCATGGCGAAGGATATGTATGTGTAATAAATACCAATGATAAAGATGTTCGGATACTGATATGGAGCTACCGTTCTGATTTCTGTTCAACTGAAATCTAATAAACAAAGATACAAGCTTTCATCACCAGAAGCAATGCACCAACCATGCCCTCGTGTACGAATGATAGCGCTTAGCAAGCTGATCGCTATATGCCACATACTAGATGTCAGTCAAATACTCGAAACAGTGCTGTAATGATAAATAAACCTTTCCATTTTCTTTTACAGATGAGCCGTTGGTGACTCAGTGTGAAATAAAAATGAAATAAATCAATGTTTCGTTTATGCGTTTCTTTAATTGCGTTGTGGAACTCATAGGACATGGGACATGATGGTTGATATAGAAAACCATGGCGAGCAATTCAATGATGCTACTAAAGATATCAGTAATGATACTGTACAAAGGATAAATGAGTCGTGTTTGCTCTCGTGATGTTGAAACCGTCCTTACTTTAATGTTTTGGGTCATCCAATAATTGTGACTATACGAAACATATTACTATACGTATACCTGCTTCTGTTTGTTTGTTGTTTGATGCCGCACTCAGTAATGTTCCAGCTGTATGGCGACGGTCTGGAAATAATCCAGTGATTGATATCATGAGCATCGATCCACACAATTGATCATGGATCTACCTGATTCTCTAGGGATCTACACCCGTGACAATACCAGGGTAGAATAGGTTCCGAGCACCTATACCAGTCGTAACAAGCGACTAAATTTATCGGGTGGTCAGGCTCTTATCACACATAACCCTTGTGTACATCACTGTATGTTTTTGACCGAGCGAGCTACTAGGATGACAGTCCGAGCCCTAGTACCCTACTCGAAAACGGTGAAGAAAACTCGACAAATATTGTCATATACATTTTTATCCTTCTCAGTCACTGAGTGCGTATCGGCACCATTATTAGAAGACAAAATCACGTGATGCATGGATCCATTTCACCGATGGAGAATGACCTTCTTTTGAGGCAGTATGTAAGCAAGGATTATATCCTACCTAAATATTATCCCGGGGTAAGTTTTACTCTAGAGTATAGTATCCCACTTAGTGTGGGAAATCTTGGATAGGTTATGTCCAAAAATAAAGGGTAATTCATCCCAGGACCGCCTCCGTGGTCTGGTGGTAGAGCGTCAGCCCGGAGAACGGAAGGTCCGGGGTTCGATCGCCGGCCGCGTCATACCAAAAGACGTTAACAGATGGTACTTGTTGTTATCCTGTCTGGCGCTCGGCATTAAGGGGCTAAACTGGTCGGCTCGGAGTCCGTATACTGTGTCTGGGTGGGGTATTCATGTTAAACTGCGGCATGGTATCTCAGTGAGCTAGCACTATAAATCGGCATCAGTTCGGACTGGTAGAAGCAGACCCGACACACAGACACAGACACACACAGACACAGACACACACAGACACAGACACACACAGACACAGACACACACAGACACACACACACACACACACACACACACACACACACACACACACACACACACACACACACACACACACACACACACACACTGTAAATCATAAACAGTCCGTCGACTACAACCCATCGTCCTTGCGACTTCAGCTACGGACGTTCCCGTCTGCAACATGCCGATGGCACGTTCACGTTGCATATTTGAAAGGCGTGGTATGACAAATAGCCGTAAAGACTTTTGTTTTCTTGCGTTTTTCTTTTTTTGTTAATGACTGCTAACAAGTATGGCTGAAAACACATGCGGTATTATGGTCACGTGACCAGTTGCACGTGAAAAACCACTATAGTGCTGTGCACATGATTTTGATCGATTCACCTGCACAAAAACGGGTGTTATCTGAAGACAATACGTGGCTATTACTGTTTAAATACACAATAAGGGCCCACAATGATAACTGGTCAAAATGTTAAAATTTTAGGATTGTGAAGTTTTTAATTTGGTTCAGTATATATAACACACAATGGGGTAGGATAATATTCACTCTTACACAGATTTCAGGAATCTGATCATACACATGTTCATGGTTACAGTGTGCCAAAGCGTGTTGTTCCCTTGTGTCATCAGTTTATAAATTGGTCAACAATATGTGGCACATTTCTTCTTCTAACTGCTTATTATAACTAATGAAACAATATAAGGCATTACGAAAGAGTTGATGATCTTTATTTCCATTACGAACCTCACTTTTAGTTGTTTTACCGGGGAAAATGACGAGTGAGTGAGTGAGTGAGTTTGATTTAACGCCGCTTTGAATAATATTCCAGCTATATATCGGCGTGTCAGTGTATTGTTGGAGGAAAGTCCGAAGTGATGCAGGTCTCAGACGTGTAACACTATGGTGAAACCCACGAGCACGGGTATGGTGCTGACAAACCTAGAAACATAATCGTGGCGAAACGGGATTCGAACCCACAATCATAGGTTTCTGGCGAGACTGTCATTGTAATAAGAATAACACTGGTTAAAATCAGCGATGTATAGGCACGCTGTCATTGTAGTATTGAGTTTAAAAGATTTCTCGTGACAACAACGAACGATGGGTTTTATTTTTCAAAATTGTGAGAAACGATAAGTATTTCAATAAAATCATGAGTGAATATGGTTTTACACTGCTTTTAGAAATATATTCCAGCAAAATCACGGCGGAGGACAAGGGGAACGAGCTTCACACAATTTACCCATGTGGGGAATCGAACCCGGGCCTTCGGCGTAACGAGCAAACGCTTTAACCAGTACGCAACCGACCGCTATGACGATTGTACAAACAACTTTCTCATGCAAACAAATCTTTCAATCGTTCTAAGCGGAAGTGCTGAAACTTGGCGAATGCGCAACTTCATGCAGTGCATACTTTCGTGATATTCTTGTGCTACTCGCAGATTGTAACTGTTTAGTTTCTGATTACACAGCTTTTCATGGAGTCCAGTTAAAATAGGTTCATAGCCTCATTGTGTTAGTTGTAAGAGAATTACTTTTTAAAAAGTCCTTGTCCTTTCAGCCAAGAAAAACATTGCACTCATGTTTGCATAAAACAGATAAAACGGCATATGGATATTCTCGAAGTAGGTTGCTGCCAATTTCTCTCTTCTGCCAGCAAGGTTCATTTCATTTGAGATGCAAACAGACCAAAAAAGCATCACTAGGCTGTGTATTTACTTGAAGTCGAATGTCATTAAAGAATTGTCAAAATTGTTCATAACTTTTAATCAGAGAACATAGATATATCAGTTCGTAAATGAAGCCAAAATGTTACTTCATGTGATCAGTTCTTTCTATCTCTACAGAATTGGAGGAGTCAGTCAGTTTGCGTTATGGGATTTACAGCGTAATTCTACATCAACGGTTTAACATGCCCAAAGTCTATACGGCGTTATCTACCTAAAACATTCACTTCCAGATTGGTAAACCTGACATAACTGAACTCAAACTAACCTCACAGAACGAAAATCGGTAAAGACAAGATGGCGGCCAACATGAAATTGCCATTATGTTCACTTTTGTAAAGAAAGAGATGATGTTGCATTTAAGTGTATGAGATGTATACAGCATACTGTTCTGTTCTCAGCCTAGATTATTGCTGGTAATGTATCCTCAACAATGGCACATTTGGCTTTTAATAAGTATTTCCATTTTGGAAGAAAATATTGATATTCAATCAAAGTGATGAATGCAGTACTGTCACAGAAGAAATGGCATCTTTCGCTATTTGTCTCTTAAGATAAGATCCTAATCACGAAAGTAATCAGCCTTTCATATTCCAGTCACATTTCCACTTCAATCAGCAAAACTATTTCGATGACAATAGAACGAAACATGCAGAATAAATAGTAATTCCTGCGAGTTAATAATGAGCCATCTGGCTTGGACTGGAGGTGTATAAAAGATGTGCTGTACCGAGACAACAGTATCACTCTCACCATGAAGACTTTCTTGCTGCTACTGGCGCTCTCTTGTGTCGCTTCATGTTGGTCTTATCCTCTTCTAGAATCTCGCTTTCGGAGACAAGCACCACAGGAAGGTGATCGCCCTCCACCATCAACCGGATGTCCTCCCCCTCCAGAAGGTGAATCCCGTCCACGCAGACAAGCACCACAGGAAGGTGATCGCCCTCCACCACCAACCGGATGTCCTCCCCCTCCAGAAGGTGAATCCCGTCCACGCAGACAAGCACCACAGGAAGGTGATCGTCCTCCACCACCAACCGGATGTCCTCCCCCTCCAGAAGGTGAATCCCGTCCACGCAGACAAGCACCACAGGAAGGTGATCGCCCTCCACCACCAACCGGATGTCCTCCCCCTCCAGAAGGTGAATCCCGTCCACGCAGACAAGCACCACAGGAAGGTGATCGCCCTCCACCACCAACCGGATGTCCTCCCCCTCCAGAAGGTGAATCCCGACCACGCAGACAAGCACGACAGGAAGGTGATCGCCCTCCACCACCAACCGGATGTCCTCCCCCTCCAGAAGGTGAATCCCGTCCACGCAGACAAGCACCACAGGAAGGTGATCGCCCTCCACCACCAACCGGATGTCCTCCCCCTCCAGAAGGTGAATCCCGACCACGCAGACAAGCACCACTGGAAGGTGATCGCCCTCCACCACCAACCGGATGTCCTCCCCCTCCAGAAGGTGAATCCCGACCACGCAGACAAGCACCACAGGAAGGTGATCACCCTCCACCACCAACCGGATGTCCTCCCCCTCCAGAAGGTGAATCCCGACCACGCAGACAAGCACCACAGGAAGGTGATCGCCCTCCGCCACCAGCCGGATGTCCTCCCCCTCCAGAAGGTGAATCCCGTCCACGCAGACAAGCACCACAGGAAGGTGATCGCCCTCCACCACCAACCGGATGTCCTCCCCCTCCAGAAGGTGAATCCCGACCACGCAGACAAGCACCACAGGAAGGTGATCGCCCTCCACCACCAACCGGATGTCCTCCCCCTCCAGAAGGTGAATCCCGTCCACGCAGACAAGCACCACAGGAAGGTGATCGCCCTCCACCACCAACCGGATGTCCTCCCCCTCCAGAAGGTGAATCCCGTCCACGCAGACAAGCACCACAGGAAGGTGATCGCCCTCCACCACCAACCGGATGCCCACCACCTCCAGAAGGTGAATCCCGACCACGCAGACAAGCACCACAGGAAGGTGACCGCCCTCCACCACCAACCGGATGCCCACCACCTCCCGAAGGCAAAGGACCAGGTGCCAGTGGTCTTTGAAAGAGGGAGACCACCCCCTCCACCACGCGGGAACTTAATTGTTCTTTAGGTGAGATTTTTATTCTTGTAATTCGTTTTTTTCTGTATGATTCTGTAATCTGTTTACATGATATTTCATGGCGAAGGATATGTATGTGTAATAATTACCAATGATAAAGATGTTCGGATACTGATATGGAGCTACCGTTCTGATTTCTGTTCAACTGAAATCTAATGAACAAAGATACAAGCTTTCATCACCAGAAGCAATGCACCCAACCATGCCCTCGTGTACGAATGATAGTGCTTAGCAAGCTGATCGCTATATGCCACATACTAGATGTCAGTCAAATACTCGAAACAGTGCTGTAATGATAAATAAACCTTTCCATTTTCTTTTACAGATGACCCGTTGGTGACTCAGTTCGAAATAAAAATGAAATAAATCAATGTTTCGTTTATACGTTTCTTTAATTGCGTTGTGGAACTCATAAGACATGGGACATGATGGTTGATATAGAAAACCATGGCGAGCAATTCAATGATGCTACTAAAGATATCAGTAATGATACTGTACATAAGAAATAAAAATGAAATAAATCAATGTTTCGTTTATACGTTTCTTTAATTGCGTTGTGGAACTCATAGGACATGGGACATGATGGTTGATATAGAAAACCATGGCGAGCAATTCAATGATGCTACTAAAGATATCAGTAATGATACTGTACAAAGGATAAATGAGTTGTGTTTGCTCTCGTGATGTTGAAACCGTCCTTACTTTAATGTTTTCGGTCATCCAATAACTGTGACTATGCGAAACATATTACTATACGTATACCTGCTTCTGTTTGTTTGTTGTTTGATGCCGCACTCAGTAATGTTCCAGCTGTATGGCGACGGTCTGGAAATAATCCAGTGATTGATATCATGAGCATCGATCCACACAATTGATCATGGATCTACCTGATTCTCTAGGGATTTACACCCGTGACAATACCAGGGTAGAATAGGTTCCGAGCACCTTTACCAGTCGTAACAAGCGACTAAATTTATCGGGTGGTCAGGCTTGTTTGACCATCGTTTTCCTACGGCGTGCCACCGATGGGACATCCTCTTCTTCACGAACGACCGCCTCCGTGGTCTTGTGGTAGATCGGCCGCGTCATACCAAAAGACGTTAAAAGATAGTACTTGTTGTTACCCTGTCTGGCGCTCGGCATTACGGGGCTAAAACAAGGACTGGTCGGCTCGGAGTCAGTATACTGTGTCTGAGTGGGATATTCATGTTAAACTGCGGCATGGTATCTCAGTGAACTAGCACTATGAATCGGCATCAGTCCGGGCTAGTACAAGCAGCCACACACACATATACACGTGCATGCACGTCGCTATATAAGTGGAATAATCTTGGCCGCGACGTTAAACCCAATTTCACCTCACCTCACCTCACCTCTTCACGAACGCAGAGTAGCATCACTATTTGATTGTAAACATATGCTTTTAGCAGAGTTTTCTTCTGATAATGACGCACATTAATTATACAACCTGTCACTTCGGTCGGTACTCATCCTGTTTCATCGTATAAAATAAACATAAAGTAAAATGATCACACATAACCCTTGTGTACATCACTGTATGTTTTTGACCGAGCGAGCTACTTGGATGACAGTCCGAGCCCTAGTACCCTACTCGAAAACGGTGAAGAAAACTCGACACATATTGTCTTATACATTTTTATCCTTCTCAGTCACTGAGTGCGTATCGGCACCATTATTAGAAGACAAAATCACGTGGTGCATGGATCCATTTCACCGATTGAGAATGACCTTCTTTTGAGGCAGTATGTAAGCAAGGATTATATCCTACCTAAATATTATCCCGGGGTAAGTTTTACTCTAGAGTATAGTATCCCACTTAGTGTGGCATTAAGGGGCTAAACTGGTCGGCTCGGAGTCCGTATACTGTGTCTGGGTGGGGTATTCATGTTAAACTGCGGCATGGTATCTCAGTGAGCTAGCACTATAAATCGGCATCAGTTCGGACTGGTAGAAGCAGACCCGACACACAGACACAGACACACACAGACACAGACACACACAGACACAGACACACACAGACACACACACACACACACACACACACACACACACACACACACACACACACACACACACACACACACACACACACACACACACACACACACACACACACACACACACACACACACACACACTGTAAATCATAAACAGTCCGTCGACTACAACCCATCGTCCTTGCGACTTCAGCTACGGACGTTCCCGTCTGCAACATGCCGATGGCACGTTCACGTTGCATATTTGAAAGGCGTGGTATGACAAATGGCCGTAAAGACTTTTGTTTTCTTGTGTTTTTCTTTTTTTGTTAATGACTGCTAACAAGTATGGCTGAAAACACATGCGGTATTATGGTCACGTGACCAGTTGCACGTGAAAAACCACTATAGTGCTGTGCACATGATTTTGATCGATTCACCTGCACAAAAACGTGTGTTTTCTGAAGACAATACGTGGCTATTACTGTTTAAATACACAATAAGGGCCCACAATGATAACTGGTCAAAATGTTAAAATTTTAGGATTGTGAAGTTTTTAATTTGGTTCAGTATATATAACACACAATGGGGTAGGATAATATTCACTCTTACACAGATTTCAGGAATCTGATCATACACATGTTCATGGTTACAGTGTGCCAAAGCGTGTTGTTCCCTTGTGTCATCAGTTTATAAATTGGTCAACAATATGTGGCACATTTCTTCTTCTTACTGCTTATTATAACTAATGAAACAATATAAGGCATTACGAAAGAGTTGATGATCTTTATTTCCATTACGAACCTCACTTTTAGTTGTTTTACCGGGGAAAATGACGAGTGAGTGAGTGAGTGAGTTTGATTTAACGCCGCTTTGAATAATATTCCAGCTATATATCGGCGTGTCAGTGTATTGTTGGAGGAAAGTCCGAAGTGATGCAGGTCTCAGAGGCGTGTAACACTTTGGTGAAACCCACGAGCACGGGTATGGTGCTGACAAACCTAGAAACATAATCGTGGCGAAACGGGATTCGAACCCACAATCATAGGTTTCTGGCGAGACTGTCATTGTAATAAGAATAACACTGGTTAAAATCATCGATGTATAGGCACGCTGTCATTGTAGTATTGAGTTTAAAAGATTTCTCGTGACAACAACGAACGATGGGTTTTATTTTTCAAAATTGTGAGAAACGATAAGTATTTCAATAAAATCATGAGTGAATATGGTTTTACACTGCTTTTAGAAATATATTCCAGCAAAATCACGGCGGAGGACAAGGGGAACGAGCTTCACACAATTTACCCATGTGGGGAATCGAACCCGGGCCTTCGGCGTAACGAGCAAACGCTTTAACCAGTACGCAACCGACCGCTATGACGATTGTACAAACAACTTTCTCATGCAAACAAATCTTTCAATCGTTCTGAGCGGAAGTGCTGAAACTTGGCGAATGCGCAACTTCATTCAGTGCATACTTTCGTGATATTCTTGTGCTACTCGCAGATTGTAACTGTTTAGTTTCTGATTACACAGCTTTTCATGGAGTCCAGTTAAAATAGGTTCCTAGCCTCATTGTGCTAGTTGTAAGAGAATTACTTTTTGAAAAATCGTTGTCCTTTCAGCCAAGAAAAACATTGCTTTCATCTTTGCATAAAACAGATAAAACGGCATATGGATATTCTCGATGTAGGTTGCTGCCAATTTCTCTCTTCTGCCAGCAAGGTTCATTTCATTTGAGATGCAAACAGACCAAAAAAGCATCACTAGGCTGTGTATTTACTTGAAGTCGAATGTCATTAAAGAATTGTCAAAATTGTTTATAACTTTTAATCAGAGAACATAGATATATCAGTTCGTAAATGAAGCCAAAATGTTTCTTCATGTGATCAGTTCTATCTGTCTCTACAGAATTGGAGGAGTCAGTCAGTTTGCGTTATGGGATTTACATCGTAATTCTACATCAACGGTTAAACATGCTCAAAGTCTATACGGCGTTATCTACCTAAAACATTCACTTCCAGATTGGTAAACCTGTCATAACTGAACTCAAACTAACCTCACAGAACGAAAATCGGTAAAGACAAGATGGCGGCCAACATGAAATTGCCATTATGTTCACTTTTGTAAAGAAAGAGATGATGTTGCATTTGAGTTAATGAGATGTATACAGCATACTGTTCTGTTCTCAGCCTAAATTATTGCTGGTAATGTATCCTCAAAAATGGCACATTTGGCTTTTAATAAGTATTTCCATTTTGGAAGAAAATATTGATTTTCAATCAAAGTGATGAATGCAGTACTGTCACAGAAGAAATGGCATCTTTCGCTATTTGTCTCTTAAGATAAGATCTTAATCACAAAAGTAATCAACTTTTCATGTTCCAGTCACATTTCCTTTTCAATCAGCAACACTATTTCGATGACAATAGAACGAAACAAAGAGAATAAATAGTAATTCCTGCGAGTTAATAATGAGCCATCTGGCTTGGACTGGAGGTGTATAAAAGATGTGCTGTACCGAGACAACAGTATCACTCTCACCATGAAGACTTTCTTGCTGCTACTGGCGCTCTCTTGTGTCGCTTCATGTTGGTCTTATCCTCTTCTAGAATCTCGCTTTCGGAGACAAGCACCACAGGAAGGTGACCGCCCTCCACCACCAACCGGATGTCCTCCCCCTCCCGAAGGTAAATCTCGTCCACGCAGACAAGCACCACAGGAAGGTGATCGCCCTCCACCACCAACCGGATGTCCTCCCCCTCCAGAAGGTGAATCCCGTCCACGCAGACAAGCACCACAGGAAGGTGATCGCCCTCCACCACCAACCGGATGTCCTCCCCCTCCAGAAGGTGAATCCCGTCCACGCAGACAAGCACCACAGGAAGGTGATCGCCCCCCACCACCAACCGGATGTCCTCCCCCTCCAGAAGGTGAATCCCGTCCACGCAGACAAGCACCACAGCAAGATGATCGCCCTCCACCACCAACCGGATGTCCTCCCCCTCCAGAAGGTGAATCCCGTCCACGCAGACAAGCACCACAGGAAGGTGATCGCCCTCCACCACCAACCGGATGTCCTCCCCCTCCAGAAGGTGAATCTCGACCACGCAGACAAGCACCACAGGAAGGTGATCGCCCTCCACTACCAACCGGATGCCCTCCCCCTCCAGAAGATGAATCCCGTCCACGCAGACAAGCACCACAGGAAGGTGATCGCCCTCCACCACCAACCGGATGTCCTCCCCCTCCAGAAGGTGAATCCCGTCCACGCAGACAAGCACCACAGGAAGGTGATCGCCCTCCACCACCAACCGGATGTCCTCCCCCTCCAGAAGGTGAATCCCGTCCACGCAGACAAGCACTACAGGAAGGTGACCGCCCTCCACCACCAACCGGATGCCCACCACCTCCCGAAGGCAAAGGACCAGGTGCCAGTGGTCTTTGAAAGAGGGAGACCACCCCCTCCACCACGCGGGAACTTAATTGTTCTTGAGGTGAGATTTTTATTCTTGTAATTCGTTTTTTTCTGTATGATTCTGTAATCTGTTTACATGATATTTCATGGCGAAGGATATATATGTGTAATAAATACCAATGATAAAGATGTTCGGATACTGATATGGAGCTACCGTTCTATCAGATGTCAGTCAAATACTCGAAACAGTGCTGTAATGATAAATAAACCTTTCCATTTTCTTTTACAGATGACCCGTTGGTGACTCAGTTCGAAATAAAAATGAAATAAATCAATGTTTCGTTTATGCGTTTCTTTAATTGCGTTGTGGAACTCATAGGACATAGGACATGATGGTTGATATAGAAAACCATGGCGAGCAATTCAATGATGCTACTAAAGATATCAGTAATGATACTGTACAAAGGATAAATGAGTCGTGTTTGCTCTCGTGATGTTGAAACCGTCCTTACTTTAATGTTTTGGGTCATCCAATAATTGTGACTATGCGAAACATATTACTATACGTATACCTGCTTCTGTTTGTTTGTTGTTTGATGCCGCACTCAGTAATGTTCCAGCTGTATGGCGACGGTCTGGAAATAATCCAGTGATTGATATCATGAGCATCAATCCACACAATTGATCATGGATCTACCTGATTCTCTAGGGATCTACACCCGTGACAATACCAGGGTAGAATAGGTTCCGAGCACCTATACCAGTCGTAACAAGCGACTAAATTTATCGGGTGGTCAGGCTCGGTGACTTGTTTGACCATCGTTTTCCTACGGCGTGCCACCGATGGGACATCCTCTTCTTCACGAACGACCGCCTCCGTGGTCTTGTGGTAGAGCGTCCGCCCGGAGAGCGGAAGGTCCGGGGTTCGATCCCCGGCCGCGTTATACCTAAAGACGTTAAAAGATAGTACTTGTTGTTACCCTGTCTGGCGCTCGGCATTACGGGGCTAAAACAAGGACTGGTCGGCTCGGAGTCAGTATACTGTGTCTGAGTGTGATAGTCATGTTAAACTGCGGCATGGTATCTCAGTGAACTAGCACTATAAATCGGCATCAGTCCGGGCTAGTACAAGCAGCCACACACACATATACACGTGCATGCACGTCGCTATATAAGTGGAATAATCTTGGCCGCGACGTTAAACCCAATTTCACCTCACCTCACCTCACCTCTTCACGAACGCAGAGTAGCATCACTATTTGATTGTTAACACATGCTTTTAGCAGAGTTTTCTTCTGATAATGACGCACATTAATTATACAACCTGTCACTTCGGTCGGTACTCATCCTGTTTCATCGTATAAAATAAACATAAAGTAAAATTATCACAAATAACCCTTGTGTACATCACTGTATGTTTTTGACCGAGCGAGCTACTTGGATGACAGTCCTCGCCCTAGCACCCTACTCGAAAACGGTGAAGAAAACTCGACAAATATTGTCTTATACATTTTTATCCTTCTCAGTCACTGAGTGCGTATCGGCACCATTATTAGAAGACAAAATCACGTGGTGCATGGATCCATTTCACCGATGGAGAATGACCTTCTTTTGAGGCAGTATGTAAGCAAGGATTATATCCTACCTAAATATTATCCCGGGGTAAGTTTTACTCTAGAGTATAGTATCCCACTTAGTGTGGGAAATCTGGGATAGGTTATGTCCAAAAATAAAAGGTAATTCATCCCAGGACTGCCTCCGTGGTCTGGTGGTAGAGCGTCAGCTCGGAGAACGGAAGGTCCGGGGTTCGATCGCCGGCCGCGTCATACCAAAAGACGTTAAAAGATGGTACTTGTTGTTATCCTGTCTGGCGCTCGGCATTAAGGGGCTAAACTGGTCGGCTCGGAGTCCGTATACTGTGTCTGGGTGGGGTATTCATGTTAAACTGCGGCATGGTATCTCAGTGAGCTAGCACTATAAATCGGCATCAGTTCGGACTGGTACAAGCAGACCCGACACACAGACACAGACACACACAGACACAGACACACACAGACACAGACACAGACACACATACAGACACACACACACACACACACACACACACACACACACACACACACACACACACACACACACACACACACACACACACACACACACTGTAAATCATAAACAGTCCGTCGACTACAACCCATCGTCCTTGCGACTTCAGCTACGGACGTTCCCGTCTGCAACATGCCGATGGCACGTTCACGTTGCACATTTGAAAGGCGTGGCATGACCACTGGTCGTAAAGACTTTTGTTTTCTTGTGTTTTTCTTTTTTTGTTAATGACTGCTAACAAGTATGGCTGAAAACACATGCGGTATTATGGTCACGTGACCAGTTGCACGTGAAAAACCACTATAGTGCTGTGCACATGATTTTGATCGATTCACCTGCACAAAAACGTGTGTTTTCTGAAGACAATACGTGGCTATTACTGTTTAAATACACAATAAGGGCTTACAATGATAACTGGTCAAAATGTTAAAATTTTAGGATTGTGAAGTTTTTAATTTGGTTCAGTATATGTTAAACACACAATGGGGTGGGATAATATTCACTCTTACACAGATTTCAGGAATCTGATCATACACATGTTCATGGTTACAGTGTGTCAAAGCGTGTTGTTCCCTTGTGTCATCAGTTTATAAATTGGTCAACAATATGTGGCACATTTCTTCTTCTAACTGCTTATTATAACTAATGAAACAATATAAGGCATTACGAAAGAGTTGATGATCTTTATTTCTCTTACGAACCTCACTTTTAGTTGTTTTACCGGGGAAAAAGACGAGTGAGTGAGTGAGTTTGATTTAACGCCGCTTTGAATAATATTCCAGCTATATATCGGCGTGTCAGTGTATTGTTGGAGGAAAGTCCGAAGTCATGCAGGTCTCAGACGTGTAACACTTTGGTGAAACCCACGAGCACGGGTATGGTGCTGACAAACCTAGAAACATAATCGTGGCGAAACGGGATTCGAACCCACAATCATAGGTTTCTGGCGAGACTGTCATTGTAATAAGAATAACACTGGTTAAAATCAACGATGTGTAGGCACGCTGTCATTGTAGTATTGAGTTTAAAAGATTTCTCGTGACAACAACGAACGATGGGTTTTATTTTTCAAAATTGTGAAAAACGATAAGTATTTCAATAAAATCATGAGTGAATATGGTTTTACACTTCTTTTAGAAATATATTCCAGCAAAATCACGGCGGAGGAACGAGCTTCACACAATTTACCCATGTGGGGAATCGAACCCGGGCCTTCGGCGTAACGAGCAAACGCGTTAACCAGTACGCAACCGACCGCTATGACGATTGTACAAACAACTTTCTCATGCAATCAAATCTTTCATTCGTTCTAAGCGGAAGTGCTGAAACTTGGCGAATGCGCAACTTCATTCAGTGCATACTTTCGTGATATTCTTGTGCTACTCGCAGATTGTAACTGTTTAGTTTCTGATTACACAGCTTTTCATGGAGTCCAGTTAAAATAGGTTCATAGCCTCATTGTGTTAGTTGTAAGAGAATTACTTTTTAAAAAGTCCTTGTCCTTTCAGCCAAGAAAAACATTGCACTCATGTTTGCATAAAACAGATAAAACGGCATATGGATATTCTCGATGTAGGTTGCTGCCAATTTCTCTCTTCTGCCAGCAAGGTTCATTTCATTTGAGATGCAAACAGACCAAAAAAGCATCACTAGGCTGTGTATTTACTTGAAGTCGAATGTCATTAAAGAATTGTCAAAATTGTTCATAACTTTTAATCAGAGAACATAGATATATCAGTTCATAAATGAAGCCAAAATGTTACTTCATGTGATCAGTTCTATCTGTCTCTACAGAATTGGAGGAGTCAGTCAGTTTGCGTTATGGGATTTACATCGTAATTCTACATCAACGGTTAAACATGCCCAAAGTCTATACGGCGTTATCTACCTAAAACATTCACTTCCAGATTGGTAAACCTGTCATAACTGAACTCAAACTAACCTCACAGAACGAAAATCGGTAAAGACAAGATGGCGGCCAACATGAAATTGCCATTATGTTCACTTTTGTAAAGAAAGAGATGATGTTGCATTTAAGTGTATGAGATGTATACAGCATACTGTTCTGTTCTCAGCCTAGATTATTGCTGGTAATGAATCCTCAACAATGGCACATTTGGCTTTTAATAAGTATTTCCATTTTGGAAGAAAATATTGATATTCAATCAAAGTGATGAATGCAGTACTGTCACAGAAGAAATGGCATCTTTCGCTATTTGTCTCTTAAGATAAGATCCTAATCACGAAAGTAATCAACTTTTCATATTCCAGTCACATTTCCACTTCAATCAGCAAAACTATTTCGATGACAATAGAACGAAACATGCAGAATAAATAGTAATTCCTGCGAGTTAATAATGAGCCATCTGGCTTGAAATGGAGGTGTATAAAAGATGTGCTGTACCGAGACAACAGTATCACTCTCACAATGAAGACTTTCTTGCTGCTACTGGCGCTCTCTTGTGTCGCTTCATGTTGGTCTTATCCTCTTCTAGAATCTCGCTTTCGGAGACAAGCACCACAGGAAGGTGATCGCCCTCCACCATCAACCGGATGTTCTCCCCCTCCAGAAGGTGAATCCCGACCACGCAGACAAGCACCACAAGAAGGTGATCGCCCTCCACCACCAGCCGGATGTCCTCCCCCTCCAGAAGGTGAATCCCGTCCACGCAGACAAGCACCACAGGAAGGTGATCGCCCTCCACCACCAACCGGATTCCCACCACCTCCAGAAGGTGAATCCCGTCCACGCAGACAAGCACCACAGGAAGGTGACCGCCCTCCACCACCAACCGGATGCCCACCACCTCCCGAAGGAAAAGGACCAGGTGCCAGTGGTCTTTGAAAGAGGGAGACCACCCCCTCCACCACGCGGGAACTTAATTGTTCTTGAGGTGAGATTTTTATTCTTGTAATTCGTTTTTTTCTGTATGATTCTGTAATCTGTTTACATGATATTTCATGGCGAGGGATATGTATGTGTAATAAATACCAATGATAAAGATGTTCGGATACTGATATGGAGCTACCGTTCTGATTTCTGTTCAACTGAAATCTAATAAACAAAGATACAAGCTTTCATCACCAGAAGCAATGCACCCAACCATGCCCTCGTGTACGAATGATAGTGCTTAGCAAGCTGATCGCTATATGCCACATACTAGATGTCAGTCAAATACTCGAAACAGTGCTGTAATGATAAATAAACCTTTCCATTTTCTTTTACAGATGACCCGTTGGTGACTCAGTTCGAAATAAAAATGAAATAAATCAATGTTTCGTTTATGCGTTTCTTTAATTGCGTTGTGGAACTCATAGGACATAGGACATGATGGTTGATATAGAAAACCATGGCGAGCAATTCAATGATGCTACTAAAGATATCAGTAATGATACTGTACAAAGGATAAATGAGTCGTGTTTGCTCTCGTGATGTTGAAACCGTCCTTACTTTAATGTTTTGGGTCATCCAATAATTGTGACTATACGAAACATATTACTATACGTATACCTGCTTCTGTTTGTTTGTTGTTTGATGCCGCACTCAGTAATGTTCCAGCTGTATGGCGACGGTCTGGAAATAATCCAGTGATTGATATCATGAGCATCGATCCACACAATTGATCATGGATCTACCTGATTCTCTAGGGATCTACACCCGTGACAATACCAGGGTAGAATAGGTTCCGAGCACCTTTACCAGTCGTAACAAGCGACTAAATTTATCGGGTGGTCAGGCTTGTTGACTTGTTTGACCATCGTTTTCCTACGGCGTGCCACCGATGGGACATCCTCTTCTTCACGAACGACCGCCTCCGTGGTCTTGTGGTAGAGCATCCGCCCGGAGAGCGGAAGGTCCGGGGTTCGATCCCCGGCCGCGTCATACCAAAAGACGTTAAAAGATAGTACTTGTTGTTACCCTGTCTGGCGCTCGGCATTACGGGGCTAAAACAAGGACTGGTCGGCTCGGAGTCAGTATACTGTGTCTGAGTGGGGTATTCATGTTAAACTGCGGCATGGTATCTCAGTGAACTAGCACTATAAATCGGCATCAGTCCGGGCTAGTACAAGCAGCCACACACACATATACACGTGCATGCACGTCGCTATATAAGTGGAATAATCTTGGACGCGACGTTAAACCCAATTTCACCTCACCTCACCTCACCTCTTCACGAACGCAGAGTAGCATCACTATTTGATTGTAAACACATGCTTTTAGCAGAGTTTTCTTCTGATAATGACGCACATTAATTATACAACCTGTCACTTCGGTCGGTACTCATCCTGTTTCATCGCATAAAATAAACATAAAGTGAAATGATCACACATAACCCTTGTGTACATCACTGTATGTTTTTGACCGAGCGAGCTACTTGGATGACAGTCCGAGCCCTAGTACCCTACTCGAAAACGGTGAAGAAAACTCGACAAATATTGTCATATACATTTTTATCCTTCTCAGTCACTGAGTGCGTATCGGCACCATTATTAGTAGACAAAATCACGTGATGCATGGATCCATTTCACCGATGGAGAATGACCTTCTTTTGAGGCAGTATGTAAGCAAGGATTATATCCTACCTAAATATTATCCCGGGGTAAGTTTTACTCTAGAGTATAGTATCCCACTTAGTGTGGCATTAAGGGGCTAAACTGGTCGGCTCGGAGTCCGTATACTGTGTCTGGGTGGGGTATTCATGTTAAACTGCGGCATGGTATCTCAGTGAGCTAGCACTATAAATCGGCATCAGTTCGGACTGGTAGAAGCAGACCCGACACACAGACACAGACACACACAGACACAGACACACACAGACACAGACACAGACACACACACACACACACACACACACACACACACACACACACACACACACACACACACACACACACACACACACACTGTAAATCATAAACAGTCCGTCGACTACAACCCATCGTCCTTGCGACTTCAGCTACGGACGTTCCCGTCTGCAACATGCCGATGGCACGTTCACGTTGCACATTTGAAAGGCGTGGCATGACAAATGGCCGTAAAGACTTTTGTTTTCTTGCGTTTTTCTTTTTTTGTTAATGACTGCTAACAAGTATGGCTGAAAACACATGCGGTATTATGGTCACGTGACCAGTTGCACGTGAAAAACCACTATAGTGCTGTGCACATGATTTTGATCGATTCACCTGCACAAAAACGGGTGTTATCTGAAGACAATACGTGGCTATTACTGTTTAAATACACAATAAGGGCCCACAATGATAACTGGTCAAAATGTTAAAATTTTAGGATTGTGAAGTTTTTAATTTGGTTCAGTATATATAACACACAATGGGGTAGGATAATATTCACTCTTACACAGATTTCAGGAATCTGATCATACACATGTTCATGGTTACAGTGTGCCAAAGCGTGTTGTTCCCTTGTGTCATCAGTTTATAAATTGGTCAACAATATGTGGCACATTTCTTCTTCTTACTGCTTATTATAACTAATGAAACAATATAAGGCATTACGAAAGAGTTGATGATCTTTATTTCCATTACGAACCTCACTTTTAGTTGTTTTACCGGGGAAAATGACGAGTGAGTGAGTGAGTGAGTGAGTTTGATTTAACGCCGCTTTGAATAATATTCCAGCTATATATCGGCGTGTCAGTGTATTGTTGGAGGAAAGTCCGAAGTCATGCAGGTCTCAGAGGCGTGTAACACTTTGGTGAAACCCACGAGCACGGGTATGGTGCTGACAAACCTAGAAACATAATCGTGGCGAAACGGGATTCGAACCCACAATCATAGGTTTCTGGCGAGACTGTCATTGTCATAAGAATAACACTGGTTAAAATCATCGATGTATAGGCACGCTGTCATTGTAGTATTGAGTTTAAAAGATTTCTCGTGACAACAACGAACGATGTGTTTTATTTTTCAAAATTGTGAGAAACGATAAGTATTTCAATAAAATCATGAGTGAATATGGTTTTACACTGCTTTTAGAAATATATTCCAGCAAAATCACGGCGGAGGACAAGGGGAACGAGCTTCACACAATTTACCCATGTGGGGAATCGAACCCGGGCCTTCGGCGTAACGAGCAAACGCTTTAACCAGTACGCAACCGACCGCTATGACGATTGTACAAACAACTTTCTCATGCAAACAAATCTTTCATTCGTTCTAAGCGGAAGTGCTGAAACTTGGCGAATGCGCAACTTCATGCAGTGCATACCTTCGTGATATTCTTGTGCTACTCGCAGATTGTAACTGTTTAGTTTCTGATTACACAGCTTTTCATGGAGTCCAGTTAAAATAGGTTCATAGCCTCATTGTGTTAGTTGTAAGAGAATTACTTTTTAAAAAGTCCTTGTCCTTTCAGCCAAGAAAAACATTGCACTCATGTTTGCATAAAACAGATAAAACGGCATATGGATATTCTCGAAGTAGGTTGCTGCCAATTTCTCTCTTCTGCCAGCAAGGTTCATTTCATTTGAGATGCAAACAGACCAAAAAAGCATCACTAGGCTGTGTATTTACTTGAAGTCGAATGTCATTAAAGAAGTGTCAAAATTGTTTATAACTTTTAATCAGAGAACATAGATATATCAGTTCGTAAATGAAGCCAAAATGTTACTTCATGTGATCAGTTCTATCTGTCTCTACAGAATTGGAGGAGTCAGTCAGTTTGCGTTATGGGATTTACATCGTAATTCTACATCAACGGTTTAACATGCCCAAAGTCTATACGGCGTTATCTACCTAAAACATTCACTTCCAGATTGGTAAACCTGACATAACTGAACTCAAACTAACCTCACAGAACGAAAATCGGTAAAGACAAGATGGCGGCCAACATGAAATTGCCATAATGTTCACTTTTGTAAAGAAAGAGATGATGTTGCATTTGAGTTAATGAGATGTATACAGCATACTGTTCTGTTCTCAGCCTAAATTATAGCTGGTAATGTATCCTCAACAATGGCACATGTGGCTTTTAATAAGTATTTCCATTTTGGAAGAAAATATTGATTTTCAATCAAAGTGATGAATGCAGTACTGTCACAGAAGAAATGGCATCTTTCGCTATTTGTCTCTTAAGATAAGATCCTAATCACGAAAGTAATCAACTTTTCATATTCCAGTCACATTTCCACTTCAATCAGCAAAACTATTTCGATGACAATAGAACGAAACATGCAGAATAAATAGTAATTCCTGCGAGTTAATAATGAGCCATCTGGCTTGGACTGGAGGTGTATAAAAATTGTGCTGTACCGAGACAACAGTATCACTCTCACCATGAAGACTTTCTTGCTGCTACTGGCGCTCTCTTGTGTCGCTTCATGTTGGTCTTATCCTCTTCTAGAATCTCGCTTTCGGAGACAAGCACCACAGGAAGGTGATCGCCCTCCACCACCAACCGGATGTCCTCCCCCTCCAGAAGGTGAATCCCGTCCACGCAGACAAGCACCACAGAAAGGTGATCACCCTCCACCCCCAACCGGATGTCCTCCCCCTCCAGAAGGTGAATCCCGTCCACGCAGACAAGCACCACAGGAAGGTGATCGCCCTCCACCACCAACCGGATGTCCTCCCCCCCGAGAAGGTGAATCCCGTCCACGCAGACAAGCACCACAGGAAGGTGATCGCCCTCCACCACCAACCGGATGTCCTCCCCCTCGAGAAGGTGAATCCCGACCACGCAGACAAGCACCACAGGAAGGTGATCGCCCTCCACCACCAACCGGATGTCCTCCCCCTCCAGAAGGTGAATCCCGACCACGCAGACAAGCACCACAGGGAGGTGATCGCCCTCCACCACCAACCGGATGTCCTCCCCCTCCAGAAGGTGAATCCCGTCCACGCAGACAAGCACCACAGGAAGGTGACCGTCCTCCACCACCAACCGGATGTCCTCCCCCTCCAGAAGGTGAATCCCGTCCACGCAGACAAGCACCACAGGAAGGTGATCGCCCTCCACCACCAACCGGATGTCCTCCCCCTCCAGAAGGTGAATCCCGACCACGCAGACAAGCACCACAGGAAGGTGATCGCCCTCCACCACCAACCGGATGTCCTCCCCCTCCAGAAGGTGAATCCCGTCCACGCAGACAAGCACCACAGGAAGGTGATCGCCCTCCACCACCAACCGGATGTCCTCCCCCTCCAGAAGGTGAATCCCGTCCACGCAGACAAGCACCACAGGAAGGTGATCGCCCTCCACCACCAACCGGATGTCCTCCCCCTCCAGAAGGTGAATCCCGTCCACGCAGACAAGCACCACAGGAAGGTGATCGCCCTCCACCACCAACCGGATGTCCTCCCCCTCCAGAAGGTGAATCCCGACCACGCAGACAAGCACCACAGGAAGGTGATCGCCCTCCACCACCAACCGGATGTCCTCCCCCTCCAGAAGGTGAATCCCGACCACGCAGACAAGCACCACAGGAAGGTGATCGCCCTCCACCACCAACCGGATGCCCACCACCTCCCGAAGGAAAAGGACTAGGTGCCAGTGGTCTTTGAAAGAGGGAGACCACCCCCTCCACCACGCGGGAACTGAATTGTTCTCAAGGTGAGATTTTTATTCTTGTAATTCGTTTTTACTGTATGATTATTTAATCTGTTCACATGATATTTCATGGCGAAGGATATGTATGTGTAATAATTACCAATGATAAAGATGTTCGGATACTGATATGGAGCTACCGTTCTGATTTCTGTTCAATTGAAATCTAATAAACAAAGCTACAAGCTTTCATCACCAGAGGCAATGCACCCCACCATGCCCTCGTGTACGAATGTTAGTGCTTAGCAAGCTGATCGCTATATGCCACATACTAGATGTCAGTCAAATACTCGAAACAGTGCTGTAATGATAAATAAACCTTTCCATTTTCTTTTACAGATGAGCCGTTGGTGACTCAGTGTGAAATAAAAATGAAATAAATCAATGTTTCGTTTATGCGTTTCTTTAATTGCGTTGTGGAACTCATATGACATAGGACATGATGGTTGATATAGAAAACCATGGCGAGCAATTCAATGATGCTACTAAAGATATCAGTAATGATACTGTACAAAGGATAAATGAGTTGTGTTTGCTCTCGTGATGTTGAAACCGTCCTTACTTTAATGTTTTGGGTCATCCAAAAATTGTGACTATGCGAAACATATTACTATTCGTATACCTGATGCTGTTTGTTTGTCGTTTGAAGCCGCACTCAGCAATATTCCAGCTGTATGGCGACGGTCTGGAAATAATCCAGTGATTGACATCATGAGCATCGACCCACATAATTGATCATGGATATACCTGATTCTCTAGGGATGTACACCCGTGACAATACCAGGGTAGAATAGGTTCCGAGCACCTATACCAGTCGTAAGAAGCGACTAAATTTATCGGGTGGTCAGGTTCGGTGACTTGTTTGACCATCGTTCTCCTACGGCGTGGTTCGCTATATGGCTCAAATAATGCCGATGCGAGGCTAATTTTTATCTCACTCACTCCTACGGCGCGGGACGTAGCTCACAATGTGAATCACTGGCACAGGCCGTCGTCATACAGCTGAAATATTGCTGAGAGAACCGATAAGCAACAAACAAAAAATCTGTCCGGGAAATTTGATGGAAATACTCTTATATATCTTTCCTGATCATGCACATGTAGATACTTTATAATCACAGGTGATCCATCAGAGGTTGACGACTATAATTGATGACTTCCACCTTGTGATCCTAATCAAGGGATAAACTTATCAATCATTCCTTTTCTTGCTTGTGAAATGGTTTTGTTCTTGCTCCCTTTTTTAATGATGCTCAGTGGGCGTGCGTGTGGGTGCGGGTGCGGGTACGGGTGCGGTTGCGGGTGCGGGTGCGGGTGCGGGTGCGGGTGCGGGTACGGGTACGGGTTGGGAATTTTGCCAGGAAATAATGTGATATCTTATGCATAACAGAAGAGACTTCAGGCTCGAGAAAAGTTGCAAGTTTATCAATCTCGTTAACCAATCGTCAACCATAGAATAACCGTTGATCGGGGTATGAAGCTGAATTGAATTTCTTAACTGAAAAACAGGACTGTTGTATTTTTAATTCCCAGATCGTCTCATTATACCATAAGAAATTATAAATAATTTCAACCGTACTCATTCCGAAATTTAGGGAATTGACTTTTGGTGGCATCGTCAGTACTTTTTGCCTTTTACGACCAATGGATAATCGAGACTGGTTATTCTCTGGCGTTGACGTATATAATTACTCATAGACTGGTTCCCGGATCCTCCGCTTGGTGTCGCTGCTCTTGCTCCGCTTTCCAATGAACGCAGGAACGAACGGGAACCAGTCTAAATTACTCAGTGCTAAAGGGCTCATGACGTCATCGCGTCACGGATTCTTGGACAACAGGGGAACTGTATACCGATATCACACAAAACATCTTTAAAAAAAAGACATAATAGGCGGCAGGCATCAGGTTTAATGCAGCGGTTGCAAAGTTAAACACATCGAAACCCTAGGACCGATTTGGATTGCATTGATACAGTGTAATGACATTCGGCACGATTTAGCTGGCATTCTATCCAAGGAGTACTTACATAGGAGAAGGGGCGGTCGGGTAGCCTAGTGGTTTAAGCGTTCGCTCGTCACGCCGAAGACCCGGGTTCGATTCCCGATATGGGCACAATGTGTGAAGCCCATTTCTGGTGTCCCCCGCCGTGATATTGCTGGAATATTGCTAAAAGCGGCGTAAAACCATACTCACTCACTCACTACATAGGAGAAGGGTGTTTGATGGCAAAACAGAGTATACAATTCATTGTTTTCATGAGTAATTTACAGTTTTCACGGGCAACACAATACAGGTCTTGAAAAACACAGAGACTAGTTACATGTGAAAATGAAACATCAAACGAAGATAAGTTAGATAATCATGTGGCACTTACAGCTAGCGGTGTTTGGACATCCATCAAGCAAAGACAATAGAATGGTAATGATAAACTGAGAGGTAAAACAAAGTTTGTATTTTATGTATTTGAAAATTGAAAGAAGAGTTGTTCAATTTGCTTCTATTTAAACATCACTCATACCTGTAACAGTTTGTTAAAGGTACTCTGTGACTGGTAAATTTGTGTAAATGAAACTTGGTTCATTGAAGACTCGGGTAAGAAATGAATTTTCAACAGCATGACCCTACCAGGTTGAAACGTACATTTGTGCCGATAAAAGAAAACTGATTGATTTTCTTTGATACGAATTCTAAATCCCCATCAGTAGTTTTGTATTATGCAACATTTATTTTTGTAATTTAAAACAGTTTTAAATCAAATAATATTTTTATAAATAAAACCATGTAGAAGTATTCTTTGAGCGCTGACTAGGCACCAGTATATTTCAATTTTGGGATACAATAACTCTAACTTAAGATTTTTTCAATTCAACATCAAACATAGCATAAAATCAACTGAGAGGTATAGTTACTTTTGCTCTTCTGTTTAGTCAGTTCCTGGTTGAAGGGGGGTAGCTGGGGACATTAGCACGCAACAGAAGTTCCAGACACAACACTGACATTGCTGCGTGGCCTGGACTTATTCTGAACGGTTATGAAAATTAGATATAACTTTCAAGAACATTTAGCATTTTATTATGGTACTTTGGATCAAATAAATGCATGTGTGCCAAAATGAGAACTACGCATTCTACAAAACTGCACTGATCGCAAGACCTTAGAAATGTTTCTCAGCTTAAATGTTAAATAGGCATGTATAAGATATGATATGGCGTGATATATCCCTTATTTGTTGACAATTATATGAATGTGTTATTTACATGCATTACACAATATCTCTCACAGAGAGTCTTCGTATATCGGTGTGAAAGATCTGATTTTGATGAGACTACATTTGAGAAGACTGAACACACACACGCACGCACGCGCGCGCACTCACACAAACATTGCGGCCATCTTGAGCATTAATAACTGGCCATAAGTACGAAATATAATTTGATCCTCACTACTCATATATTAATTTCTACTTCGCTGAACAATCACGTTTCAAGTGAGCGTTGTTTTGTTCCTATTTACTAAAAAAATCGGATATAAATATTTACAAAACCCTAGCAACCTTTAAAAGCCTTGGATGACGTCATCATTACTGAACAAATTAAGGGAAACTTTAGACTCGGCCAAACTAGCATGCTGTCCCAGCACATTTGAATCATATCGTTCAAATATCATGCCCTTGTCTGTAAATCATAATATAATTCAAATTTTAAGCTGTATTTGTTATCCTTCTTATCTTATCCTAAAGGGCAGAAAGTGTCACATCCCCAAAGGACAATGTCAGCACCGAGAATGAAAACGGAACGGATAGTTCCTTCTTAATCCACCGAATATTGCATGAGCGACAACGATAAAGTCCACCTGCTTCGGGATTGGGTTTCGATGCGTCATGGAGACGATCAATTGACTAGTATTTATTTGTTGTAATTAAGACTCAAGACGAGCACGACTTACGATCCAAGAACAACGGAGAAAACATTCTCCCGCTGATATTGACCCATATAGTACTACGTACAGTGTTTTACATGATCATTCATGTTCACTGTTTGATTTTCCGCGATGTAGACAACATTGCGAAATATTTGTAGCCGGCCAATCTGCTGACATAGCTCATATCAACTGGACGAGTTGTGGCATGCATGAAGACGGCGGCATACGAGCCAATCAGCGACTACCAGTCGATATAAATACCCTATCACTCAGTACTTCCGCTAGCAATGGAGGTATAAGCTCTGCGGAGACGGTGTCTCACTCAGTGTTTTCTCATTGCGAGTGTACCGAAACACAGCTAAAATAGGTAAGGCGAAGACACATACATAGATATAAATGCAACACTTAGCAAATATCAACATACGCAAGTAAGTGACAGAAAGACATTGATACACAAAATATGTCCCCTTCCGCAAACTGCTGGGCACAATTTTGTAAAAACTCGGACAGAAACGTTCGGAACGGTAGTCAACGCATTTTGGCGTTGATATGTTGTTAATATGCATTGCCATTGCATCGACGTATCACAGATCTTAATTTCATGAGATGTTACTGGCGACGGAATCGGGAAAACGGTTTAGAAAAGGTTAATTGATCTAGCATTTAATCGTTCGTTTGATATCGCCTAGTCCCTTAGTTTTGTCCTCGAGGGGGTGTGTCACTTTGTGTACAGGTAACCGATAACATGGCTTTTGTTGCACAGGTTTCAGTGATAGGTGCCACAACTCCAGTTGAAGGGTGTTCGTGTATGCAATAAGCCATGATTCAAGATTTTTAGGCCTCAGTAATTTCTAAGGAGCCCCATGGCAGATTCTTAATTTTCCTTGTCAAAGAAATATGTTAGGAATCTATTTTGCAAAGAACATAAAATCAAATCAAATCTGTTTTCAGGTAAGAAAAAAATTTCTCACAAAAGTGATACTGCATTTATTATCAAGTAAAATTATCAAAGCTTGTCATATTAAAGTCAGAGACCCTATATCTGTATATTGTCTCTTTTGAAGCCAATTGAATACCAAAATATCAAAGAGTTTATACCGGGAATGGTTATGATTGTAGTTATAATTAATGATCATCAAGGTTTTGTTAGGAGGTAGTAAGGCTAGCTCATAGTAAATCATTGGCACTAAATATGGAACTTTTCTCATCAAAGAGAGGACTGACTGTGATGGATGTAATTACTGCAAACATTAGTAAGTATTCCACAAGCCTTGCCAGTTCATAACGCCTCCATGGTCTAGTGGTAGAGCGTCCGCCCAGAGAGTGGAAGGGCCGGGGTTCGATCCCCGGCGGCGCCATACCAAAAGACGTTCATAGATAGTACTTCTTGTTACCGTGTCTGGCGCTCAGCATTATTGGGCTAAAAACAAGGACTGGTCAGCTCGGAGTCAGTATACTGTGTCTGAGTGGAGTATTCATGTTAAACTGGGGCATGGTATCTCAATGGGCTAGCAGCCACACACACATGCATTCGTGTCGCTATATAAGTGTAATAATCTTGGACATGATGTTAAAACACCATTTCACCTCATCTTACCTTGCCAATTAACCCATGGTTTTCTCTGCACTAAAAACATTCTAAACAAAAGGTAGGGTTTTGCATGAATTAAAACACCTGCATATCATTTTATTACCTTGACAAGTCAATGTAAGCAAGTTTATTTTATGGGTCTTTGAATGCTTTCTGGAGAACTCAAAAACTCTGCTTCTGAATCACTACTGTACATATCAATATGATCTTCAGACAGCAGCAAACTGGCTTTTCATTGTTAGACTAAAATGTTTTCTGCTGTTTTTAGTTTCAGGTAAAATGTTTTCAGCTGTGTTAAGTTTCAGGAGAAATGTTTTTCTAAAAATGATTCAAGAGAACAGTCCTAAAATAGGCTACCGCATTCGACATAATAATCGCCCTGTTTAATAAGCAACAATCCCAATTAGCACGCCTTCTGATTGATCAAAGTACACAAGGCTTATTTATTCGTGTATAATTTGTGTGTTATTTGCATCCTTAATTATGGGAAATTAAATTCTGGAAAAATATATCTGTCGTATAAAAACATTTCAGGCTCTCAGCATAAACCACGAAATTTACGATCTTTCAACTCTGTTGTTTTTCATCAACATAATATTCTATTAAGAGCCCCCTATTTGTAATTTTGAGGGCGCCCTGGTTTATTAGGAATATGGTATATTGTAATACCTTTTTCCCTTAAGATCATCATCAATCATTATAAATAGGCCCACAGTCCTAAAGTATGATGTGACTAAGATGATTCTGTTTGATAGATATTTAAAACATATTTTTTTTAAATCAATTAAAGGTTCATCAAAGTGTCCATATTACAAAACCATCAAGAAGTCATCTATGCACAATTCTGTATGATGCAGTTCTTTTATTTCACACCCACAGGCTCTACATGCCTATATTAATTGTTGTGTAATCAGCATATAATGTGTGTAAATCTAAATTAGTTTTGCATGTAATAACTCTACCCAACATAATTAATCAATTAGCTTCCTTGACTCCTTGTTTATGTTGCTGAAAACAGCAGGTGCTGAAGCTTCACCTGGAGAGTAACTAAACCAGCCTCCACCACTATGATGCTGATGTTGTTGATAGAGTGTGTACACAATGTTGTAGTGGTTTTATCGAAGATGAAATTCATGTTTTATTGTTTTGTGATAGTTATCAACATCTTGGAAGAACATATCTTCCTGAATTGTGTCAAAAACATAAAGAGAAGCAAATGATGAAAAATCTTCTAAATTCCGAAAACGATTATGCAATAAAATGTATTGCAATTATTTTAAATGTTTTTCGAACAAGGTAAAAATGTTTCACAAATTCATGTGACTAACTCATATAAGTAAGACAAATATATAATGGGCCATAATAGCCTGAATTACTGAATTAAATATCTGTATGTGTATATGATTGCTATTAACTGTATATTGTGCATAAGTTGTTTCCGTTGTTTTAAGTTCTAGAGGACAATGAAATAACAGATGTTTATTTTCTTTTGTATTTCAGATTTAAGACACTTTTGTTGAAGATTTGAAGTGGAAAGTTCTTTGGAATTGGTGACTTTTGTCCCCACCCTTTTCAGCCATGATTCCTTCATTTGTGAGTAAATGTAGCATTTTTTAACGTTTTTAAGGCAATCAGGTGCTCTTTATGGGCGGCCATTTTTTTGTAAAAAAATACAAAGTTGAAAAAAAAGACAAAAATACACAATAAAGGTCAAATATTACGAATAAAGAACTTAATGTTACTTATAAAGGTCAAAACACAAAACAAACAGACGCCGGTTAAACAAATACAAAGTTGAAATAAAGGTAAAAAAGTATTAATATTAATAGTCAAATGTTACGAAAAGACGTCATAAGAAAAGAAAGAACAATGTGTTCGAAAGAACGTCAGTGAACAAAAGGACTTTACAATAAAGAATGTCATGGAGCATGAAAGGACGTTTACAATAAAGAACGTCAGTGAGCAGGAAAGGATGTTTACAATAAAGAACGTCAGTGAGCACGAAAGGATGTTTACAATAAAGAATGTCATGGAGCATGAAAGGACGTTTACAATAAAGAACGTCAGTGAGCACGAAAGGATGTTTACAATAAAGAACGTCAGTGAGCAGGAAAGGATGTTTACAATAAAGAACGTCAGTGAGCAGGAAAGGATGTTTACAATAAAGAACGTCAGTGAGCAGGAAAGGATGTTTACAATAAAGAACGTCAGTGAGCAGGAAAGGATGTTTACAATAAAGAACGTCAGTGAGCAGGAAAGGATGTTTACAATAAAGAACGTCAGTGAGCAGGAAAGGACGTTGACAATAAAGAACGTCAGTGAGCAGGAAAGGACGTTGACAATAAAGAACGTCAGTGAGCACGAAAGGACGTTTACAATAAAGAATGTCAGTGAGCACGAAAGGACGTTTACAATAAATAATGTCAGGGTCTAGTGGTAGAGCATCTGCCTAGAGACAGTGAAGTCCGGGGTTTTGATCCCCGGCTGGCGTCATTTGAAAAGATGTTAAAAGATGGTACTTATTGTTACCCTGCCTGATGCTGGGCATTAAGGGGTTAAAACAAGGACTGGTCGACACAGAGTCAGTATACTGTGTCTGAATGGGGTATCTCACTGGCCTAGCTCTGTAAAATCGGCATTAGTCCGGAATAGAACAAGCAACCACACACACACTCACATGCATGCTCGTTGCTATATAAGTATCTTGAACGCGACATTAAACCACATTACACCTCACCTCACCTTAAACTTCATGGGACCAGGGTGCAACTAGATATCATGTCAACATGCACCTGGTGCAAGTTAAATCAAGTTCCTTAAATCAAGCCTTCATCCTCATTATAATTTTGTGGTTTGTCAGCACCATACACTTGCTTGTGGGTTTCACCAAACTGGCAAATGTCAAGGTTTTTCATCTCTTTGGGCATAACTCCAGCATTTGGCTGACATGCCATGATTTAATAGAAATACTGTTGACAACGGTGTTAAACTCACTCAATCAATCACTCTTGAACGTCCTCTTTTGTTTTCATATTTGACATTACAATTGTCCCATTACAAATGTACATTGTACTTAGATTTAATGGTTATTAATAATTCATCCATGAAATCAATGGTATGTTGCTGTATGTTAAGAATTGAGGGAAATATGCACTTTTTATCAATTTCTTCAAATTTCAACACACTAACAAACAGAAATTAGGATGTTTTCTTGAAGAGGAATGTTTTGTAAGTATTCTGATATTTAAGTTAAATAGCATTAGCGATACTTTTAAACAATAATGATATCAAACTGATGGATTTCTTCATAGGATTCTGAAGTAAAGTGTGAATTTGGATGTTAGCGCGCCTAACACAATCAAATACACAGTGACACCCTTGTTTTCATTTTGATAGATAGATTGAATCATTTAGATTTGAAATATAGGCCTCCTGATATGAGAAAAGCAAAATACTCTGAATACAAACTAGAGTACCTTCTTCAGCATGAAACTTGAGCGTTTGATGTGGGAAGGTTCAGCTATGATCTGGCTATCTACTATCATCATTCCATTCCAAAGATTATTTTCATCTGATGTCATTAACATAGTTAATATTTCTCCAGGTTAAACGACTGTCCAGTAGATTATCATTCACAAAACAGACCAGCGACAAAAGAGACACAACTGATAAAGTAGATGGACGGCCATCTTTGTCTCGTCAGTCCACAAAGGAACTTGATAAGAGTGATGAGGATAAGTCTACTCCAGGAAGGTCAGGCTTGCAACGAAGGTCAACTTCCAACAAGACACCCTTGTCAAAACGTCCGACAATTCAACTGGACAGGGAAGAATCAGTGACCAAAAAATCGTCCCGTCAAGTGACCTTTGCAAAAAGAAAGTCATCAGAATCTGATGAATCTGCACCAACACCAACTAGGAAGTTGTCCAAAAAAATATCATCAGCTGGGAAAAATGTTTCCTTGACATCCAAACCAGTCCTGGCAGGTCGAGCACCATCTTTGACTGCAAAAAGTCCATCAGTGACAGCACCCACCAAAAAGACCGCAGCGACAAAGGACCCAAATGCAAAGACACTTTGGTACATCAGAGGCACCTATGTTACTGTCAGGAATGAAGAAGGTAAGCAGTAGCAGGGGCCTGGCTTTGCATTCCCATTAAAATCAGATCTTAGTTCTCACTACCACTAAACAAAGATCTGAGGACATCCCATTACGGGTCACGTCAGCAAGACCTTTCATCCAACCAATCAGAGCGTCGCTTACCAGATCCTGAAAGTGACCGTCGGAATGTGTTTTCTAATCATGCAACCTCGAAATATTTAACACGGGGTATTCCGGCGGTTACGGGTTTTATGATTATATCCATACAATCTAGGCCATCTATAAACCATTCCAGAATGTTGTTTGGTCAGTTTTAAATTTTTTAATCGAGAATGCGTCTAAATATGTTTCGAAGTGTGTGGCCAGTTTGAAACTAGTGCCGTAAAGCTCTAGATAGCTGCCTTCTGATTGGCTAATGTTGATTTCATGTCAGTCATTTCATTGGTCGGTCAATGTTCGCGAAAGGTCATTCTGACGTGACTCGTAATGGGATGTCCTCAGATCTTTGGTTAGTGGTAGTGAAAACTAAGATCTGATTTTAATGACATTGCTTGGCTTTGAATCTTACCCCATGGGCAGACTTTCTCCCCTGCAGTGCTGGGCAGCCTATTTTGGCCTCTAAAAGAAACGTATAACACCATGTTTTTAAAACTTTTGCTGTTACAGGTAAGGCTTCAGGAACTTATCTTAGATTTGGATGGCAAATTTGGAAAATACAAATTTTTTGGGTCCTAATTTTAATCAATTTAGAGATATTTTAGCATGTCAGCCTTTTTCTTTTTATTGGCCTTGTTATGAAATGCAAGTCATCTTTGGATAGTTTGAGCTCCATGCTTTCATTTGAGGTTTACCCAAAGAAACAGATGTGTACAACTAGTAGAGGTGTAATGCTACGGTGGGGTTGCGATGCGATACATATCCCTGCACAATGGGTGCGAGACGATTCCTATCCCGATACAGTACTTTCATTTCACAAGTTGATATTCTTTCTTTTTGCAGGTGAATCACAACCCTGAATAATTAGCTAGAGGGCTCTGTGAATGTTATGTCATCAAGTTATGTCCATACTTTGAAATACCAGAAAATCTACGTAGGCTGGGGGTTGAACAGTTTCTCTTATCATTCACATGTTTTTACATCAATATAACTTTTAATGAAATGTATTGTATGTATTGCGATACAGGGATTATAAATTGATGCATTGTATCGGGGGCCTCATATCTCGTTACAATACTTATCACCGTATCGTTACACCATTAACAACCTGGGCTAAAATTAGGCTTTCCTTCCATGTTGTGGTTTTACTGAAATACAGTTCGAGGCGTGCCATTTCACTCACTGATTGTTCTGTTTCTTCCAGGCGGCTGGTTTCTGTGTCGCCTTCGAAACAATGTCTACAACACAACCAAGACTGTCAAAATCCGATGGTTGTCCCCAAAATACACTTTTACTGATAACGACTTTTTATTGGACTATGCAGATGAGATTGACCCTGGGTGCATTCTGTTCAATGTCCGTGTAACAAAAATAGGAAAAGTGTATTTGCTGTGCAATGAAGATCGACTGGAAGCTGATAAGCTGTTGAAGGTTGTAGAGGATGTGACCAAGGGAAACATGGCTGCTGATGATGTGGACAGCGACAGTAAGGGGAGATAACTACTTTGTTTTTAAAAAGATATGAGGCTTGGCCAAATTTGATTCAAGTCATTCAAACTAAATTTTATTGACAGCTATCCATGTTTTGTGTTCATGAGTCTTGTAATAAATACATAGATATAGAGTCAAGCAATTCTTTTTGATATATATTTTTTTATTAAGCACATGCATTTTAACCATTTTCATCATGCTCATGAAGATTGTTGGTACTAATGCTGTTGTTTTTGTGTATTTGTTTCATCTAGGTCTGCCCAGATATTTTGTGATTTCTCAACATTTATTAGAATAATAGTCAACAACATTAATGTAAGGTTCAGTTTGACATCAATATTTTCCCAAATCGACCAGTCGCAGATGATTCTGTGCATAGTGAATTTTGAGTTCTCTCCTTAATACGCTGACTTTAAAAATCCCTTAGTCTTCCAGGAAAAAGGAACATTTCTTATTGTCTGTAGTACCATGTATGTGATGTTCCCCTTGTAGTTGAAGAAGTTGTGCAGATTGAACCTCCAGAAAAGAAGAGGAAGATAGAGAAGAAGATCAAGGAAGTTTCAAAGGGGAAGAAAGAAAAAACAAAGGGGAAGAAAGAAAAGACGAAGGGGAAGAAAGAAAAGGCAACAAAGTCTAGGAAAACACCAGGAGAGAAAAAGAAGAGAGAGCCAAAAGAAAAGAAAGGTGAAATTGTATTCTTTGTTATTTCAGTGATGTTTGTTGAATCCCCCTGAACACATACCATATTTTCTTGAGTATAGTGCGCCCCCAAGTATAATGCGCATCCCCTCTAGGGGATTCAGTATTTTGGAATTTTTGTTGTTGAATATTATACGCAGCAGAAAATTACACCGTACCCCTTCAGCGAATTCAGGTAAATGAACCTGTGATAAGAAATTTGGTCAGTACGAATTTGAAAATTGAGATAAAAAATCACCAGACATGTTGATTTACAGTTTAGATAATATTTTCTGTCCTGCTAGGCATTAATTCACATGCAGAGATTAAGATTAACTTGTGTATTTTCTCGTTACCCAAGCCGGAAACAGCAATCAGCTGTCCACACATTTTTCTTGGAATCTACCGGTGATTCGGTTAAAACTTACCCAACGATATAACTTTAAAGAATTTTGATGCAATGATCAGAATTTGTCAGGAAGAATATATTCCAATATCGTGTTATTTTAGATGCAGCTTTTACTATATATATTTAAAACATTAATAACCATATGCATAGCACTTCGGTGCAGCTGATCACTATTGCCGGATTTTTTTTACTTGGAACAATTTGACCAGCCACCGTCGAGGCTCCTGCGCACGTGATCGCAAGAACTTTATGTTGACACAGAATAGTCAAACTACAACAAATATGACTTTTTACGAGTCAAAGTGTGGCATTCATGATATATGTATCTATTCTCTATCAACTAAAGTTTGTTTCAAGGCGTCAATAACGGTAATCTGACTGTGGTTGCTGTAAATAATAGTGAGTCATGCAATCTTCCGATCGCTTCACACGCAATTTCACCAAAATTAATCTAAATAGATTAAATTAATGAAATAGATTACAAACATAAGTCCAGATATACAATGAACACTTTTAATAACCAGACTGCATAATTATAAGATTACATTGCGTACTCCAATATGGATTTGTTGATATGGCATTTCCGGTGTTACATGCTCACGGAAATGTCTTTGCGTTAGGTGAAAAAAAGACAATCAAAACTCATTATTGTGTGTATAATGCACACCTCCTTCTACACAGCTTTGTATTTTAGGACAAGAGTGCACACTATACTCAAGTATACCAGTGTACCAACTCCATCAACTCCATCAGTATCTCTGTATCAGTATCAGTTTCTGTGTACCAGTGCCTTAGTACCAGTTACTCCTCTTGTGGAAGTAGGTCCTTGTGTCATTACCTCCTTGTACTAGTACCTCTTGTGGAAGTAGGTCCTTGTGTCGTTACCTCCTTGTACTAGTACCTCTTGTGGAAGTAGGTCCTTGTGTCGTTACCTCCTTGTACTAGTACCTCTTGTGGAAGTAGGTCCATATGTCGTTACCTCCTTGTACTAGTACCTCTTGTGGAAGTAGGTCCTTGTGTCGTTACCTCCTTGTACTAGTACCTCTTGTGTCAGTACCTCCTTACACCACTCCTTCCTTGTGTCAGTACCTCCTTATACCACTCCTTCCTTGCGTCAGTGTCTCCTCGTGTCTGTACCTACTTATACGACTCCTCCTTGTGTCAGTACCTCCTAATATCACTCCTCCTTGTGTCAGTACCTCCTTATACCACTCCTTCTTGTGTCAGTACCTCCTTATACCACTCCTCCTTGTGTCAGTACCTCCTTATACCACTCCTTCCTTGTATCAGTTCCTTCTTGTGTCAGTACCTCCTTATACCACTCCTTCCTTTTGTCAGTACCTCCTTATACCACTCCTTCCTTGTGTCAGTACCTCCTTATACCACTCCTTCCTTGTGCATGTACCTCCTTGTGTCAGTACCTCCTTATACCACTCCTTCCTTGTATCAGTTCCTTCTTGTGTCAGTACCTCCTTATACCACTCCTTCCTTGTGCATGTACCTCCTTGTGTCAGTACCTCCTTATACCACTCCTTCCTTGTATCAGTTCCTTCTTGTGTCAGTACCTCCTTATACCACTCCCTCCTTGTGCATGTACCTCCTTGTGTCAGTACCTCCTTATACCACTCCTTCCTTGTATCAGTTCCTTCTTGTGTCAGTACCTCCTTATACCACTCCTTCCTTGTGCATGTACCTCCTTGTGTCAGTACCTCCTTATACCACTCCTCCCTTGCGTCAGTTTCTCCTTGTACTAGTACCTCCTTGTACCGATACCTCCTTGTCTCAGTACCTCCTTATACCACTCCTTCCTTGTGCATGTACCTCCTTGTGTCAGTACCTCCTTATACCACTCCTCCCTTGAGTCAGTTTCTCCTTATACTAGTACCTCCTTGTACCGATACCTCCTTGTATCAGTATGCCTTTGTACCAGTTCCTCGTTATGTCAGGAACATTTCTTCACTTTATTATTAAATTAAATATGGCTTGAGTCCTGTAGTAATTACAGATGGTTTTTGTTTCAGAGCGCAAGAGAAAAGTCCCCAAAAAGCCTGATGAGCTGACTCTACATCCAAATCCTGCTGTCCATGTGTACAGGAAAGACCCTTTCTTTGAAACAAAGTAAGATAGAAGCTTATGTTCATTTGCATTATGTTCAACATGTCTTTATTTGTGTGACAAGTTAACTGAAAAAAACCTTCTGTTCTTTTTTCCCTGTGCAGCCAATCGGTGTCCTTTGTGTCCAAGTATGCACACTCCAAGCTGGTATTCCGAGCTGTCCATATGAAAGATTACAAACTGCTTAAGAAGTTAATCAAGGATACAGAAAAGATTCGATATGTGAGGATTGAGCTTTGAATTTTCCTTGGTTTTGTAACAATTTACACTGTTGAAATAGGATATCTGTTAATTTAGAATATCTTATAGCTCTTAGTAAGAAAACAATTCAGTAGCAAGACAATTTGATGTAAAATGCATTATTGTTTGTAGGCTTATTATATCTCTACTTACCATTCCAGCTTTCCCATTATCGGAGTACCGCTGATGAAACCACAGCCCTGCACCATGCAGTAACCTTGAAGGACAAGGAGGCCATGAGCATCCTGTATAAGGACTACTTCGGGAATGAAAACAGTACCCTAGGAAAGAGGAAAAAACACACAATGCCTGACAAAGTCAACGTTGCAAAACTAGAGACTGGATCGTAAGTCTGCAGGGATTTCAATTAGAGGTTCCAGGTTTACCAAAGACGAGATCAATGATGTTATAAACCATGAAACATAATATAACATGTAAATAATGTTTTAAATGAACTTGTTTTTCCTTAGCTGATGCTACACAGTGCTTTAGCTTCCATACCTTATACAAACAGAGAGTGCTGGAACAAAGAGACAATTGAAACGGATTACAGCCCATGACTAGGCATCCATGAGTTATCGCCCTTGGCCCCTACTGCCTCATATTCTTCTCTGTCTGCCCTACGGACAGATGTGTATTGCAACAGAGTTTCTATTTACCTTGTTTTGTCATCAAATTTTGTCTTCAGATGGTGTTACCTCCATATATCCTTCCCCCTGCTTGGTATATCCGCTTGTTTGCGGTTTATGCCTTGATAATTCCATTTAATTTCAGGGCCTCGTAACTTAGCACAATTTGCGCATGGGTCGCCAATTTAACTTTCAGGCGTCTCATGTTTACGAGGTTGCATGTTAATCTACTTTTTTATACAGTTTTCTTAAACTATTGTTGAACCTGTTGGTTATTACCCGTTTTATGTTTTTGTTTGCTGCTAGTCCCACTTCACACTCTGGTTGTGTTTGAGCGCTTCTTCCTCTGGTGTTTGGGGTCCTACCATACTTCTCCTTCTCCAGCGTGTCATCATCTCTCGACCATCTCTGCCCCATGCCGCCCTTCGGATGATGAGCAACATTTTGTACCAGACTATGACGAAGTGTCTCCAGCCAAGTCTCTTACTCCTGTGGATATGCCTGCTTGGTTCATCTCCCACTCTATGAACTCCTGTTGATGAAGAGGTTCGGATGCTTGTTTGTTCTTCTCGGCCAAGTTCCTCAGTTCCGATGACCGATTCTCTTTGTCACTCCCTTTATCCAGTGGCTTCCGCCAACACAGCCATACAAGACTGCTTGAGCCATACAAGACCGCTTGGACAAGAATCCCTATGAGGCTAATGACCAGCTCCTTTCTGCCTTTAATTGGATCTTACCTCCAATACTGTCTTGGATCCATCACCATTGCTTGGCGCTCTGCCTTGCTCAAGCAGTCTTCCTGGGATCCATCCTTCAAGACGTAATTGATGCGCCATCCTTGGTTTGGTTTGGCTCTCTTCAACGGCCGGATCCCTACTGTTGCCAAGGAGACCCAGAGTTGGGACGCTAATCAACAGCATTTTCGTCTTCTTAGTAACTTGGAACGTCTCCTCTCTTCACAGCTCTCTTAGCAGTGAAAGTCCTGTGTTGGGAAGAGAACTGGTTTGAAGCGGAAGTCCTCTTCTTTTCGTCCCAAACGCCAGTCCTACCGCAGATTCTTTTCCGACAGGGACGGTAGGCGAAAGTGACTTTCGTCGGGCGCCCGACAACTGTCACCTCCCTCCGCCAGTTGTCCCTGTTCATCCATCCCCAGTAGGAGGTAAACTTCAAATCTACTGGAGGAATTGTAAGCTGCTCCAGGCTCAGAACCCGAACCCTCCCCCACAGTTTCTGCCTGCAGTTTCGTGCCCTTCCTCTTCTCACTACCACCCCTTTGGAACCTCTATTTGGCCTCTCGATGTTACGGCTCTTTAAGGTCAATATCGACCTCCTGACTGCCAAAAATGAGGAAGATCTCATAGACACGGACTCCATCACTCCAGGGTTTCGTTTTCCTATCTTACTAGTGCCAAAGAAGGCTTCGTCTGACGATGATCCACAATCTGGTGATATTCAGTCTCCACTATCTTGCGCCTCCGCCACATTTCCAGATGATCTCCATCCATTCTCCACCTACTACAACCGATGGACTACCTCATCAGTCTGGATCTACAGGATGTCTACCTGCATTGTTATTCACACATATAACTCATCGTTGCGTTTCTTCACTGCAGGGGGATTCGGTTTGGAGCCTACCTCGATGACTGCATCCACGGTCAAAGCATCCCTCAGACCCCGATTCTTCAGCACGTTTCAGGCGGGCTCTTTCTGACAGACCTCTCCTTGATACAGGTTACTCAGGATCAGTTTGCTGCTCTCCAATCTGGGGTCAGGAGAGCCCTTTCTCATCTCTTGCTCTGCCTGCCACAGGGCCTTCTTGGCCTGTTAACTTCAGCTCAGGATCTTAAATCCAGTGGTCATCTGCAACTGTGTCCCATTAAGAAGTTTCTCCTTCCCTTTCTGCACTCAGACCTGTCTGGTCCCCTTCTTTCTCTGCTGAGAGGAATTACACCCTTTCCTGGAGTGGTGGCTAGTCCCATCAAATGTCTTAGTGGTTCCTCAATGACAAGCTTAGAGGCCACGCACCATCTCTTCATGGACACGTCTCTACAGGGATGGGGTGCCCGTCTTCCCCAGGAAACTGCTTCCGGTCTTTGGACTCCTGTGGATCTTGCGTGACACATCAACAATCTACAGTTGGAGGCAATCATTCGGGCGATTTCGTCATTGCTCCTCCGAAACACCTGTCTTATCCGACAACTCCCAATCGTCCATTCCCCACGGAGTGGATGCTCCATCTGGACGCCTTCCGGTTCTTCTGCAACCACCTGGGAACTCCCAACGTCAATGTCTTCTCTACAGTGATCAACCACCAATTGCTGGTGTACGTGTCTCAAGCCCCGGACCCAGCTGCTTGGTAGGTAGACAGACTTGCTCTGTCCTAAGTCGGCGTGTACACTTCTCCGCCCAAAGTTCTTTCCCTCAGGTCATTCAGAAATTGGCTCAGACCTGTCCTCTGGATCTGCTTTTGGTTGCGCCTTACTGGCTGGCCAGGATTTGGTTTCCCAGGCTCCTTCATCTTGCCAGCGAACCTGTGTTTCATCTCCCAGTGTGGCATAATCTGCTGATCAATCCTCACACCAGACAGCCACATCCAGACCCCGGCGGTTACAGTCTGCATGTCTGGCGTGTCTCCAGAAGTCACTGATCGCTTAAGGTTTTTCAGTTCGTGCTGCAGTGGCTGTCTCCTAAGTTCATCGTTCCTCCTTTATGACAAGTGGCAGTCATTCCAGGCTTTCTGCTTGTCCAGGCACATCGCTCCAGTGGAGGCCACCATTCAACAGGTGGCTGACTTTTTTGTTTTTCTTTGCCAATCCTGTCACCTGGCTGGTTCCACAATTGTGACCTATCTTGCTGGGCTCAATTCTGTCCTGAAGATCGCTAGAGATTCTCGGCTATCATCGGTCCCTGCCCTCTTTGACATGGTCCGAGGTTTTAGCCTTGAGGACCAGACTAAGAAGTGTCAGCTTGGGATCTCAATGCTGTTTTGCTGGGCCCTGTATGAGCCACTTATGTTTGAAGATCTCACCTTGAAGACTTGGGCTGAGGGCTTATCACCACCAACAGCCTCCAATCCACATGGGATCCATGCCCTGTCTTCTTTGCTGGCCCTATATGTTAAGGTCTCCATCCGGTCCATCATGGAGGGGTGCTTCTGGTCATCTACTTTCTTTGCCAGCCATTATCTTAGCAACATTTGTGTGGAGGACGTCAAGGGTATGCATCGCTTTGGTTCACTTGTCCTGGCCCAGTAGCTGACCAACCCCTGATGCCGTTGACAATGCCATTTCCGAGGAACATGGCTTTTTGTGCTGTTCCTCTTGGGTTGCTGGGTACTGTTCTGTTGGTACCTAGTAAAGTTTTGGTCCTGTTTTTCCCCCTCTTTTGGGCCAGATACGGAATACCTTACTTTTACCCTTTGTCAGGCGATGTTCTCTCTACCTTCAGACCACCATTCTGTTCCGAGAGGACTTGACCTGCATCTTATCCCCTTGCCTGCTGTTCCGGGAGCCACTACCTTGCCGTTGCCTGCTGGGTTGCCTGCCAGACAGTTTTGTTGTATTTCCTCAGCATGCCTGGCGTTTCTCACGGAAAGCCCGCCTTCCATCAGTCGAATAAAGCTCTGTGTAGCGTCAGGTAAGGTAAAACAAGAGCATATCTGATTAAATGCAATGTTTTTATACTTACCTGACGCTACACCTATAGGCTAACCCGGACTCCATCCTCCTCCTCCTTACCGTTTGGCACTACTGTCTACACTACGTCTGTTGTCATACAGTGAAGAATATGAGGGAGTAGGGGCCAAGGGGGATAACTCATGGATGCCGAGTCACAGGCTGTAATCTGCTTCAACTGTCTCTCTATTCCAGTACTATCTGTTTTTATAAGGAAGGGAAGTTAAAGCATTAAAAAAGTATTAATATATATGAAATTTAAAACATTGTCCAACAAAGGTTTTAAGAGGACAATTTTCAGAGGTTTCATATGCATTCAGAAGACACCAAGGAAGAAAAGAAATATCTCAAGTGAGCTTATGTCATGGCCTGTTTGTCGGGCATTCATCATCAGTCGTGCATTTTGTGCTCTTAACATCTTCTCTTTAGAAACCACTGCACCAATGAAGCTGATAATTCACATACTTATTCCCACCAATGATGGCTCCCACAGCAGCCATATTGAAACACCTATTTATGGCCATTACTCAGCCATTATTGTTCAAAAGGTAATGAAATTTGCTACATCTGAAGCTACTGATGGGCCTCTAGATATATGTTCCATTTTTGTTCCATTTTACATTTCAATCTTGTTGTTCACTAATTGCAAAACTGTAATGAAAGCTGAATATTTTTCACTTTTGCGCTTTACTCTGCCATTTTAGCTTGTGTCATTTTGAATTTGAAATGCAGAAAGTATGTTGATTGTGGAATAACATTTAAGATGCTTTTGGGATATTTTGACTTTTTTTCCAGCTGCGATCTTTGACTTACATGTACCACTGTTTTTCTAGTGTCACTGCATTTATGACATCATCTTTGAAACTACAAGGCCCATGAAGCTGAATCGTTGTATGAATGGTCCTTGCTCACAGGGTTCTAATCCGATGTAAAACACGGCCATATTTAGAAAACTATTAATGGCCATCACTCGGTTATTGCTTTTCTCAAAATTATTGAATTTGTCATTGATGCAAATAGTAGTGAGACCAGACAAATGTAGGCCATTTTTTGTTGTTGCAATTTTTGCCTTGATTCAACCTTTATACCGGAAATGATTCACTGAAGTGAAAATGCTGTCATGAAGGCCTGGGACAAGTCCTTATTAAGACCTTGGTACTCGACCACCCTAATACCCGACCCTACCCATGGTACCCACTGTAGGTCTCAAGAGTTGGAACATAATGTCCGAATGGGAAAGCCCTGTCAAAGGCTATTTACAGACACATATTCAACGATCAGATCATGCATACACTGAAGTCAACTGAAGTCTCTACTCAAATGTATAAAAATAAGAAACAAAACGTGCACATGGATGCTCCAGTAAAGAATTTGGACATTTCCCAGCACTTGTTATATTCTCCTATTGTATTTTGTATTTTAGGTACAACTTCAGATCACTGGGTGTTGCCTTTATACGTCCAATCATGGCCAGTCGAGGCAGTCGAGAAGGAAACAATGCCCTTACTAAGGTAGGTGACAGTATTGAATTGGATATAAAAAGAAGTTAGAATGTTCCAAAATACCAAATTATTTTATTAAAAGTACTCTAAGGATAAAGAAGGTATGAATGAGAAAATATTGTTGTATGTTGCAGTTAGCAATATTTCAGCAATATTCCACAAATATCACAGCAATATCAGCAATACCATGGCAATATCACAGTAGTATTTCAGAATTATCTGCAATATTCCAGATGTTGTAGTGGGTAACTGATGATTGTGTTTCTAGAATCCACATAGGGAGACTGGGGACTCCAGTTTTCACTTAATAAATTTGAGTAATTTATATCTTTTTTGCAGGATCTGTCCGATATGCAAGAAAGAAAAGAGCCATCATCTGAATCAATCATCACTCACATGTTAGCTGTTGGTATTGACTTCAACACCATGAAAGATGTTTTGAAGGGAAAGAAGGACAGTCCAATGGACTACTATAAAGTATGTAAAACACAACTGATTGTGGCTTAGATGTTGGTTATCGGCCTCATGTAAATGAGCTCCAAATTAGTGGAATGAGATCTTTAACACCGATTCTATACCTCACTCCATCAAGTTCTGACAAACCATCACAGAAGGTCGTATCAGGTTAACTTCCTAATCAGCCAATATGCATGGAGGTCATGTCAGGGGAACTTTCTAATCAGCCAATATGCATGGAGGTCATGTCAGAGGAACTTTCTAATCAGCCAATATGCAGGGAGGTCATGTCAGGGGAACCTTCTAATCAGCCAATATGCATGGAGGTCATGTCAGGGGAACTTTCTAATCAGCCAATATGCAGGGAGGTCATGTCAGGGGAACTTTCTAATCAGCCAATATGCATGGAGGTCATGTCAGGGGAACTTTCTAATCAGCCAATATGCATGGAGGTCATTTCAGGGGAACTTTCTAATCAGCCAATATGCATGGAGGTCATGTCAGGGGAACTTTCTAATCAGCCAATATGTATGGAGGTCATGTCAGGGGAACTTTCTAATCAGCCAATATGCAGGGAGGTCATGTCAGGGGAACTTTCTAATCAGCCAATATGCATGGAGGTCATGTCAGGGGAACTTTCTAATCAGCCAATATGCATGGAGGTCATGTCAGGGGAACTTTCTAATCAGCCAATATGCATGGAGGTCATTTCAGGGGAACTTTCTAATCAGCCAATATGCATGGAGGTCATGTCAGGTGAATTTTCTAATCAGCCAATATGCATGGAGGTCATGTCAGGTGAATTTTCTAATCAGCCAATATGTGTTGAGGTCTTGTCAGGTGAACTATCTGATCAGTCAGTCGGCATAGAGGTCTTGTCAGGTGAATTTTCTGATCAGCCCATCTGCGTGGAGGTCTTGTCAGGTGAATTTGCTAATCAGCCAATCATTGTGGAGGCTTCTAAATTGTTAGTATGACTGAAGAAAGCTTTCAGACCTTGGTATCGTGAAAACAAACTAAATCGGGCAGTACCAAATGGATGATAATGGATGCATTATACATGTACTACTCAAAAGAAGTTAAAGAACATCCGATTCTTTCATATTACTATAGTAAATCTGACATGGCATCTGTAATGAAATTGTGAAAGAGCTGAGATGTTTTTGAAGTAAGACTGTTCACAGTCTTTTTGTCCAATATTTATTTTAGTGTTATACCTTGGATAGATAGTTAATCCACTGTAAGCAGTTGTAGGGTTGAATGTAACTTTCAGTCTTGCCTTTGATTAAAGCTTTAGTGTTTTACAGATCAGTCTTAAGATCGAATTTAGAGATCCCAAATTGAGTATGTAAGGGAGTTAAGGGCATAGTAGTCAAAAATATGATGTAAGATGTAAAAAGGGAATCAATTGAAATCAATAGTGTTCAATATTGTTTTAACAGGCCTGAGAAAATAACATTATTTTAACTTAATTTAGCATTTTAATAATGACATGGTAATTGTTGCCGTTGTGTTCAAGCCTTGCATACAAGGTTTCTTGTTTCCACATGTTTCCCCAGCCTACCAGTGTCATTAGATTCATGCCACAAACATGTTTGTTTAAATTCATGAGGATTCTAACTGTGCCAACTGGCACTCTAATTCCTGGAAATTCCTGCTTAAATGTCAGGTAAGCAATATTTGAAACCGGACATTTGAGATTCCCAATCGGACATGTCCGGTGCATATGACCGTTTCCAGACACCTGTTTCTAATGCTGAGTTTATTTTAAATTTTTAGTATCAACAAGCCCTTGTGAACATAGACATAGCTCTTCAACATGGGCACCACAAACTTGCTGGAGCCATCATGCAGGAAATAGCAACGGAACATCCAGGCCTCGGGAAACTAGCCACTCTTCACTACTCGGTAAGATTCGTGCAAGTAGGATTCATATATTCAGAGAGCAGCTGGATCCCCGGGCACTGTCATAGCAAAAGACATTAAATGATGACACTTGCTGATACCCTGCCTGGCACTTGGCTTCAGTGGGATAAAACAAGGACTGTCCGGCACGCTGTCAGTATGATGTTTCTGAGTGGGGTATCCATGTTAAACTGCGACATTGTATCTTGGTTGGCTAGCACTGTAAAAACCGGGTTAAATCTGGACTAGCAGCCCCACATGTGGATGCACATTCACAGTATGAGGGAAATAATCTTGGATATTACATTAAACCCAGTTTCATCTCATGTTGTACTCTCATTATTATTGCAGTTGTGATACCTCTGATGATATTGTTTCAAATAATATTTGGGAATCCACTTGGCAGTGTTCATAATAAGCATGTGTGATTTGTCATAACCCTAATGTTAGAAGTTAGAGATGAAGTGGGGTTCCAAGATTCAATACCATGGGATGGGCGAGGGGGGGTTCGTGGGATGGGAGAAGACTTCAAGTACTGCCGGGCCCTTCCCAAATGTTAAACACAGCTTGGTAATGTTTTTTGCATTAATTAATTATAGGATTTAGCTTGCTTACAAAATTTGAATTGTTGATATGTTTTATAATGTTTCAAATAATACGCTGATTCTTAGTTCTTGCAAACAACTGCGTCAAGACCAGGCAAACATGACCATTGTTCCGCAAAATCAGGACATAATGATGTTTTCAGTCCACTGAATCATTTTTTTAGGCTTAAAAAATAAAAGAATTGGTTCTCAGGCAATGACTTTTCAAAATATAGTGCGGACAGGGTTTGTTTTTTTGCTTGTTCAAACTAGTATGTAACCAAATAAACAGTTGCGTACCATCTACCTGCGAAAATGGCCTCCCTACATAAACAAGCATACAAACTCCTATTGCCGCCATGACCATAACACGAGATGCGCAGTAAAGCAGTTTGCGTGTAAAGGGAAGTAACCGTGTGCTATTTTGGATAGCATCGTTTTTAAGTATTAGGATTCTTTATATTTTTTTTAAAATCGAAATAAAACGAAACCTGCTGTGGACTTTATGATGATGCGGGCAGTGCCTGAGAACCAAGACTATTATTTATTTTAGCCTTAGTGTCATCTACCAGCACTAGAATGATGGAGACTGGTTCACTGTCCTCACACATTATGCTGAAGTGCTGAAATACTGTTTAATGTGGTGTTAAACCAACTCCCTCCCTCACTCTATTGACCACAGGTTCTCACGTCAGACAAGGAGTTGAAGAATTGCCCGCCATCACAGGTCAAGTGGGGAATCAAGTCGGTCAGAATGGTAGGTTTGAACTTGTTGTAATAGAAGACATCCATTGCATGAAATAACAGAATAACCCCAGCATACCTTTGACAATGTTTAACATAAGATAACAAACTGAGGACTTTCTGTCAGAATGTCTATCTATATAATGATGTCTGGACTTAAAGTTTCACTGTATTTGATAATTTGTGTGCTCCAACAGATCAATAACACTTAGTCGTCTTGAATGTGACATCTTGTATTACAGAGTTGTCTACCTTTGTTTTGCAAGGATCAGTCAGCCCCATATTCATGGGTTTCACCAAAGTGGTAAACATCTACAACCTGTGTCAGTTTGTTTCCTCTAATGTTAATTGGAAATAATGTGTATTTTTGATCAAATAGTTCCACCTACTCTCTCATTCTAACAGATAACACCAATCCACATTGCTGCCTGTAACCCGAACACTCAGCATCTGGACCGACTGCTCAAGGTGGAGCCTGACTTCCACATCTCAGACAAGTGCAACCGTCGACCCATCCACTTTGCTGCTGGCTGTGAGTCCACAGCCCCTCTGGAGTACCTGGTGGGGAGGTCAGTTTACATTGGTTTTTTTGTTTGGTCTTATCCAGGGTAGGCCGGTCATAATCAGTCAGTTTGTACTTTTGACCTTGTGACAAAGATATGAATACTGAGCATGTCATGTGTTGCTCTACCTTGACCTTGTTTAACGTAGCTGGTATGGAGAACTTGGACCACCCATTTTATATTTCCGGTTTAAGGATTTGACCAATCTGAGCCAAAAGCCACAAGATTAAAATAGAATAAAAATAAGTTTAAGTTTATTTTCCCGACCACTCCATTTTGATGGGTTGGGGGAGAAAATAGGAATTCACTATCTGAAATTATAATTTTTTTTTATTGTGGCCAAATGTAGCCATCTTTGTCATATCACAGATTATTTTCCCCCCACTGTAAATAACACCTACATCACTTGGTTTTTTTTCTTCCACATCAAGCTGACCATCACCTACTATCCATTGTATTATATCTCCATTCTATCATGATAAATACCCTGGACTCATTCACCACCATTCCTTGTCTTGGACTGACGTCACTACCTCCATCTCCTCTATTGCTAACTTGTCACAGAATATCTCTCACTCATAAGCTTGAAATCAACAGCCATTCAAAATGCCCCTTCTGAACGTAGGTTCAGCATAGATTTACATTCGAATTTGCAGCCCTCAATATATTTTATCGAACCACCAGACTGTTATAAACCATCAGCTAGGAATGATGATTTCGGGAGTGTTAATGTAGGGAGGGAAGTCTTTATGCTACTAGACATTCCCAGTTGCATATAGATGGCCGGCAACAAGGCGAGTAGAGAACTGGCGACATCACCACTTGTTTTTACCATGAGATTTGATTGGATGGCTGTTGTTAATGTCAGACTCATAACACAACTATAATGGCAACTAGATCCAGGGTATAATTCATAACAGAATGGAGGTATGATACATTGGATGATCGAGGATGCTGACATGGCATGGTTTATGGTTGTTCAAAGTGGTGTTGAAACAAACTATCTCATTGTCAGAATTAGAATACATTCACACACATTTACTGCAATATAGTCTCTCCTGATGCATTCTCATGAACAATGTTTGGTGATACATATCATGACTTTGTCTATTGTTCCATTCTTAAGTGTTGCTGTTGCAGAGGGGCCAACATGTATGACTGTGACCACAAGGGAGACACTCCTCTTCACTTTGCTGTCCGGGCAAACAGAGTTAAAAATGTGAAATATCTCCTGCAAGAAGCCAAAAAAAGTAATTCAATATTACAGAGACAACTTGATGTTGTATGTGTGGTCACTGAACAATGTGAAACCATTAAGTTGGCCACAAGAAAGTAATTTGTGTGTGTGTGTGTGTGTGTGTGTGTGTGTGTGTGTGTGTGTGTGTGTGCGTGCGTGCGTGCGTGCGTGCGTGCGTGCGTGCGTGCGTGCGTGCGTGCGTGCGTGCGTGCGTGCGTGCGTGCGTGCGTGCGTGTGTGTGTTAGTGTGTGTTAGTTAGTGTGTGTGTTAGTTAGTGTGTGTGTTAGTGTGTGTGTTAGTTAGTTAGAGTGTGTGTTAGTGTGTGTTAGTGTGTGTGTGTGTGTGTGTGTGTGTGTGTGTGTGTGTGTGTGTGTGTGTGTGTGTGTGTGTGTGAGAATATATTATGTTTTGGAAGCATATGTTGTGTTTGTGTCTAATTGGAAGCATGTAGTGTGTTTGTGTTTTACTGGAAGCATATGGTATGCTTCTGTTTTATTGGAAGCATGGGGTGTATTTGAATTTTATTGGAAGCATATGGTGTGATTGTTTTGTACTGAAATGTGGTGTGTTTTGTGTTTTATTGGAAGCATGGGGTGTGTTTGTTTTATTGGAAGCATATGGTGTGTTTGTGTTTTACTGGAAGCATGTGATGTGTTTGTGTTTTACTGAAATATGGTATGATTGTGTTTTATTGGAAGCATGTGATGTGTTTGTGTTTTACTGAAATATGGTGTGATTGTGTTTTATTGGAAGCATGTGATGTGTTTGTGTTTTACTGAAATATGGTGTGATTGTGTTTTATTGGAAGCATGTGATGTGTTTGTGTTTTACTGAAATATGGTGTGATTGTGTTTTATTGGAAGCATGTGATGTGTTTGTGTTTTACTGAAATATGGTGTGATTGTGTTTTATTGGAAGCATATGGTGTGATTGTATTTTATTGGAAGCATGTGGTGTTTGTGTTTTACTGAAATCATATAGTGTGTTTCTGTTTTATTGGCAGCATGTTGTGTGTTTGTGTTTAATTGGAAGCATATGGTGTGTTGTGTTTTATTGGCAGAATGTTGTGTGTTTGTGTTTAATTGGAAGCATATGGTGTGTTGTGTTTTATTGGCAGCATGTTGTGTGTTTGTGTTTTATTGAAAGCATGTGGTGTGTTTGTGTTTTACTGAAATCATATAGTGTGTTTCTGTTTTATTGGCAGCATGTTGTGTGTTTGTGTTTAATTGGAAGCATATAGTGTGTTGTGTTTTATTGGCAGCATGTTGTGTGTTTGTGTTTAATTGGAAGCATATGGTGTGTTGTGTTTTATTGGCAGAATGTTGTGTGTTTGTGTTTAATTGGAAGCATATGGTGTGTTGTGTTTTATTGGCAGCATGTTGTGTGTTTGTGTTTTATTGAAAGCATGTGGTGTGTTTGTGTTTTACTGAAATCATATAGTGTGTTTCTGTTTTATTGGCAGCATGTTGTGTGTTTGTGTTAAATTGGAAGCATATAGTGTGTTGTGTTTTATTGGGCTGAAGATGAACCTGTAGTGAAATGTTAGTTTGTTACCATTGCCCATAAGAGATATATAGCAGTGAGCACGGGAAAGAACATGTGACTTTATTAATACACATTAAAATGGTCCCAAATGGGCCTCATGTAGTCCACATCATCCTAATGATAATACTTTCCATTTATTAGTAAAGATATATGACCACAGTTAATTCTGCTTTTGAGTTTGTGTAGGAAAATAACATTTGTATTACAATTGGTTTAACATGATGTATAGGTGGAGTAGGCATAGGATGCAAAAGGTAGACATAGACATTTGGTCTATCAGTGGTCTTGTTGAGTTCTTATGAGAAATCAGTGTTAGAATAGCACCGCTACAGAAAAAAATTACAGAAAAACTACTTTATTTGCAGGTATATATACTGTTCAACTCTCCAAAATGGGTACCGATCTAATTCCTACTGTTCCAAAACAGCTTTTGGGAACGTATGTTCACACTTTATTTTAACTTGAAGTGACACATCAAAATGCCACAGTTTCATGGCAGTATCAGATACTATTTGTATGACAACATCTCCAAATATATCCAATCAAGCAGACACATTCACACCAGACATTCAGAATATCCCTATCAAAAGCTGAGTAGTATACAAAATGAGAAGAAGTGTCAAGAAATTGATACAGGAATGTTTTTTCTTTCAGCCATGAGTGACGATGATCCAATCTTTATGCGCTTTGGGGTTGGAGGCCTGAATCGGCCAAACAAGGCCTCGTACACAGCAATGCATATGGCCACAGAGAAAGACTATGTGGTAAGTCAGCTATCTGACCATTCCATATTTACTTATCATTAAAACAACAAGGTCTAAAGATGAAAGTTTGTTGCATGTGTAGCAGGGCGTGGAGTAATCCCACAGATGACTTCCTTACCTTGTCAGCTTGCTGACGGGGTTAACCTCTTTGGTCATGTGGACAAGGCGTCCGACCTCGGATCAGAAGGTCCGTGGTTCGAATCCCATCACAGGACTCAGAAATTTAATGGCCGCTACACATGGATGACTCAAGCATTGGGGTCACAGACTGGTGCTTGTTGAATCTATTCAGCAGAATGTTGCTTTTTCAGTGTGTCAGACATCAGTAGGTAATTTGATAAGGAGTGAAGGGTATTCTTGCACATTCACATTCTTTGCAGTACAGTAATCTCTTTATTTTCATGTAGCCTTTGAATCTACTTAAAATTGAATTTTACACATTCCCTGAAGCCTCTTGGTGCCCCTATTATGAAGCCATGGGGTGGTCGGGTAGCCTAGTGGTTAAAGCGTTCGCTCATCACGCCGAAGACCCGGGTTCGATTCCCGACATGGGTACAATGTGTGAAGCCCATATTGGTGTCCCCCGCCGTGATATTGCTGGAATATTGCTAAAAGCGGCGTAAAACCATACTCACTCACTCACTCACTATGAAGCCATGATGTAACTGAAATACTCTTCATAGCAGCATTAATCCTAAATCACTCACACACTTTGTGCATAGTATACTCTTATTAAAATCCTGTTTCAATCGGTGATTGTACAGTATAGCTGTTTGTTGTAGGAAATTGTTGATGTGCTGGTCGGTAATGGAGCCAAGGTAGATGTGCCACTCAACACATCTCGCTTCAAGGTCACGCCTCTCATGATGGCCGCTCAGTTCGGTTTCCTGGATACACTGAACTACCTTGTGGACCATGAGGCAGTTGTGCAGCGGAAAGGTGAGGCCATGTGCAGGGAAGGCTAATCATCCAGTCACTTGCCAAAATCAAGATCCATTTTTTTAGCTTTTTAATTTGATTTAAAAAAATATTTGAATGCAGATTCTTGATGAAATTACAATCAAATTTACTCAAACTTCATTAACTAGACCGGGATTAAACCAGATTCTAAACTATGGTAAGTGCCCTGGCAGGCAATTTGAGAAAAATATTATTTTGCTCATTTTTGTAAATCACCTCCAGTAATTTTTAAGCCATAACAATAACATTAGTCATTACTGTATAACATGAATTGGAGATTTGTAGTTCCATTTTGGGAATTTTTATGGACATGTGCTGCCGACTTGGGGCTGAATATCAGCCTCTGAGCAGATCTAGGTGAATCCCTGCTTGATATGAAATATGGCAGGTGCTTATTTATAGTAGATATCAGATGGCTTTGCTTGTTAAGAGAATTATAAAAATGTTTGTTTTTTTAATCAAGACAGCTGAGAATGGTCAGTTATTAGAACATATACCCTGTACAGGAAAAATAAAAGAGTTTAGTGTTGACTGAGGTGTGAAATTCTTACACTGTAATGTTTTCAGACCGCCTGGGCAGAACAGCTTTGATCCATGCAGCCATGAACGGGAACACAAACATCTTGTCCTACCTACTGAACATTGGCTGCAACCCCAATCTGTGTGACAACTCCGGCAACTCCCCCATCAACTACGCTGCAGCGTACGGCTGGTACTTCTGTGCCAAAACACTACTTGAGGCAGGAGCAGACGCCAATGTAGGAAATGACTGGAAGGTAAGTTCATCAGCCAGAGGCTGTTACATACTGTAACTCTGGGCACAACTGGAGTGAGATGATCACCCAGAGGCTGTTATATACTGTAAATCTGGGCACAACTGGAGTGAGAAGATCACCCAGAGGCTGTTATATACTGTAACTCTGGGCACAACTGGAGTGAGATGATCACCCAGAGGCTGTTACATACTGTAACTCTGGGCACAACTGGAGTGAGAAGATCAGCCAGAGGCTGTTATATACTGTAAATCTGGGCACAACTGGAGTGAGATGATCACCCAGAGGCTGTTACATACTGTAACTCTGGGCACAACTGGAGTGAGAAGATCAGCCAGAGGCTGTTATATACTGTAACTCTGGGCACAACTGGAGTGAGATGATCAGCCAGAGGCTGTTACATACTGTAACTCTGGGCACAACTGGAGTGAGAAGATCACCCAGAGGCTGTTACATACTGTAACTCTGGGCACAACTGGAGTGAGAAGATCACCCAGAGGCTGTTATATACTGTAACTCTGGGCACAACTGGAGTGAGTTGATCAGCCAGAGGCTGTTATATACTGTAACTCTGGGCACAACTGGAGTGAGAAGATCAGCCAGAGGCTGTTATATACTGTAACTCTGGGCACAACTGGAGTGAGATGATCACCCAGAGGCTATTATATACTGGGTGAGTTGAAGCAGATGTATAATTCAAAACACAAAGAATGAAATGCAATCTGATAGTGTTTACACTCTTGTCCCATCTATCATTTCATATTTGGATGAATTTAAATTCAAACATATTTGTGACTTCACCACAAAATGGATTCTTTGACAAGACACGAAGTGTACGAGTATCATGAAAAACATTGTGCAATAAAGACACATTGGAGACAGTGATTGGGTTTGTGTTGTGGTTATAAAGATGTACTGAGACCATATTTGCCAATGGCATTAATTATTTCCTTCAAATATGACATGATAAATGGGAGTATGTTGTAGGTATTCTCAGATTGCATTGTACCAGTGTTGGAAATACTTTCAAACCCTAACGAGATAGTCGGGCAGGTGATCCATAAATGTTGCATGCCCATCTTCAAAGTTACCTGCCCGTATTCAGATATTATGAATATTGAAAAATCCCACCAAACAAATAAGAGACAAATTGTGTCTTGATTCAGTTGAAATAATGTAAACAATTACATCTGAATCTACAAGGAGTTATAATAAAACTGAATATGTAAGCAGTCTTAAAATTATCTGCCAAACAGTCGGGCAGGTAGAGGAAAATTCCATGCAGCCCGACAGAAAAGTTACCAGCCATGGACAGGCAGACAGGCAAGGTGTATTTATATACAGAACAGGTTGTTTGATGATGAAAAGGCATACAATCTCATTATTTTAACTTCTGATTCCTGTGAGGAAGTTAAAAAACAGGATCATACACTGCTAATTAGAATTCTCTTTTGTCTTTATCAGACTACGCCTCTCTCCATCGCCTACATGAAGAGCCATTTTGGTATTGTCAGCCTGCTGCTGTCAAAATCTGATGTTGATGTCAATTTCCAGGATGACCAAGGTAGGGCAGGGAATTACAAAGATAACTAAGATTTTACTTTCACTTTGAGACTTCATATGAGTTAAGACCCCTGTGGGGTGTCTGGTTAGAAAAGTTCCCAACCCAGCTATATGACGACAGTCTATAAATAATCAAGGCTAGACTAGACAGTCCAGTGATTGACTTCATGAGCATCGATCTACGCAATTGAGATACAATGACATGCATCAACCAAGTCAGCAAGCCTGACAACCTGAACCTATAAGTTGCCTCTTACGACAAGCATAGTTGCCTTTTACAGCAAGCATTGGTTGCTGAAAACCTATTCTAACCCGGATCTTCACAGGTAGGCTCGGTCACTTGTTTGATTGCATGTCATGTGCTGATTGTGTGGGACTTTGCTCTATTTGAATTACTAATTTCACTGATCCTCACTCAATTATTGATAGGCCGTCATCTGATGGCTGGAATGTTGCTGAGTGAGGCACTAAGCAAACAACAAACAAGATGAAACACTTTGAGTGAAGGTTCAAGTGTATGAAGCTCAAAAGCATGGAGTTGATCATATGAAGTGTGCATCAATGTTTTTTTCTCACTAGAATGTATTATTGTGAAGATTTTGTATGACCCAAGATAGAGTTATGTATAAGGTGTAATCAAAATAATAAGCTGACGCTTGAAATAGGACTGCTCTAAGATTTTGTTGGAATTTGACCTCTAGCACTGACAGTGATGTTTCTAATGACTACTACACAAAGATTATCGACATCAGAGATTGTTTATCAATGGACTTCTTACAAATGGCACTGGGAATTTTTTGGGGCACTCGTATATGAAAAAAGTCAAAAGTCAAAGGTCAAGATAATGAGATAAATATGCAAAGAAAAGTTGTTACAGTTTCTGAAAATGTATTCATACATTTATCATTGAACTTGGCATATACCTTTCTTAGGTATGGGGTCCTGCTTTGGAAAGGTTTTGGTCAAGATTAGAAAACGGTCAAGGTCAGCATTATGTTTTTGTGCAACATAGTAATCTCATTGTCAGTTTGTAAGGCATCGTTACCTCTACACGCATGAAACTCTATGTTTTCAACTTTCTCAAGAAGTCAATCCACATCAAATGTCAATTGCGTTTGGTTCCCTTCGAGGTAATTGTCAAAAGTAGTTTCTCTTGAATATGGAACGGCAAAGATTGACAGAGGATATGCTAAAATGAACTTATTTCACATGGCCATGGGAATTTCTTTTTGTTAAAAATGCAGTTAGAAGGTCAAAGGTCAAGGTCACAAGATAGGTCTTACTCCAAAGTTGATCGTCACACTTTTTAAAAAAGTATTACCGCATGCATCATTAAACTTGGTGTATGCATTCTCTAGGATGGAGGCCTGCTTTGAAAGTTTAGAGGTCAAGATCATGAGATAGAAAAATCTCATAGAAATGTTTGAAGTTACACTTTCTGAAAGTATTCATGACAAGTGTTCTGAAAAAGAATAATGCATGATTTTCACACTTTTTGTACTTGTAGAATTGTTGCGATTTTAATTTGCATTTTGAATATCTTGTCAGTTTAAATTGCATACACCTTTGTAAGATATTAATAATGATGCATTTATTCCATATTTAATCCTCTGTTCCAGGTATGACCTTGGTGTCTACAGCTGCCTCAAGCGCCCTGTACCCAGACCTGTATGAGCAGATGGTATATCTGGTGAAGGACAAGAAAGCGGACTGCACCTTTGTGGATGTTGAGGGTTGTACACCTGTGAGTTGACAACAGTTACCTGTAGTGATGGTTGTATACCTGTGTGTTGACAACATATACCTGTAGTGATGGTTGTATACCTGTGAGTTGACAACATTTACCTGTAGTGATGGTTGTGCACCTGTGAGTTGACAACATTTACCTGTAGTGATGGTTGTATACCTGTGTGTTGACAACATTTACCTGTAGTGATGGTTGTATACCTGTGAGTTGACAACATTTACCTGTAGTGATGGTTGTATGCCTGTGAGTTGACAACATTTACCTGTAGTGATGGTTGTATACCTGTGAGTTGACAACATTTACCTGTAGTGATGGTTGTATACCTGTGAGTTGACAACATTTACCTGTAGTGATGGTTGTATACCTGTGAGTTGACAACATTTACCTGTAGTGATGGTTGTATGCCTGTGAGTTGACAACATTTACCTGTAGTGATGGTTGTATACCTGTGAGTTGACAACATTTACCTCTAGTGATGGTTGTATGCCTGTGAGTTGACAACATTTACCTGTAGTGATGGTTGTATACCTGTGAGTTGACAACATTTACCTGTAGTGATGGTTGTATACCTGTGAGTTGACAACATTTCCCTGTAGTGATGGTTGTGCACCTGTGAGTTGACAACATTTACCTGTAGTGATGGTTGTATACCTGTGAGTTGACAACATTTACCTGTAGTGATGGTTGTGCACTTGTGAGTTGACAACAGTTACCTGTAGTGATGGTTGTACACCTGTGAGTTGACAACTGTATCTGTAGTGATGGTTGTATACCTGTGAGTTGACAACATTTACCTGTAGTGATGGTTGTGCACCTGTGAGTTGACAACAGTTACCTGTAGTGATGGTTGTACACCTGTGAGTTGACAACAGTATCTGTAGTGATGGTTGTATGCCCGTGAGTTGACAACAGTATCTGTAGTGATGGTTGTATGCCTGTGAGTTGACAACAGTTACCTGTAGTGATGGTTGTACACCTGTGAGTTGACAACAGTTACCTGTACAGGCAGTGATGGTTGTACAGCTGTCGGGTTTCAATACCTCCGTTTGAAAAACAGATATGGCGATCAGCAAGGCCGCCTGTCCTTCCATCAGCCGTCCATTTTCTGTTTCCTTTTGAATAGTTCTTGCTGAAACTTGCTATACATATCAGTCTAGTGGTGAACTGGTGCCTTTTCATCATTTGAGATATTTCATATTTTTAAAAACTTTTTTTATGACAAGTTGGACTTGTACTAAAAATGAGGGTAGTGCTCATTTCCAGAGCAGAACTCCAAAACCATTGGGATATTAAAAAAATCTGAACAGCTTTATCTTTTTCTTTGCTGAACTGAAGGTATCCAATGGCAATGAACCAAAAGTGGGGTATAAGTAGCCAAACTCTATTTCTGAATTGCACCAGACTGGGGGATATGTAATCTCCTGGTGACTCTTGTTCTAAAATATGGTTCTATAATTGTCAGTGTCTGAGGCATGGTTACTTCTACAGGCATGAAACTTGCATCTATCTTTGCATTTTTCTTTACAAATCCTTCCTCATGAAGCTTTTGTTGCATGTCTGTAAAAGGTCAAGGTTGTCTTTTAGGTTATTGTGAAACATGCTTGTATCATTCATTGCCAGTTACTGTAGCAATTTTACTGGTACAATCCAGGGACTTGATCTTGAAAATCTTAAGAATGTGTCTTTCAATGTGTCTGGAGGTAATGTTTCTGGCCTGGAATTACATGGTATTTCAACATTTTGTGAGCTTTTGGAAATGGCGGGAAAAGGGCTGCTTCTGTTTTCTCAAGTATTTGCCAACGAAGTTACATTAATTATACAGTCACAGATATAGTAAACTTCCATTCCTCAGTACACTTTGTGATATAACAGAATTAATGTGATGCCTGTTCTGTTGCAGCTTCATCACCTGGCCCGCAATGACATCCTCCTGGAGGGCACACAGCTCGTGAGTTACCATGGTTACTGGGTGGATACTGATAGGGATGTTGGAAGTTAAATTGCATAGTGGTACCCTGAGTAGATTATAAGAGTTTTTCAGTCCCACCATAAAAATCATAGTCTTCTCCATACATCTTTTCCATGGCAAAACCTGTATATTCATATTATTTTGGATGCTGGAACATCCAGCCCAGGGTTATACATATAATTTTACACCTTTCTAAACTGCTACCTGCTCAGCTCTAGAACCTTGAACACATATTACATAATTTGTATATGAATAAACAAATTAGTAACAATATCGTAATTTCAGAATATATCAACATGGTCATATTTTAAAAGATTCTTATAAGAAATAGAACCTAAGTGGAAAGTCTCTATAGGATAACCTGCCAAGTAAATAATCTTCATAGGATAACACGGAAGACAGTCTGTCTGATTCAGTAACCTGCCAAGTAAATAATCTTCATAGGATAACACAGAAGACAGTCTGTCTGATACAGTAACCTGCCAAGTAAATAATCTTCATAGGATAACACGGAAGACAGTCTGTCTGATACAGTAACGTGCCAAGTAAATAATCTTCATAGGATAACACGGAAGACAGTCTGTCTGATACAGTAACGTGCCAAGTAAATAATCTTCATAGGATACCACGGAAGACAGTCTGTCTGATACAGTCACCTGCCAAGTGAATAATCTTAATAGGATAACACAGAAGACAGTCTGTCTGATACAGTCACCTGCCAAGTGAATAATCTTCATAGGACAACACGGAAGACAGTCTGTCTGATACAGTCACCTGCCAAGTGAATAATCTTAATAGGACAAAATGGAAGACAGTCTGTCTGATACAGTCACCTGCCAACCGAATAATCTTCATAGGACAACATGGAAGACAGTCTGTCTGATACAGTCACCTGCCAAGTAAATAATCTTCTTAGGACAACATGGAAGACAGTCAGATACAGTCACCTGCCTACCTACCCTGACAACATACAGATCTTATGGAAACCAAGTGTCACTTGAATAATGACGTATCTTCCTACGCTGACAACATACAGGTCTGATGGAAACCAAGTGTCACCTGCACAATGGTGTGTCTTCCTAGGCTGACAACATACAGGTCTGATGTAAACTAAGTGTCCCCTGCACAATGGTGTGTCTTCCTACGCTGACAACATACAGGTCTGATGGAAACCAAGTGTCACCTGAATAATGGTGTGTCTTCCTAGGCTGACAACATACAGGTCTGATGTAAATTAAGTGTCACCTGCACAATGGTGTGTCTTCCTACGCTGACAACATACAGGTCTGATGTAAACTAAGTGTCACCTGCACAATGGTTTGTCTTCCTACGCTGACAACATACAGGTCTGATGGAAACCAAGTGTCACCTGAATAATGGTGTGTCTTCCTACGCTGACAACATACAGGTCTGATGTAAACTAAGTGTCACCTGCACAATGGTGTGTCTTCCTATGCTGACAACATACAGGTCTGATGGAAACCAAGTGTCACCTGCACAATGGTGTGTCTTCCTACGCTGACAACATACAGGTCTGATGGAAACCAAGTGTCACCTGAATAATGGTGTGTCTTCCTACGCTGACAACATACAGGTCTGATGTAAACTAAGTGTCACCTGCACAATGGTGTGTCTTCCTACGCTGACAACATACAGGTCTGATGTAAACTAAGTGTCACCTGAATAATGGTGTGTCTTCCTACGCTGACAACATACAGGTCTGATGTAAACTAAGTGTCACCTGCACAATGGTGTGTCTTCCTACGCTGACAACATACAGGTCTGATGGAAACCAAGTGTCACCTGAATAATGGTGTGTCTTCCTACGCAGACAACATACAGGTCTGATGTAAACTAAGTGTCACCTGCACAATGGTGTGTCTTCCTAGGCTGACAACATACAGGTCTGATGTAAACTAAGTGTCACCTGCACAATGGTGTGTCTTCCTACGCTGACAACGTACAGGTCTGATGGAAACTAAGTGTCACCTGCTAAATGGTGCCTTTCCACCCTGATGGTATTGATCATTACTCAGGTCAAAGCTTCCTGCTGACTGTGGTGTTAAACAGCATTAATTAACCATTCATCACCTGCATGATTGTTGCTATCCCAGACCTGGGGCTAAAACATGTGTAAGTTCAGTTTTATGATATTTCTGTTCCGCATACAATTTGTACCTGAACATATACCATGTCTCTCTCTCAATGTTGCAGACGCCAATGCCAAGTGATGAGGCGATGGAAACAAGTGTAAAGATTGCCAAGTTGCTTGTAGAAAATGGCTGTGACCAGAAGGCTCTGGACAAGAAGGGAATGTCAGCGGTCATGGCAGCTATGAGAAATGTAAGTTAGGCAATGATGAATTAATTATAAGATCTTCATCCTTGCCTCTCGCTTCACTTTTTTAGCTCACCTGACTGAAAGTCAAGTGAGCTTATGTCATGGCATGTTTGTTTGGTGTCAGTCATGACTTGACTAATGCAGCTGAAACTCATGCAGCGTTCCCTCAATTGATGACATCCCATTTATTTCTGGAGACTCAAATTTGATTTTGAACATGGCAGCCATTTTTGTTGAAATGTAATTAAATTTGGTACATGTGTAGTAAGTAGTGTTTCACTTTTTGCGATATTTAAGTTTTGACCTATATTTGACCATTGCACCTCGACCAATACTGAAATCTGAAACTTCTTACGTACCTTACTCTGCCATTTTCTTTCAAAATGTAATGAAATTTAGTATATGTGTTGTTAGTAGTGGGGCATACACATGCTCTGTTTTCTTTTGCAAATTTGGACCTTGATTTGACCTTTGCACTTTGACCCTGCTCCTAAAACAGATTCCCTTGCACTAAATCATCTTCTCAGAAACCATTGGGCCAATGAAGCTGAAACTTCACATGCTTGTTCCTACCAATGATGACACCCCAATTTGATCCAAATCAGCACCTTATTATGGGGTTATGTTTCTTGACATTTTTAACTGTTGACTACAGTCCCAGATGAGCTACAAGGTTGTGGCACAATTTTTTAACTTTTTGAATGAAAAGCTAATAATTGAATTATTGGGGCCGTATTTAGTTCCTTTTTATCCCTTGCCCAAACGAGTGTGAGTGTGTGCGTGTGAGTGTGCATCCCGAAATCGTTTCCGGAGCAGAACTCAGAAACCATTAAATATTTCTATACAAGATTTTGCATGACTCAGGCGGAACTGGTGGCTTTTGCTATTTAGGAATTTTAGAATTTTTTATTTTTTACGTTTCCATGGCAGCAATTTGGACTTGGGGTCTATAAGGGTGGTGTTCATTTCCGGAGCATAACTCAAAAACTGTTAAATACTTTCTTACAAAACTTTGCCTGTCTACCAGGCAGATACTGAACTGGTGGCTTTTGCTATTTAGGAATTTTAGAAATTTTTATTTTTTATGTTTCCATGGCAACAAATTGGATTTAAGTTTTATATAATGGAGTATAACAAATAAACTGTTAAATATTTACTTGCCAAACATTGCATGTCTATATATAAAGCGCATACTGAACTGATGCCATTTGATATTAAGGAATTTTAGAAATGTTTATTTTAGAATTTCCATTGTAGCTATTATGACATGAGCTAAGAGAAAACCAGTTACCTGGTTTGGGACAATAATGTGTTAAAATTGGCAGGGGATATAGATGACTTCGTCGAGTATACGCTTGTCTTATTTTTCTTTAGTTTCTATCTTTAAGTTCCTGTCCTTGAGTTTCTTTTGTTTCTTTTGTTTTTATTGTGGGGAAGCATTTCCTATCTTGCCTGATGTTTTTAGAGACCTATGTTTATATTATTTCTTCAAGTTACATATGTCAAGTTATATACATGAGATTATACAACACAAAGAATGAACTCCAGAGAAAGTCGTCCTGTGGGGATGCTAGTGCAGGAGAGGCTCCAAGTATCCCACACTTGTTGTAAGACCTGACCAGTGGGAATCAGGTGGTCTCAGTGTATGACCTGGCTCAATGTGTTTCATCACACATTGATGGAGTGAATAGTTGCTTGTGCTATCAACCACTTGTTTGCCTATCCTAGGCTTGATTCTATCCAGGTCAAGGGGAGAGTGAATGAATTTGGTTTGCTTTGAACAATATTTCAATTATCACTTTTTTGTGGTAGGATTACTCCTAGTGATGCAGGTCTTAGACATTAACCACTTTGATGAAATCGCCTCAAGAATCATGATCAGGGCAAATTTGAGAAACCGTCCAACCAATATAAGATTCTGGCACACCTAAGGGATGCAACTCCATGCCTTAGATGATGAGGCCACCCATGTCCCAAAGGACTTGTTTAAACATTATTACACTGTATGGAACATTTACACTGTATATAGCTGGAGATAGAGCTGGTGTTGCATGATGCAACATTCAGAGCTTCGCCCATTCAAGATATTTGGATTTGTCTCTCTTTTGTTCCCAGGGCAACGTACAGCTGGTTGAGTTTCTGCTGCAGAAGGACAGCCCCATCATGACGGACCTGGACAAGGAGGGGGACAACATCCTCCATTCCCTGTGTTATGACCACATGGACTCCATGAAGGACTACCTTGCAGTCCTCAAGTCCATTGTTTCCAAGGTGAGTTTCTACACTTCTATTCCATGAAGGACTACCTTGCAGTCCTCAAGTCCATTGTTTCCAAGATGTGTTTCTACACTTCTACTCCATGAAGGACTACCTTGCAGTCCTCAAGTCCATTGTTTCCAAGGTGAGTTTCTACACTTCTACTCCATGAAGGACTACCTTGCAGTCCTAAAGTCCATTGTTTCCAAGGTGAGTTTCTACACTTCTACTCCATGAAGGACTACCTTGCAGTCCCCAAGTCCATTGTTTCCAAGATGAGTTTCTTCACTTCTACTCCATGAAGGACTACCTTGCAGTCCTCAAGTCTATTGTTTCAAAGGTGAGTTTCTACACTTCTACTCCATGAAGGACTACCTTGCAGTCCTCAAGTCCATTGTTTCCAAGGTGAGTTTCCACACTTCTACTCCATGAAGGACTACCTTGCAGTCCTCAAGTCCATTGTTTCCAAGGTGAGTTTCTACACTTCTACTCCATGAAGGACTACCTTGCAGTCCTCAAGTCCATTGTTTCAAAGGTGAGTTTCTACACTTCTACTCCATGAAGGATATTTGATTGAGCAGTTTGCTCAGGGTTCTTCTGGTGTAACCTACTGTGGAGGTTTGGTCAGAGTGTAAATTTAGATATTTTCAAACAAATTCAAATGTAAACAATTGTCAGTATAAACGAATCCTTATAAGAATGTGAATATGAATGTTAAAGATTCTCTGATATGCAGTGAAAATTGAAATATGTTTTACTCCCCAGTCATTAGAAAGTAATTTTCTTCTGTTTCAACTCAGTGACCTTCACCTAATCCTCGCTTACAATGATCTCTGAGAAACTATTTGTTAAAACTTGAAGATAATGTTGATGTAATGAGTGTTCTTTTCATGCAGGATGCAGCACAAAAGAAAGCTTTCATAGAAATGGCTAAAACCTTCTGCAATGATGGCAGTATTCCGCTGCTAGCTGCCTGTCAGCAGTACAGTGTCTGCAAGGTAAAGTGAGGACTGTGCTTTAGCTCTCTAAAGTGACACTACTATTTTCTTGAAAGCATCTGGAGAACACGTAGCCAAGTGGTCTTAGATGCCATAACTTGCGGTGACAGAATCGACTACTCTGTGGGTTCTGATCTCAGGATCAGCCCCATTATAATCCTTGATCTGTGCATGTGGATTTAAACAAAGTTGTAAATGTCTACAATTTGGTCTTTTGAAAGGCATTTAGAAATTATACACTCAAGGAAGAGAATTTATGGATGTCAACTTCTTTATTATGAGGAACACTATGTTTTGGAGTATATACTTACTCCTTCATCAGGTGAATAAATGCTATGAGGCAGAGAGATTATATATGTACCTGTAAGAACAACAAAAGTACTCAGGTAACTAAGGTGGAAACTTAACAGTGGAGTGCAAACAGATAATTGGCACTGATAGGTGATTAGCAATGGACAAAAGGAAGCCAACGTTTAACTTATCACTGATTGGTAATGTATGGGCGGACATTCCGTCAAAAAATACAAAGTTGAAATAACGGAGAAAAGCATGCAATAATAGTCAAATGTTACGAATAATATATAAAATGTTGCTAATAAAGGTTAAAATACAAAACAAACAGATGCCGGTGAAAAAATACCAAGCTGAACTAAAGGTCAAAAGTTATCAATATAATAACAAGTTGATACCGTGCCATTTTAGCACAATTCTCACACAACGTTAACTTTTCAGATGTTAACATAATAAATTGTGCACCTCGGCATGCAGTTATATGCACAGCAGATCTAGCAGATTATACTCTGAATGTTTTACAAATTGAAACACCATCTGGCGTTCTTTATGGTCAACCTCCTTTAGCAGTTTAGTGTCCTTTCGTGCGTATGTTTGTCCTTTTTCAACTTTGTATTTTTGACCGCATGGTCGCCCATAGTAATTGGCAGTGGACAATGTGCAAATGCGAGGCCGGGGGTAATTAGCAGTGATAGGTAATAGGCTGGAAACGAAAATTAGGACAGAAATAAGGCAATGGGCAGATTTATTTAACTTTTTGGAGAAAGTGAATACTAAGACAGGAATTATTGATATTTTATGATATTTGTTTTCTGCAGAAAAAACTATCTTCGACTGATGAGGAAGAGGATAAGGCAGCTGGAAGGCTGTTGTGGAAACGTGGACGTGATTTCATCAAGTTTCTGATCGATGAACTTAAGTCCGATGTGAATGCCATCATATCTGAGAAACATTATGAGAAAGAAGAGGACAAGCCAGAGAAGGAAGAGGACAGATACCAAGCTGACTGGGGTAGGTAGGGCTGTGAAAGGCTTGGAAAGGGACTGGAGGGCTGTGAAATGGCTGGGAACTGGCTGGAAGGGATATGAAATGAATGGAAGGGCTAGGAAGGCTAGAAAATGGCTGGTAGATGGCTGGGAACTGATTTACAGCTATTTCATCCTGGCCTGTAAAAAGTAAATCTGAGACAAGGGCAGATCCTGCATTTTTAATAGGGAGGGGTCCAAATATTTAAGTCCTCTCTCAGTCAATTTTATTGCCTACAACACACTATTTTTGGTTTTCAAAAGGTGGGGTCCGGACTCCTGGACACCACTCTGTATCTGCCTATGGGAGAAGACCAGTGATTAGGAGCATGATCACTGGAACCAGTTTCTTTGTGTTTCAGGCAAATGGTCTGTGGCAGAAATGCTTGCGGATGTTGAATCTTGTGAGTATTGTGGTTTACGGGAAGAAAAGGAAGAAGAGTGGCCAGCACTCCGAATGATCCTCAAGTACAAGCCCAACATGAACACTCGTGACTGTGAGGGCCACACAGCGCTCACGGGGGCTGTTGACTACAGCAAGGTGGTGCCAGCTCACCTGCTGGTATGTACCCATTTATCAACATTGTTTTTTCAGTAACAACAGACAAAATACATTTACAGGCTACGTTATGACAGTCACCAGAAAGTGACTGATAGTTTGATAGTAGGAAATACCATGTTGATCTCACAGAATGTATGAGCAAAGTAATGTTTTCACAGAAATTAAGAAACAGTAAGAATATATGAACACTCTTGCTCTTAATGTATGTGAGGAATTAAGGAAATGAACTTAAATAACATTTTTTCAGTGATCTGAAACAGTTACATGCATATCCTGTTTTTTGGAAGCAATGCTTAAGAGGTACCTACTTGTTTTCAGGTTAATCAGAGCAATTCTGATGTGAATGCCTACTTGTTTACAGGTTAATCAGAGCAATTCTGATGTGAATGCCTACTTACTTTCAGGTTGAGCAGAGCAATTCTGATGTGACTGCCTACTTGTCGCAGGTTAATCAGAGCAATTCTGATGTGAATGCCTACTTGTTTTCAGGTTGAGCAGAGCAATGCTTATGTGAATGCCTACTTGTTTTCAGGTTAGGCAGAGCAATTCTGATGTGAATGCCTACTTGCTTTCAGGTTAGGCAGAGCAATGCTGATGTGACTGCCAACTTGTTTTCAGGTTAGGCAGAGCAATGCTGATGTGAATGCCTACTTGTTTTCAGGTTGAGCAGAGCAATCCTGATGTGAATGCCTACTTGTTTTCAGGTTGAGCAGAGCAATGCTGATGTGAATGCCTACTTGTTTTCAGGTTGAACAGAGCAATCCTGATGTGACTGCCTACTTGTTTTCAGGTTAGGCAGAGCAATGCTGATGTGAATGCCTACATGTTTTCAGGTTGAGCAGAGAAATGTTGATGTGACTGCCTACTTGTTTTCAGGTTGAGAAGAGCAATGTTGATGTGAATGCCTACTTGTTTTCAGGTTGAGAAGAGCAATGCTGATGTGAATGCCTACTTGTTTTCAGGTTGAGGAGAGCAATGCTGATGTGAATGCCTACTACATCAAGGAGGAGAATGGGAAGAAGTACAAAATCTGGACAGTTGTCATAGCAGCTCTGTGAGTTAAACTTCAAGAATAGCCTTTTATAAGAATTTGTATGGTGTTTTGTTATTGCTTTTTAAACAGGGTGATGAGATCAAATTGTGTTTGTTGTTGGATCCAGTATTTTATAAGTTGCAATTATATTCATTGAAAATGGTGTTTGAATGGGATACATCAGTCAGATTTCCACAAGGTAAATTGATACTTGATATGATTTGGTACAAGAATGGAACCTCGATTTGTTCATGCCAAAAAAGTAAGCCAGCAGTACAGTCGGCTTCCATTTTAATCAGAGGATCTAAATTAGGTTCAACAATGGACAAGACTGAGAGCAGTTGATGGTTCTTAAAAAAACTTATTATCAATATTCTATTCCATCACCGAAATTCTGCACAATTTTCAATTTTGAGAGACAACAGCTATGATGTTGTGAAAATGAAATATCATAAATGACAGAAAATGTCAAGCCCTTGTACCAGCAACACTTTTCTTAAATGAATGCTCATAAGAATGTACTTTATGATCAACAGTGCTCAGATGCTAATTTTTGTACTGATTATATCAAAATGTATAAGAATGATATGTATCTAAATGTTTAGGGACATTTGAAATATTATGTTTAAGTGGCATTTAGAAGCTATGGTATCGCCTTACTGATTTTAATATTTTGGAAGAAAAGCTAATACCATTTTTAAGCCCTAGAATCTGCACTAAAACATTGCATTGAAGTGATGAGAAAGAAGTTGGAATCCTTAAGTCAACCCTGTCTTTATCTCCTTGCTTGCATCATCAGCACGGCTAACTATGAGCTCCTGACTTTGATGGTTAATGCATCTGCGGACCTGAATGTGATTGATGAGAGGGACGGCAGTCGGCCTCTCCATGCAGCCATCATCAAGGGAGACAAGGCGGATGGTACACTGCTCACACATTACACCAAACTTTTTTCATTATTTCATATCAGTTTCATTATTATAACATGTCTTATTCGGTCTCATTAAAATCAGATCTTGTACTCTTGTATTAAATACCTCTCTGTATGAAGTGGCAAAAAGGTTTATTAGCCCATTTCAGTTGTCCCCCTACCTCTGTGATAGGGCTGTAATATTGCTGACAGTGTGATAAAACTATGCTCTCATCCACCTGTGTTTGCTGTTGTTTGTCATGCATCATGGCATTTGATTTTCCAGGTACACTGAAGATGATGAACATACTTCTCAGTCACGGCGCTGACGTGAATGTTCTAAACAAGACACTGCGGACACCACTTCATCTTGCCGTTGATTACAACCAGGGAAACATGAACGACAACTTTGACCTTGTGCTGGCCCTCATGAACAAGGGTGCGGACTTGACGATCAAGGACGTGCGTGGCCGGATACCCTTGCATTATGTCTTTGTCAAGAGAGGAAAGTAGGTTGCATTGTAAAATATCAAATAATAAAATAACAGTTGACTGTCAAACTCATCACCGAGTATACCATGGTGACATCTTTATGGTATACAAGTCTATATTCCCGAATTACCATCTGGTTGGGGCAGTGGGGTAGCCTAGTGATTTATGTTTTCCCTCCTCAAGCCCAAGATCTGGGTTCGATGCTCCAGATAGGTACATAGTGTGTAGCGTAAAGTGGGGTAAAACCATATACTCTCTCTCTCTCTCTCTCTCACACACACACACAGAGACACACACAGACACAGACACACACACACACACACACAGACACACACACACACACACACACACACACACACACACACACACACACACACACACACACACACACACACACACACACACACATCAGCTGGTTACCGACAGAGAATGGGAGTCATGTGGTGTATTGACAGGTTGCGTCTGCTTCAAAATGGAGGCCATTTTGCAAGGATAACGTGTCCTGTGTCATGTGTTCAGCAACATTCAGTTTTGCGGAACAGAATAGTGAAATTATCTGAATTAATTCTGCAAGTCTCATCCTCAATAAAAATATTTCATCTCAAACCATGTGGTTTTTTTTGTAAGAAAACTGGGAAGAACAAGAACAGCATTACTAAATAATAAGTGACTTTTAGACCGCAGGGCTCAACATGGAAATGTTCACTCAAATATGATTACCCCGACAACAAATCAGTGGACATTCCAATTGCATTCTCCCATAATCAGCTCCTTCCACCCAGTGATCATAAGCTGTTAAAATACCCTATCATATTATAGTGGTGATGGATCATGGGGTCTTGGGACAGATTGTACCTTGAATTTCTTCAGTGTTGAGAATGAGATTTTGTCATACTTGCAGACACACAGACAGCTCCCAGCATGACCCAGTAGAGCTGTGTCGTATGGTCGCCTCCAAGATGAAGCCTGCGGAAATCAACACAAAGGACAAGTTTGGGATGACACCTCTTCACCGGGCCGCCTTCAGGGGAGCCAACATCTGTTGCATGTACCTGATGCAGGTGAGTTGGATTGGAGGCATAAGGATGTATTGTGGCACAGTTGCCAATGTGATTCATCTGTTTACAAGATCAGTATTTTGCTGAAAATTCCAGAGGACATCATATGGACCTCAACTCATTGCTTTTAGTGCTTCATGACATGTATTTTCTTGGCTCACCTAACTGAAAGTCAAGTGAGGTTATGTTGTGACATGTTTGTCCGGCATCCATCATCCATTGTTTGTCATGTGGCATCCAGCATCCTTATCCAATCAACCTATAAAGCTGAAACTTCGTGTACTTTTCAGGGCGGTCGGGTAGCCTTGTGGTTAAAGCGTTTGCTCGTCACGCCGAAGACCCGGGTTCGATTCCCGACATGGGTACAATGTGTGAAGCCCATTTCTGGTGTCCCCACCTTGATATTGCTAGAATATTGCTAAAAGTGGCGTTAAACCTCACTCACTCACTCACTCACTCACTCCCTCATGTACTTTTTCCCTTGTGATAACACAATGGGCATTATCACTGGTTCATTTTGGGAAAGGGAGGTCACTCTTATTTCAATCAGGAGCTTTCTTTCTTAGCATTCGTCATGCTGTACGTCCAACTATTAATTGGCCATCTTATCCCTAAGGTAAACCGTATTCTTAATTAAATGTTTGAATGAAATATATATTACTCTCTCCATCTGTAACTTGCAGAAAAAACCCGGTGCTTTCCCAAAAAATTAATTACTTGTAAATATTAGTTTTTTTCCCAAATAAGGGCCAACTATATTTCTTAATCTGTTGATGAGGCTTAAAAAGTCTGTATTTTTATTGCCATTACTCCACCTGTTTTATTCAAAATGTAATGAAATATGGTGGATGTGTAGTTGGTAGTGAGGCTCATGATTGTTTTTGTTTGTGAAAGTTGTATTTTTGACTTTTGTTTGACCTTTGCACATGGACCATGCTCCTGAGAAGTTCTCTCAAAATAGATTTCCTTGCACTGTGAACATCATAGCCTCAGAAACATTCTTGTTCCCAACAATGATGACACCTGAAATTATTTTGAATCTGATTATCCACATGGTGTATACTTATGTGTTTTGGATTGCAGATGGGGGCTGATATGAACTCGAAGGATAACCATGGCAACACACCATTAACAATGGCTGTCAAGGGACATCATGATGGGTAAGTGCATATAGGACTTGTCATAATATTGAAATTGAAAACACCACTTTGATGATTGTTTTAAATCTTTATCTTACTTGTTCAAATTGGTTTGTTCTTGATAAATCAATGCAAAAATGATCAGCTACTTGTGACTTCAGAGACATGTGGCTCCGTCTCATCAGCTACATGTGGCTCAACATCTCAAGCTATAGATACGTGTTAAGACCACCTCATATCCTGATGCATGGCTCATGTCAGCTAGATACCTGGTCCATCTTTACTCTGTATATTCCTGGCTACGTTTCATCAGCAGCATGGATGCATAGCTATATATCGTTATCTTCAGAGAACCATTGTTCCAGCTACAAAGAAACATAGATATATCATAAGCTACTGACACAAGATTCCACATCCGTATCATAAACTAAAATCATTATTTAACCTCATGGCACCATCTCGGCCATAGAAACAATTTTAAATGAGTGCAGTTCAGCTACAGAGACCAGTGATTCCATCTCAGTTATAGAGACCAGTGATTCCATCTCAGTTACAGAGATAAGTGGTTCTATCTTGACAACAGAGATCAGTGATTCCATCTCAGTTACAGAGACCAGTGATTCCATCTCAGTTACAGAGACAAGTGGTTCTATCTTGACAACAGAGACCTGTGATTCCATCTCAGTTACAGAGACCAGTGATTCCATCTCAGTTACAGAGACCAGTGATTCCATCTCAGTTACAGAGACCTGTGATTCCATCTCAGTTACAGAGACCAGTGATTCCATCTCAGTTACAGAGACAAGTGGTTCTATCTTGACAACAGAGACCTGTGATTCCATCTCAGTTACAGAGACCAGTGATTCCATCTCAGTTACAGAGACCAGTGATTCCATCTCAGTTACAGAGACCAGTGATTCCATCTCAGTTACAGAGACAAGTGGTTCTATCTTGACAACAGAGACCTGTGATTCCATCTCAGTTACAGAGACCAGTGATTCCATCTCAGTTACAGAGACCAGTAATTCCATCTCAGTTACAGAGACCTGTGATTCCATCTCAGTTACAGAGACCAGTGATTCCATCTCAGTTACAGAGACAAGTGGTTCTATCTTTACAACAGAGACCTGTGATTCCATCTCAGTTACAGAGACCAGTGAGTCCATCTCAGTTACAGAGACCAGTGATTCCATCTTGACAACAGAGACCTGTGATTCCATCTCAGTTACAGAGACCAGTGAGTCCATCTCAGTTACAGAGACCAGTGATTCCATCTCAGTTGCAGAGATAAGTGGTTCTATCTTGACAACAGAGACCTGTGATTCCATCTCAGTTACAGAGACCAGTGGTTCTATCTTCACAACAGAGATCAGTGATTCCATCTCAGTTACAGAGACCAGTGGTTCTATCTTGACAACAGAGATCAGTGATTCCATCTCAGCTACAGAGACCAGTGGTTCTATCTTGACAACGGAGAACTGTGATTCCATCTCAATTACAGAGACCAGTGAGTCCATCTCAGTTACAGAGACCAGTGATTCCATCTCAGTTGCAGAGATAAGTGGTTCTATCTTTACAACAGAGACCTGTGATTCCATCTCAGTTACAGAGACCAGTGAGTCCATCTCAGTTACAGAGACCAGTGATTCCATCTTGACAACAGAGACCTGTGATTCCATCTCAGTTACAGAGACCAGTGAGTCCATCTCAGTTACAGAGACCAGTGATTCCATCTCAGTTGCAGAGATAAGTGGTTCTATCTTGACAACAGAGACCTGTGATTCCATCTCAGTTACAGAGACCAGTGGTTCTATCTTCACAACAGAGATCAGTGATTCCATCTCAGTTACAGAGACCAGTGGTTCTATCTTGACAACAGAGATCAGTGATTCCATCTCAGCTACAGAGACCAGTGGTTCTATCTTGACAACGGAGAACTGTGATTCCATCTCAATTACAGAGACCAGTGAGTCCATCTCAGTTACAGAGACCAGTGATTCCATCTCAGTTGCAGAGATAAGTGGTTCTATCTTGACAACAGAGATCAGTGATTCCATCTCAGTTACAGAGACCAGTGATTCCGTCTCAGTTACAGAGACCAGTGATTCCATCTCAGTTAAAGAGACCAGTGATTCCATCTCAGTTACAGAGACAAGTGGTTCTATCTTGACAACAGAGACCTGTGATTCCATCTCAGTTACAGAGACCAGTGGTTCTATCTTGACTACAGAGACCAGTGGATCTATCTCAGCTTCAGAGACCAGCTGATTTATCTTGACCACAGAGACCAGCTGATCCATCTTGACCACAGAGACCAGCTGATCCATTTTGACCACAGAGACCAGCTGATCCATCTTGACCACAGAGACCACCTGATCCATCTTGACTACGGAGACCAACTGATCCATCTTGACTTAGGCCAGCTGATCCATCTTGACTAGAGAGACCAGTGGTTCTATCAGCTTCAGAAACCAGCTGATCCATCTCGACTACGGAGACCAGCTGATCCATCTTGACTACGGAGACCAGCTGATCCATCTTGACTGCAGAGACCAGTTGATTCATCTTGACTACAGAGACCAGTGGTTCTATCAGCTTCAGAGACCAGTGGACCCTACTTGACTACAGACACTTCTACCTCAGATTTGTCGTATGTCAGCTTCAGAGACCAGTGGTTCCATCAGGTTCAGGCACCTGTGGTTTCATCTTCGATTCAGAGACAAATGGCTCCATGTCATCTTCAGGGACCAATGGCTCTATCTTATCAGTAATTAACACTTGACTTTATTTCATCCACAGACACCCATGATTTTATTCTGCCGCAGAGTCCTATAGATTGACAGTTTACAGCTTGACTCCCAATGCCTAATCTTATCTTTGAGATGTGTTGAAACGTCAACCTTAGTTTGAAAATGGAGTTTTATGGTGTTAGGGCAAAACAACATCATCACCAACTATAGGTTCTATTCTCGCTACTTCCTTGTTTCCTGTGATCTCATTTCAGCCTTCTCTTCTTGAGAACTCATTAATGGTAAAGATAAGGTTTTCAGGACTAGATTATTTTCTGCAACATGTCGTCTAATGCATTTGAATAAAACTGCCTTCGGTTGCAGTTATGCTTATGAACCTGTGCTGATGTAAGTGGACTGTTCTTCATTGGTCATAGTGTGCTTCTTCTGCTTCTGTTTCATCACAACAGCTGTGCTACTATCCTCATCCAAAATGGGGCATGTCTGAAGGACCCTATTGTGGAGGTCATATGCGAAAATGAGAGGAAGCATGACGATGACTCGGACGAGGATGAAGATGAAGATGAAGATGAAGCAATGGATGAAGATGATGAGGAAGATGAGTATGACTCTGAAGATGACAGTAACAAGAGGGGGAAGAAGAAGAAGAAGAAGAAAGGGACAGTGAAAGTAATGAAGGCGTGGAAAGTGAAAGGTGTTGAAGACAAAGTAAAGAAGGAGACGATCAATAAGACACCACTGCTTGAGGTTAGTCCCTACTTGCCACTTAATAGCTATCCTATGACCTATATGTCGTCAAACTCATCCCACCACATGTCCACCTGACCATGTCTATACCGTCCTAGATATCTCATCTCACCGCCCATCCAACAAGCCTTATCTTTACATTTCTGTAAGCTCACCTCGCTGCCCATCCATGCCATACTTACCTGTACAGCTTATCTGATCGACCACCCACCCAGCCTTGCTTATAGCTGTCTGCTCAGCTCATCTCACAACCATGTCTATCCCCACGTGCTCATCTCACCACCAATCCATGTCTATCTCTACCTGCTCATCTCATCACCGATCCATGTCTATCCCTACCTGCTCATCTCACCACCAATCCATTTCTATCTCTACCTGCTCATCTCACCACCAATCAATGTCTGTATCTACCTGATCATCTCACCACAAATCCATGTCTGTCCCTACCTGCTCATCTCACCACCAATCCATGTCTATATCTACCAGCTCATCTCACCACCAATCAATGTCTGTATCTACCTACTCATCTCACCACAAATCCATGTCTATCCCTACCTGCTCATCTCACCACCAATCAATGTCTGTATCTACCTGCTCATCTCACCACCAATCCATGTCTATCCCTACCTGCTCATCTCACCACCAATCCATGTCTATCTCTACCTGCTCATCTCACCACCAATCCATGTCTATCTCTACCTGCTCATCTCACCACCGATCCATGTCTATCCCTACCTGCTCATCTCACCACCAATCCATGTCTATCTCTACCTGCTCATCTCACCACCAATCCATGTATATCTGTACCTGCTCATCTCACCACCAATCCATGTCTATCTGTACCTGCTCATCTCACCACCAATCCATGTCTATCCCTACCTGCTCATCTCACCACCAATCCATGTCTGTCCCTACCTGCTCATCTCACCACCATGTCTATCTCTACCTGCTCATCTCACCACCAATCCATGTCTATCTCTACCTGCTCATCTCACCACCAATCCATGTCTATCTCTACCTGCTCATCTCACCACCAATCAATGTCTATCTCTATCTGCTCATCTCACCACCAATCCATGTCTATCTCTACCTGCTCATCTCACCACCAATCCATTTCTATCTCTATCTGCTCATCTCACCACCAATCCATGTCTATCTCTACCTGCTCATCTCACCACCAATCCATGTCTATCTCTACCTGCTCATCTCACCACCAATCCATGTCTATCCCTACCTGCTCATCTCACCACTGATCCATGTCTATCTCTACCTGCTCATCTCACCACCAATCCATGTCTATCTCTACCTGCTCATCTCACCACCAATCCATGTCTATCTCTACCTGCTCATCTCACCACCAATCAATGTCTATCTCTACCTGCTCATCTCACCACCAATCCATGTCTATCTCTACCTGCTCATCTCACCACAAATCCATGTCTATCTCTACCTGCTCATCTCACCACCAATCCATGTCTATCTCTACCTGCTCATCTCACCACCAATCCATATCTATCTCTACCTGCTCATCTCAACACCAATCCATGTCTGTTCCTACCTGCTCATCTCACCACCATGTCTATCTCTACCTGCTCATCTCACCACCAATCCATGTCTGTCCCTACCTGCTCATCTCACCACCAATCCAGGTCTATCTCTACCTGCTCATCTCACCACCAATCCATGTCTATCCCTACCTGCTCATCTCACCACCAATCCATGTCTATCTCTACCTGCTCATCTCACCAACAATCCATGTCTGTCCCTACCTGCTCATCTCACCACCATGTCTATCTCTACCTGCTCATCTCACCACCAATCCATGTCTATCCCTACCTGCTCATCTCACCACCAATCCATGTCTGTCCCTACCTGCTCATCTCACCACCATGTCTATCTGTACCTGCTCATCTCACCACCAATCCATGTCTATCTCTACCTGCTCATCTCATCACCAATCCACGTCTATCCCTACCTGCTCATCTCACCACCAATCCATGTCTATCTCTACCTGCTCATCTCACCACCAATCCATGTCTATCTCTACCTGCTCATCTCACCACAAATCCAAGTCTATTCTACCTACTCATCTCACCACTTATCCATCCTCTGATGTACTTGCTCTATCCACAGTCTATTTTGTTGAAGCCATGAGATTCCCTTCCTCCTTCAGTATGCTCTGAAGAACGAGTTCCAGGGAGTGTGCTTCATGGTGATGGCTAAGTCTGTTGAAGAATCAGGAATCACATTTGCAGATGCCATTGAGGTGGGTGCTAAAAAGCTCCTATGCATTTTTTAGAAGATGTAACAATTTTAACCTTCTGATGGTAACTTACATGGTAATCTATGCCTGTCATAAGAGGGGACTGAAGGATCATTAGGTGTCTGTGTGTGACCGCCCTTTTTTCTCTATACTTGCGGGGTTCGCGTAAGCACATTGTGTTTTACGTTTCCCCTGTTCTTGTATGTTTTGGGGGTTAACATCACTTATTTCTCTATATGTTATATGTTTATGTTATATGTTCACATTGTTCGTTTATTTTCTTGTGAAAATGCTCGTTTGTGAATCATTGTGGTGCGTGCGTTGTAACCATGTTTTGCTCTTTGTTCATAGAATTAAACAAAAATGTCTGACATGGAAATGTCCCCGGTTGCAACCCCCTCTACCCCTGCTCCTCAGTGTTGCGGAGTGTGCCGCAAATTCTTGTCGTCCCGGGATCCCCATGATCTTTGCCCACGGTGCAGGGTTCCTTGCGGGGACACCCGGTGCACCCTGTGCGAAGGTCTGGGGCCTGCGGAGTTTGAGCGTTACCGACTGTACGTCCAGTCCGTCTCCACCCCTATGGTGGCCGGCTCGTCCGGTCGGGGTCCCCGTGCAGGTACTACCTCCTCGGCTGCGGCAGATTCCTTGGTGGCCCTCGGGCTGTCCGGGGATTCCGTCGCCGCATTGTTGTCTAAACTTGTGGACTCCAAGCTTGCGGCTTTATCTCAGGATAGGCCGCTGGCTGTTCTGTCCCCGGCCTCTTCGGTGGCCGCGGGTTCGGACGCGGCGTCCACCGGTACGTGGTCTCCGGTCCTTCCCCCGAACCGTTGCTCCCGCTATCGGTTAAGGACCGCGTGGCCATGGTTTATGACCTCTTCAAGGACATGCCCGTGGGTTCCTCCGAGGTATACGACGAGTCGTCCGACAAGGCTTTCCCGGCATCAACCTTGCTGCGCGGGATTAAGCCTTCCCTGGAGAAGGCCTTCACGGCTGCCTCCAGTCGGGGTCTCCTGTTACCTCCACCATCGTGGAGAAAAGGGTCCTTCCCGGTGCATGACCTTGCCTTTCCCGAGGCTGGTCCTACCGCGGAAGCCCATGTTGAGCGTTTTGGTGTCCGTGCCCCACCGGCTGCCACGGTACCACAAGGTACCTTGCAGCAGCTGGACACCCTTGCTCGACACTCCATGCTGGCAATGTCTCACGGAGACACATACCTGGCTGCAGCGGCTAGTCTGGTCGAAGGTTCTCCCACGGACTGAGACAAGCGCATTTATAACTGCCTGCTCGGTTTAAATGCTTCCCTTGAGTACGTTGCCGGGGCTTCAGCCTTTATTTCCGGCACGTGCCATTGTCTCCGGCGCCAGTCGTATCTGGTTGCCTCAGGGTTGGACGCTGCTAATCAGGAGGTGCTCCTTTCGCAGCCTTGGTCTGCTCGGACCCTGTTTAATAACAAGATCCCTGGGGTTCTGAAAGAACAACAGGCCGCTGTGTCTGCCGAGGCCTCTCGGCACACACTGGATCTTGTGGGGTCCTTGCATAGGCGCCTGGGTGCCGCTCCTAAGCGGAGCGCGCTCCAGGATGCTGTGGCCGGCAGGCCTAAGGGGTCGGGTTCTTCTTCCTCCGGGAAGAAGCCCCGCCCTGAGGGCTCCGGTAAGGGCCATCAGCAGCCCTTTCGCGGGAAGAAGGGGAACTGGGGGAAGCCCAAGTCGTCTAAGGACAGCAAGGGCCCCTCCAGGTGACTCTCATTGGAGGGGTTCGTATGACGACAGCGCCAACTTCGGTTGGCCCGTAGGCGAACCCGAGTCACTTGGCCCTGGACAGTTGCGCCTGCCGCAGCCTGTCAGGCCCCCCTCTCCTTCCCCATTGGGAGCCAGACTCCAGACTTACTGGGAGAATTGGGAACAAGTGTTCGACGACCCGTGGGTGGTCAACACGATTCGGTACGGCTATCAGTTCGATCTCAAAGCGAATCCGCCGCTCACCGTTGCCCCGTTGGCAGGTTTCTATTCGGAAACCGATCTTCCCATCCTCGCCGATGCCATCGGCAGGTTGGTGGAGAAGAGGGCAGTTAGGGAGTTAGCTCTACCAGAAATAACACCGGGGTTTTACTCCAGGATATTTCTCGTTCCCAAGAAGGACAGTGCCGAACTCACAACGATTCACAACTTCAAATCGTTCAACGAGTTCTACCTGCACAAGCCGCCCATGTTCAGAATGTTGAGCTTGGCGGACCTGAAAGCTCTGATCATGCCGGCCGACTGGCTCACTTCGATCGACCTGAAGGATGCTTATCTGCATGTTCCGATTCACTTGGATCATCACAAGTATCTCAGGTTTGTCTTTCAAGGCAGGCACTACGAGTGGGTTGTACTCCTATTCGGTCTTTCATCCGCTCCCTGGCTGTTCACCCGGTTAACCACCCCCATAGTGGGGTTCCTCCACCGGAGGGGTGTCCGGTACTTCGCGTACCTGGACGACTCGCTAGTAGCAAATCGAATGACGGACATGCTGTCTCGGCAGCTTGATTTCGCACGTCGGCTCTTGGAGCAATTGGGGTAGATTGTCAATCTCCCTAAGAGCGAGGTAACCCCCTCTCAGAACTTGCAGTTCATCGGAGGTCGGTTCAACACGGTGACCCATTGCCTCTTTGTCCCGCCAGACCGGTGGCACAAGATTCAGGCGATGATTGCCAAAGTCTTAGCGGTGCACAGACTGTTCACTTTTGGGAACAGCTGTTACAGTTACTTGTGTCAGCCCAGGACTGCACCGAACGGGGTCGTCTCCAACTCCGCCCGCTGCAACGGTTTTTAATCCAGTTGTTAGCACAGGAGGTGAAAGTGCGACCGTCGCTCTCCCGGATCGGCTCCGACCGCATCTGGAGTGGTGGACAGTCCCTTACACTGTCTTATCAGGAGTGTCTATGCGGCCCTACCGAGCCAAGTTGAACCTGTATACAGACGCCTCTCTAGTGGGCTGGGGCGCCCATCTAGAGGGGGAGGTGAGCTCGGGGCTGTGGTGCGTAGACGAACTAGGTCTTCACATCAATTGTCTCGAGTTCAAGGCAGTGATCAACGCAGTCAATCACTGGAAGCATCGTCTCGTCGACGCCCGGCTCATGCTGGCGACCGACAACACGACGGTAGTGTCCTATGTGAACAATCTGGGGGGAACCCACAGTCACTTGCTACTCGATCTCACGTTCGATATTTACACTCTGGTGGACAGTGTCCCGTGCCAGATACGCGCCCGTCACATCCCAGGTGTGCGGAACATACTGGCCGACGCTCTATCGAGGTCTCGGGATCCGAGACCCACAGAGTGGATGCTGAACCCAGGAGTGTTTCAGTGGCTGTGCGAACATTTGGGTTGTCCGATGGTCGACCTGTTCGCAACACGGTTCAACAATCAACTCCCGTAGTTTGTATCACCAGTCCCGGACCCGAGGGCCATCGATCACGATGCTCTCGCGTTAGACTGGACGGGCTTGGACCCTTATGCTTACCTGCCGACAGCGTTGATACCACACATTCTAAGCCGGCTCCGAGGAGTTCGCTGTCGAATGTTACTGATCGCGCCCATGTGGCCGAACAGATCGTGGTACCCCGACTTGCTGACCCAGGTCACGCAGTCGCCACTTCCACTGCCTGTGAGACCGGATCTCTTGATCCACCCTCACACCCGTCAGCTTCATCCAAACGCAGGGCAGTTCAATCTGCACGGCGTGGATGTTGTCACCGAGTGTCTGAGGAGTAAAAGTTTTTCTCGTCGGGCGTCTCGGGCATACGTTAGTATGCATCGTGATTCTACCCAGAAGGTGTATAATGCACGTTGGGTTATTTTCACGAAGTGGTGTCGTAAACATCACATTCATTCGCCAGATAAGGTATCTGTGCAGGATATTGCTCGTTTCATGTCTCACTTGTGAGAGACCCGGAAACTCTCCGGGGGTTCCATTGCCAACTATGTCTCGTCCGTTGCTACGGTACGGGACGTTGCTATCGGTACCAGTCTCTCCAAAGAGACGGTGATACGGGGTATTATCAAGGGTTTCAAACAGCACGATCTTAAGAAGGGCCGCCTCTGGGCACCGGCCTGGGATCTTTCCCTAGTGTTGCAATCACTTACGGAAGCTCCGTATGAACCCTTGCATAGTGCTTGCATGTGACTTGGAAAACAGCATTTCTCCTCTCCTTTGCCACGGCGGCACGTGTATCTGAAATTCATGCACTCGATGTCACCAAGGTACGATTCGATAGGGGTGACGAAGGAGCGGTCCGCCTGGGCCTGCTCATGGGCTTCGTCGCCAAGAATCAGAGAATCGGGCAAACGGAGAGAGAATTCACTGTAAGATCACTCAAAGAAATCTTACATCCTGCTGATACTGAGGACAGAGCGCTGTGTCCGGTTAGGGCCCTTAAGTATTATCTTTAGGCTTCGAATGAACGTAGACAAGGGCGTGACCATCTGTTCATCTCATGTAACCCTAATCGCATGGTTGACATAACTCGCAACTCGATTGCGTTGTGGCTTCGTTCTGTCATCAATCTGGCGTACCGGTCTCAGGGGTTACCGGTAGCGGGGTCAAACCTGCACGAGATCAGGGCGCTAGCGGCAACATTTGCCCTACACTCGAATATCTCTGTTCACAGAATATTACGAGGTTGTTACTGGCGTTCTGACTCGGTTTATGCCAATCATTACCTCAGAAAGGTTTCTGATGAAGACGTGGAGGGGGTGCACTGTCTTGGGCCGCTGATCGCGGTACAAGCGGTCATCTAAGGGGTGTGTTCAGCGCAATTCCAAACTCTACAGTCGTCAGTCCTTGCACGGTGGTCAATCTGGGTCGTCTCCAATGTTCCCACGCCGTGGGTACAGGAGTGGGGGTCCTGCAAACCAGCGCACCCACACCACAGGTGAGGCGGCTTTTTGTGTGTTTTGTCCTTATTTGTATTTTGACAATTATGCATTTAATTGTCTGTCGTGTATTCCAACCTTGTGATACATGCTTACGAATACTGGAATTAGGGCACGCGCCTATTACATACTTTAAGTAGGCTTGCTCGGGGATTTACGGTCTGAATGAAATTAATTTCGACTGTTTACTGTGTTCTCATCCGCTGCGGCGATGAAATACCTATCCAGTGGGGCCGTTTGGAGTCACCAATCGTTTTGGCAATGACGATTGAGCCTTACGGTATTCGCTTGACAGTACTTTGGTATTCCTATAGGGTAACGCCTAGCTAGGTGCATGCGCATCGAGTGCTTCCGCCTTGGTGTTTACTTCCGCTGGTCGGAAGGAACGCTAGCAGTCAGGATTCGGGTTGTAGGTGCTCCCCACCGCCTACTGTGGTAGTCAGCCTCGGTATAACAGTGGTAACGTATTACTTAATGTAATTTGTAGAATTTTCCTATTCGGAATATTCTATAAGTAATACGTTACCACTGGGCTGCTGCCCGCCCGTCCGTCCCCCGAGCACTTGCTCTCGCAAGAGACAAGAGTGAAGGGTGTCACATGGCAGCTAGGTGGCTACGCACGTGCTGCATGAGGTAATTGAGATCTCTGTGGTAGATTTCGCTATAGCTGCAGTTGTGGGAGACAACAGCCTCGGTATAACAGTGGTAACGTATTACTTATAGAATATTCCGAATAGGAAAATTCTACAAATTTTACAATTTTTTTAAACAGGTTATGTTTTTTGTTGAATGGGACTTTCGACTTTAAAGTTGTCATGCATTAGATATGTGTTTTAACAAACAGGAAGTGAAGTCATTAAAACGGAATGTGTGTAACTTTCTTATTACAGTTGTTAATGGCATGGGACTTTCTTTTTTTAATCACACTGAATATCACATGTATTTTCCAAAACAGGAAGTGATATCATTCAGCCAGGCATAACTTTCTTATGAAGGCAGCTAATGGAACATGGTTTAAAATTTTGGGGCATATATCTTCCTAATCAGAAATGTCATTAGAATGGAAGTACTGTGATTTCAGTGGAAATGCCTTTAGTTTCTTATGTGAGCTTGTGAGTGATTATTGCTTATTGGTATGTAACCAAAGCAATGGTAATGGTATCACACTGGAAAATGTGTCATATCTGGCGGCCTTCCAAGAATGTTGGTGAAGGAGTAACTTCTGTTTTTGCAAGCACTTTTCTAGATATTATTTATATGCAACAGTGTACCCTAGACAGTGTGTCATATGTATCCTGCACAAAGCATCTCCATACTTATATCAGGACATGTGTCCTACTCATGTGTTTACAGATGGGACTGAAGCTACAAAAGTACAACATTGTTCTGCGACTTCTCGCCACGACAACCGATGTGCAGTCGATACGCAAGAACCGTGAACATGGGCAAAACCTGATTCACTTCCTCAGTCTCAATGCCAGGGGGTTTGATGATCTCATTAAGAAGGTAAGCCTGTTACAATGGGTTGTTCATTTGTAAAGGGGCTTCAATGAAAAAAACGTTCCAGTGGGGTTTTCAGGGTGATTGAAATGCCCTCATAAACAATTGTCATTCTCATGTGCTTGACTTTCAAAGAAAGTCACTTCATGTACATATGAATAGGAGTGAAAACATTGCTGTTGACATATTGCTTATTAGTAGGGTGTCTACACCCATGTGGCTATTCCGGGGATTGGTTGCTGTAAAACTGACTGATTTGGAGGATTGGGTGGTAACAATGTATATACCTGGCTAGTTGTATGTCTTGGTCTCCAGATGTATATCTGGCTAGTTGTATGCCTTGTCTCCATATGTATACCTGGCTAGTTGTATGTCTTGGTCTCCAGATGTATACCTGGCTAGTTGTATGTGTTGGTATCCAGATGTATATCTGGCTAGTTGTATGTCTTGGTATCCAGATGTATACCTGGCTAGTTGTATGTCTTGGTCTCCAGATGTATACCTGGCTAGTTGTATGTCTTGGTATCCAGATGTATACCTGGCTAGTTGTATGTCTTGGTATCCAGATGTATACCTTTGCTAGTTGTATGTCTTGGTATCCAGATGTATACCTGGCTAGTTGTATGTCTTGGTATCCAGATGTATACCTGGCCAGTTGTATGCCTTGTCTCCATATGTATACCTGGCTAGTTGTATGTCTTGGTATCCAGATGTATACCTGGCTAGTTGTATGTCTTGGTCTCCAGATGTATACCTGGCTAGTTGTATGTCTTGGTCTCCAGATGTATACCTGGCTAGTTGTATGTGTTGGTATCCAGATGTATACCTGGCTAGTTGTATGTGTTGGTATCCAGATGTATACCTGGCTAGTTGTATGTCTTGGTATCCAGATGTATACCTGGCTAGTTGTATGTCTTGGTCTCCAGATGTATACCTGGCCAGTTGTATGCCTTGTCTCCATATGTATACCTGGCTAGTTGTATGTCTTGGTCTCCAGATGTATACCTGGCTAGTTGTATGTCTTGGTCTCCAGATGTATACCTGGCTAGTTGTATGTCTTGGTCTCCAGATGTATACCTGGCTAGTTGTATGTCTTGGTCTCCAGATGTATACCTGGCTAGTTGTATGTCTTGGTATCCAGATGTATACCTGGCTAGTTGTATGTCTTGGTATCCAGATGTATACCTGGCTAGTTGTATGTCTTGGTCTCCAGATGTATACCTGGCTAGTTGTATGTCTTGGTATCCAGATGTATACCTGGCTAGTTGTGTGTCTTGGTATCCAGATGTATACCTGGCTAGTTGTATGTCTTGGTCTCCAGATGTATACCTGGCTAGTTGTATGTCTTGGTATCCAGATGTATACCTGGCTAGTTGTGTGTCTTGGTCTCCAGATGTATACCTGGCTAGTTGTATGTCTTGGTATCCAGATGTATACCTGGCTAGTTGTATGTCTTGGTATCCAGATGTATACCTGGCTAGTTGTATGTCTTGGTCTCCAGATGTATACCTGGCTAGTTGTATGTCTTGGTATCCAGATGTATACCTGGCTAGTTGTATGTCTTGGTCTCCAGATGGCCTGGGCTGTAGCTGCTCCTTCTGGCTCAGACTTTATTGTGTACAGGCTGTTATATGTTTTCCATAAGAGTCAACTTATGGATCAGGTGGTTTGGCTTAGTTACTTGATTGATTACCTTTCCTTGTACCCTGACGGCAGGGACGTAGCTCAATGTCAATCACTGGTTTGTCTTGTCCAGACATCATTATCTACAGGCCTCCATGAAATAGGTGGTATAGTGCTTTAAAAACAAACAGAACACTACCTGTGGCTGAAAACTACATTCTCTCACTCAGTTTTAGGGTGTTGCTTCTTTTAGTGCATGGGATGAAATTGGAAGTTTACGACAATTGTTTTCCTAACAATACTGCAGTTGAGTAACAACTCCAGTCGTTAAAAATTAAGATGTCCAAAAAAGTTCTTGAATTGTGTCTCTTATGATATGTGTTAATTCCATAATAAGCACATATTGAAATGGGGAATTAGGTGGCAAAAATGTCTACTGATCATGGACACAAAATTTTCACAGTGTGGTTTGCCTTCTCATCTGTTCTTTGAATGATGCCATTTAGGTTGTAAGGATGAGAACATTTTCGAAACTCAATTAATTTCCCTAAGTGTTAGGGAGTATGGGTGGCCAAGTCGTCTAAGGCGCCACGATTTGCTGTGCAGAGTTGCCTCCTTTGGGCATGCCAGAAACCTATGATTTTGGGTTTGAATCCGGGTTCACCCCGATTATGTTTCTAGGTTTGTCAGCACCATACCCATGCTCGTGGGTTTCATAGAATTGGTAAAAGTCTGAGTCCTGCATCTCTTCGGGCTTTCCTCCCACATAAAGCTGACATGCCGTGATATAACTGGAATACTGTTAAAAGCAGCATTAAACCCAACTCACTCACACTCCCTTAGTGTTAAGTTTGATGTCACATAGTCGTGAAATGTCATTTTGTTTATTCAGGTGGTGACCCAGCTGGTAGACAAAGGGCTGTCCCTGACCAAGCAGGATGATTACAAGTGTACACCTCTACTGTATGCTTCCCTCAACAGGAACTATGGCCTTGCCAAGTTCTTCATGGGTACAACATATGTCACACTTAAATTTCTTGGTTTATAGATTCAAAAGCCACAATCAGAAATAAAATAAGGACAGTTAAATTCATTTTTATTTGCTTGATTGCTTTCTCTTTGAGATAGGTTTGAAGTATCAATGACACCACACAAAACAAGCAAAATATATAAGTAAAAATATTTAATCGATTCAAAAGACTGTTATGCAACTTTTGGCTGGAAAAGATGTTTCTAAGAATGGATAGGGTGATGTACCCAGTTAGTAAATTTGCATAAGGCATTTCTAGTAGTATTTGAGGTGTTCACAAGGACTAGAGTACAAGTAATATCTTCTTTCAAACATGAAAAAGGATGAAATTTGATTGGATGGCTATTTTTAGCAATTCATATGCACAGGACTTAAAAGGAAGTCATAAATCTATGTTAAAGTATTGGAGTTACAATCACCTTAGTGCTGTGACTGTCATAAATCTATGTTAAAGTATTGGAGTTACAATCACCTTAGTGCTGTGACTGTCATAAGTCTATGTTAAAGTATTGGAGTTACAATCACCTTAGTGCTGTGACTGTCATAAGTCTATGTTAAAGTATTGGAGTTACAATCACCTTAGTGCTGTGACTGTCATAAGTCTAATATCGATCACCTTAGCGTGACAATCACTTTGTGGAAGGAGGCCCTGGCCCAGCATGAACATGGAACAAACTTTTCATAGGACTAGTTATTGCACATTAACATTGACACAGTTTTTATGCATTGCAGAGACCCCGGGGGTGTACAGTCCCAAATATACAGACTCCTTTGATCGAAGTGTCATGTCTGCTGCGTTTTGGAAGTCCTCCAAACCATTTGATACCGACCTCACGTAAGGAAGTGTTTCTATAACTCCACACACATTGGGTACACTGCCCAACAGAGATAGACACTAGCACTAGCCCACTTGTTTGAACAAGTTTGATTAATGTCAAAGGCATCCTGAGGGCTGGTAGAATAATTAACATTTGTTTGGTGAGTGTTCCTATATGTGCTGTCACATTTTAGGCCAGTAAACTTTTCCAGGTTAATTTCTATCCCTTTTTGAATGTTTGTTAAGATTTCCTTTTTATTAACTAATAAATACCTGATGATTTGCCAGATCCATTAACCATCCGCCACCATCATCATCCTTGTAATTCATTTGATTCCAGGTACTACCTTAGAGAGGCCTTAGATAGGCTTCAAAAGGTCATAAAATTGTGTTGGCACTTGTTTCGTATGAACCACAATTTTCCTTTTCCATGTCTGCTGTATTCTGGGGATAAGTGGCTCAGTTGTATGAGGTGCCGCAGTTCGCTGTGTAGAGTGTCCCATGGGCGTATCAGAAACACATGGTATCGGGCTTAAATTCTGGTTCACCCTGATTATTTTTCAAGGTTTGTCAACACCATACCCATGCTCTTAGGCTTCGCCAAAGTTTGGCAAATTTCCAAAACCTTCATCACCTTCATCACCTTCATCACCTGCATCACCTGCATCACCTGGATCAGCCTTTCCTCCCACATAAAACTGACACACTGTGATATAACTGAAATACAGCTCAAAGCGGTTAAACATAAGTCTCTAACTCAACTGTATTCTCTTATAGATGGTGGATTCATGATTTGTATACGAAGAAGGGAACAGCTGATGTCCTGATTGACTGTCCGCTTCAAGAAATCATTTTCCGGTCTGAGGACAAGGACCCTCACTACTGGAAGAAGTACAACTCACCCAAGGTCTCCCCTCTCATCATTGTCATCAACCATAACAGTGTCTTCTTCACACAATGGCTACTGAAGAAAGGCGTCAATGTTAACATGGCAGACACCCAAGGGGTCACACCAATGATGCATGCTGTCAAGGTGGTGAGTTTACTTGCTTCGATTTAGGAGCTTTGAATAAGTGGTTATGGTGGGGTAGCATATAAGGCATCCTCTATATCGCCAGTGCTTTTCGGTAAACCTACACTTACCCTTGGATCCATTCCGTGGTTCTCCAATCTCATTCAAATCAGATCTAAGTTCTAGCTGCTGCTAAACAAAAATCTGAGGACATCTCATTACGGGTCACGTCAGAACGACCTTTCGCAAACTCTGACCGACCATTGAAATGACTAACAAGAAGTCGACATCAGCCAATTAGAAAGCAGCTTTCTCGAGCTTCACGGAACACGTTTCAAACTGGCGACTTCCATTTCAGACTACGCTTGAAAAATATGTTGACATAGTTCTCGATTCAAAATTTTAAAACTGAACAAACGAACATTCCGGGAATGTCTGATATATAGTTGAGATTGTATGGCAGTGCTTCCCACATACTGTGCAACGCCTCCTCCGTTCAAATGTTTCTACCATGGAAGAGCGAGATAGACGATGATTTTGACAGAATCAGTCGTACGGGTCGTAACTGTAGTTCGGAATACCTCGTGTTAACGTTTTTGAGGTTGCATAATTAGAAAACATATTCCAAGTGTCACTTTCGTGATCTGGTAAGAGACGCTTTGATTGGTCAGATGAAAGGTCGTTCTGACGTGACCTGTAATGGGATGTCCTCAGATCTTTGTTTAGCGATAGCAGGAACTAAGATCTGATTTTTATGAGATTGGTGGTTCTTGCAATCTCAAATTATGGGCCCTTGATTTTCATGAGCCAATTTGGTTTGCTACACTACACAGTCTCCCGGACCAATCAGAATGCAACTTACAAACTGGCTTCAATGATTGGTGATATCGACAACATGGCAGCCACACCCATTGATTATGATAGAGTTTGCAAGAAATTCAACATTAGAAATCTGACTGACACACAGAAGAAAGCCCTAAAAAATCTTGCTGATGGAAAGGATGTCTTCATGTCCATTAACCTTTAGCCTGCTGAATTGTTTTCACACTTCTTACCCCTGCCTAAGGTGCTCTAAAGAGAGTGGGTTCGACATCAGGTGCACATGAAGTGACACACTCTTTTGACTGGGTTTGACATTAGTGTTGAGAGCTTTAAGACTGGCGTTGGCAAATCTTCCTTTACCCATTTTCTTCTTCCATAGCTCAATGTTTATTTGGTCAGTAAAATGTTAATGAAAATCAAGGGCAGGTAATTTGAGATATAAAGGATGCATCTAAGGTCCGGACAGAAAAATTTAAATGTCCGGTAAGCAATATTTTAAACCAGACATTTGAGATTCCCAATCGGACATGTCCGGCCGGATGACGGTTTCCGAACCCCTGTTGAGATGTTCTTGAAATCTGTTCAGTCAGCCCATTATTTACAGTCACTTGGGGGCTTTCGTTGTAGAATGACGTGTTCATTGTGAAGACGCTGATGAACTACAAATTTGACCCTGAAGCTAAAGATGATGAAGAGACCAAGAAACCACTCAAGGAGCAATCAGCAACAAAAAAGAAAATGCATGGTCGGATCTTCAAACTCAAGCGAAGTGTTTCAAAATTGTCACAACTGTCTAAGGAAGATGATGAGAGTGATGAAGACTCAGAAGAATCTGAAGAAGAAGAAGAAGAAGCAGAAGAAGAAAAGAAAAAAGTAGACAACAAGAGTGAGTTCCATGATTTTAGGATTTTGAGGTTTGGTGTTATTGTTATCTCTTCCCCTAATGCTTTTCATATGTTTGGATGACCCTCCCCATGCCCTTGTAAAGCTTTTCATGACCCTCCTGGAAAAGACAAAATCCTAAAGCACTATTTATTTTTCATAAAATGTCAATTGATTCCGGACCCTCCCCAAAAATGTGTATAATATTATATTTTTTTATGACTGTCATATGGGTGACACTCCCCTGATTCCCTCTTTATGATGAAGTGAAGAAAGAACACTCTCAAACTCAGTTGGTCCCGAAGCTGAAATGACCCGAGAGCATCTCAGCCAATGACATGAAACCTTGTAATCAATTGGTCTCATAGTTTTGCCTTCATATGGACCTAGTAGATCTCATATTTGTAAAGAAACTATAACAAACTTTGTGAAGTTTGTGTTTGTGTTATGATTTTACCTGCTGTTACGTTCATGCAAAATTATGTTGTAATCATACAATTTCAAACAGTCCTAACAGCGTCTGGAATTCTGAGGCCAACTCATATTTCACCCGTGAAAAAAAGACAAAATACCAGAACTGGGGTACTTCAGTACGGTTTTATTGACATTTTTTTCTGCTGTTATGTGGTAATGTTTTTGCTTTGGTAACAAAAGTCAAAACTCATTGCTGTGTATAATGCTCCCACCCCTCTACACACCTGTATTTTGGGAACGAAATACAGTCGTTACCAGTAAGTGGAAACACTGCATATTGAAGAACCCATCTTTCCAATTTGTAGAGAAGGAGTACAAGCCCTACAAGAAGGTGAGCAAGGTGAACCTGAACGCTGTGGACATGAATGGCTGGACCGTGATGCACCATGCTGTATGCCCCCTTGCCCATGGCACCTTCGATAATGATGAGATTGTGTTCATTCTGGCCAAAGCTGGTGCCAAGCTTAATGGGAGGAACAAGAATGGCCACACACCTCTGGATCTGGCCATAAAGAATGGTGCCTTCAAGGTTGCCCGGATGCTGCAGAAACTGGAGAATATCAACGAGAAGAACATGGTAAGAAATATAAGTGATAATCATAATAATGATTATGTATTCATCAGGACCCATGTCGTCTTTGTCAAATTGTCTAATTTTTACCCCCTTCCCACCCCAAATAAAGTTCTAAATCTGGAATTTCCGAAGATAAGAATTCAGACTGCGACAACCCATCACCCAAACCCCCACTATCCAACTAAAAACAAATATAAATTCCTGGATCCGCTTCTGTATTACCACCTCACCCTCCTACTGTATTACCACCTCACCCTTCAGTATTTTCTTCTCACCCTACTACTTGTTATTTCTTTCCAACGAGTTAGATTGTGAATGTGTGGTGTTGTGATGTGTGATTATAACACTGATCTTTCTGCAGAAACTGCCGAAATATCAGTCCAGCACTGTGACGGACAGCATGAAATGGTCCACCCCTACTCCGTCTTTCCATGAAGATGCTGAGAGACTGGTTGAGAAGGTTGGGAAGCCAATGGACGTTGAAGAGGAGTATGTAGCCAAGATTGACTCCAACTGTACTGTTTCCAATGGGTGAGTTCAGTGACATGATTAATCATAAGTCCCATATTATGTTATGAATGTTGTTCTGATTGTGTGTAAAGATTAAGAAGACAACTGTTATGGGTATAGAACATGTGACAATTGTGCTTAGATTCCCATGTTGATACCGACCTTCAGTAACAAAGCAGTATTGAAAGGTTTGCAGTAATGAGGCCAAGAGGTCATAAAACAGGCCGAGAGGAATAAGGTCAGTAAACAGGTCTAGAGGAATGAGATTCTCAATAAATATGTCTGGAGGAATGAGGTTCTCAGTGAACAGATCTCTAAAAAGAAGATTCTCAGTAAACAGAGAGACATTAGGCCCTCAGTAAACAGGTCAGGAATGAGATTTTAGTGAAGAGGTCTACAGAAATGAGATTCCAGTAACCAGGTCTACAAAAATGAGATTTTAGTTAACAGGTCTACAGTAAGGAGGTTCTAGTAAACAGGTCTACAGGAATAAGGTTCTAGTAAACAGATCTACAGGAATGAGGTTCCAGTAAACAGGTCTACAGGAATAAGGTTCTAGTAAACAGGTTGACAGGAATGAGGACAGTAAAGAGGTAAACAAGAATGAGGACAGCAAAGAGGTCTACAAAAATTGGAAAAATGTAAAAGCATTTAGACCTAACATGTGTAGAGGAGAGAGGTTTATGAAGTAGAAGGTTACCGTTGTTTCCGACTGTTGTGATTTCAGGACATTGGAGAAGGATGAGGAACAGGACATGCTCTATGATGTCCTTCTTACCAAGGTCGACGTCAACTTGGGAGTGTATGGACTGTACAACTTTTACCAGATTCAGGTAATTGACAAGTTTGCATAGGGCAAGGCTGGCCTTTGGGTGCATTGTTCCTTTGTATGGATTCTGTTTGGTGCTTCGGCCCTTGGGCTTTTCCCTTGCTCAAAGTTTTGCCTTTTCAACCAAAACCTCGTAGTTGTGTTTTGATAATAACATCTTGAAGTGGTCATGTCACTAAAACCTCAGCCACTTTATCCTCTATTTTCTTCAGCTTGTTCATCAGCCAGGCAAGGACCTGTTCATCCTGTTTACGCGGTGGGGGCGTATCGGGGACAGCGGACAGTATCAGCACACTCCGTACCAAGTGAAGGAGGAGGCTGTCAAGGAGTTCTGTAAAATATTCCGGGCCAAAACCGGAAACAAGTGGACAGATGTTAAAAGGTTATTTTTTGCTGTAAAAACTTTGAATGTCTCTTGCATTTTCACGTTACTGCGTATACTTTGGCAATATGTTTAGTTTTTGTAAGATCATGATACAAAATGGAAAAGAATATTTTTTTCTCCACTGTGGAAGGGAATATTCAAAAGGAAGGCACAACAATTCACTGTGAAGAATTGTATCCTTTGGTCCAGCCAGGATCTGCTCATACTGGGATTTATGGTGGATTCATCCTGCTAAGATGCTTAGTTTGTCCCCGCAAATTCTGGTTTTACCAGTGTGGTAAATGTCCTTCATCTGCAACACTTTGGGCTTTAATTCAGCCTTAAACTCTGTGTCATGTGACTGTTCAGAGCAGTGTGTGTTCAGAAGATGTGTGGATCCAATGACAGTTTGCATCATGTTCAGTGGTGTTGGGTGCTGCTGTTTTCTGTACAGAGTTGCATCCCTTAGCTGCCAGGATCTGCTGATTGTGGATGTGGATCCCCTTGATAATGATCCTTAGCTTGTATTCACCATCTTGCTCATGGAGTAGTATAAGGAATGGTTGTTCTGGAACACCCTGTCCGGTTCAGGACAGAGTGGTCCAGAACCCCCATTCTGTATACTACCCATGGGTTTACCAAAGTAATGAACATGTAAGACCTAATGCTGTCCATTTAGCTGACAATTTGTGATAGTGCTGTTAAAGAGAATGAAAGCACAGCTAATTCTCTGTTACAATGTTTTGTAGTTTTGAGAACAAACCAAGGAAGTATCGCATTGTTCACAATAAGGAGAGACGTCAAGGCCGCACTCAAACGGATGTTGAATTTAAGAACAAGTCGACCATGAAATCCAAACTGCCATCCCATATCAGAGATCTTGTGGAGGAGCTGGTAAGAAACCTCACATGATTATTTGTCATGAATTTCTCACGTGATTATATTTCATGAATTAATGTTTTTTATAGATATATCCTTTTAGGATACTTGAATTCAGCAGAATTTTCTTTAAGATATTGAGACTGGAAATATAACCAAACATTAATTAACGTTGATGATATAAATGTAAAATTTAATGAAATTAATATTAATTAAGATGACTTTGACTGAGGTTTTCCAGATTGATCAGTCGTCCTACTGTGTACACATCAAACACCATTCAAGACATACCAGGGTAGTTTTAATGTGAATTGGAATTAACGCAAAAGTCACCCCTCAAATTGTATTTCCCTGTTGATCTGCATCAGCTCTGACCGAAATGAATTTAAGTAGACACTTCACCATAACATGCATAAGGAACACTAGAATGCAATGTGGTAGTTAGTTTTGCACTCGTAGCTCATGGATGTAGCTCAGTTGGCTGCTTGTCGGTGTAATAATCCAAAAATTAGAGTGAGTGAGTATGGTTTTATGCTGCTTTTAGCAATATTCCAGCAATATCACGACGGGGGACACCAGAAATGGGCTTGACACATTGTACCCATGTCGGGAATCGAACCTGGGTCTTCGGCGTGACGAGCAAACGCTTTAACCACTAGGCTACCCAACCGCCCCCCCCCCCCCCCCCCCCCCCTCCCTCTCCCCCCTCCCGTGTACGTTTTATTGCTGTAGATGCACTTGTAAACAAACTGTGCAAAATTCACCCTTTACTATAGAGGTATACAGGGAAATTAGCGCTGGGGCATGTCCAAAATAACTACCTGGGAACCAGACCCCTATTATCCGACCAACACAGGTACCCGCTGCAGGTCTCAAGAGTTGGGTACAAAATGTCCAATTGGGAATAGTTTGACCGTAGCCTTGACAAAATGTATTTAGATACACATATAAAACTATCTGGTCATGAATACACTGAAGTTGACTAAAGTTTTATCTTTATTCAAACATGTAAAGATCAGAAAGAAATGCAAACATTAGTGACTTGTAGTGTAACCATGGAGTTCTAGAATTTTTTTGTCATTAAACAATATATCACGTGACTAACCACGGGTCTGGGTAGTCCTGTGGGTACCCGGGTCCTTCTCAGTACCCACCTGACCCAAGTACCTGAGTTACCCATCCCAACCCTAAGGGAAATCATTCAACAGTTTTGCATAAAAGTACAATTAATATTATCTAACTCATACACTCACACTCACACTCACACTCACACTCACACACTTACACACTCACACACTTACACACTCACAGGCAACACACACATGCAACACACTCATACACGTGCATGCACGTTACTAGTTAGAACAACATTAAGCCCCATTTTGCCTCACCTTTGAGAAATGGCACTTGTGTGTTAATCGTGTGAGGTATGAACATTTTGAAAAGATCTAACCAATGGCTTTTATTCTCAGACCAATGTCAAGTCCTTGAAGGCAGCTTTAAGCAAGGAACCAATGGACACCAGCCTGATGCCGTTTGGATGTATGCAGAGAGAACGCCTCCTCAAGGCCAGGTCACTGCTCCAGAAGATAAGGTAAGTTTGTAAGGCCGTCAATAGTATTTGAAGTGTTTCTCCTCTCCGTGATCAGTGTAATATAAACCAGCAAAATATAATGGTATAGTGACTTAATCAGGAAGTCTTCTTCCAGTAAGCTCTGATTGTTGTCGGAGTCAACTAAAACATGAGGTGACCAGGCTTGGTTTGTTTATTTGTTTGTTTGTTGTTTCATCTGAACTCAGCAATATTCAAGCTATATTAGGGCGGTATGTAAATAATCCAGTCTGCACCAGACAATCCAATGATTGACGTCATGAGCATCGATCTATGCCATTGTGACCAAGACAGCGAGCCTGACCACATGTCCAGTTAGTCACCTCTTACGACAAGCATGGGTTGCTGAAGACCTATCCTACCATGGATTGTCATGTGTCTCAGGCTGGTGACAAGACTAGTTACATGTCATCATGCTGCTGTGTTGTGGTTTGCTCGGTCCAGACTCAATTATTTACCGGAGTTGCTGGAATATTGTTGACTACTGTGTTACTGTTTAACGACACCTACTGACATCACTTAGGGGCCATTTGATATTTGGGAGTGGGGTGGTTGGGTGGGGTTGGGGAAATGGGTCTATTACTCACAAAGCTGGAAAATATAGTTTGACTTCAGGTTTGACAAAAACAAGGAAATAATTGTTCACTTGACCCTGTGTTGTGGTCCCCCCCAAATTGTTTGGAGTTCCTTTAGAATTCAACACCACCACAACTTCTTTGGGGACGAACTCTGACTAGTCACATGTCACGGAGACAAGCAAGAAGTTTTTGTGAGAATCCATCTGACTGGGACCCAAGACATTTGGGTTGTTAGCCCAATAAGTAAACGAACAGAGCTATGTCCACACTGTTAAACTGAGTGCATGTGTAAGGCTAATAGGCCAAGACCCAGATTGTGGGAATATGGCATGAACTAAAAATGTCTCCAGGCAATATTTTATAATTCATTAAAACCTGTACCCACCCACTTTCTAACTGCTGATGTTGTGAAGCCCCTGATCTTCTGTTTCAGTGTGCTTGTGGACGAAGTGTCTGATTATCGGGCGATCAATAGGTCAGAAGACCAAACTGTGGAGAAGAAGGAGAAGTACCAGGCTAACTGTGAAGAAGTAATGTTCCAATGTGTTGTAACTTTGTTTCCATGCTACCATGAGTACATGCTGATAAAATCAATTTTTAAACTTATGCTATCTCACACTATGCAGTTCTCCCTTTTTCTTAAAATCCTTCTGTGGAAACGTGCTTGGAAAAATTTTCCTTGGCCCCGTTCCACAAAGCGATCTTAGTGCTACATTGATCGTAAGCCTATGATAAAGTATGGGCGAACAGATTCCAGCTTATACAAATGTTGACCCAAACACATCCCAGAATCACCATGGTTACCACCCAAACAAATGTGTCATGCACTGTAACCCATGCATAGCAACCTACACATGATCACATGACTACCCCTACCACATCATTCCCTTTCTCATCGCAACACAGAGAGAGGTGTTTTTGGAATATTAGCGAATACATTTTTGTTGTTTAATTTGTGGTAGGCTACTTCCTTATTGATTATAACACCCACGATACTAATGAAGAAGACGGGAACAGACTAAGTTCAATGCCTGGCCTGCTTAACTTGTAGACATACGGACCCTCAGGACCATTGCTGTGACTGCCGTGGCCTTTGTTCATGTTCCCACCTCTTGGAGGAAGCCTTTCCTAGTTACCATATTCCATAAGCATAATATTGAATGGCAGTCTAAGTCTAAGGACGCAGAACATGGGCCTTCCTCAATCGTGTTCCCAAGTTGGCTGTCTCTTCCACTATAAGCTTTCCACCACGTGCTAGGCAAGAACATAGAGTGGTTTGCCTGCCCTTGTGCTCTTGCGATCATCGCCGCACTACAAACTTTGTGCAGCCATGAAAGCAAAGGATACCATTCTGGGCAAGGATACATCATTCAGTGCAGGGATGTTTTGCATTTCACGTGTCAGGATTTTTCTCTGGGTTGGAATCAACACAGACAGACCTAATGCGAGGCGGTCAGCACTCTTTACCTACTGTCGAAGATGTGACAGTGAGTAGATCAACATTGATTTATACATCAAAGTGAATTATCGCGAACTTTCAGTTTGACCTCGTACGTGACAGTGTTTCACAATGCAGAGTTTCGGAAATATTACCTCACTTCTGCAGGATCGACCCTGCTTTGTTGTTCATTTGACTGGTTCAAATTTCATTTCATTTCATGTTTGTAGTCTATGCAGGGTAGGGTATCAGTGCCCCACTGTCCAGCCATGGTATAAATGCATAGTGTGAGATAGAAGTTTAAAACTTTGTAAATTTTACATTAAATTGTATATTTATGTACTTATCCTATCTTACAAGCCATATGCCCCCCTGACCATCCCGGCATCCTCTAGCCTGTTAGCTGTGAGAGAATGTTGTGGCAGGGGTAGTCATTTGATCATGTCATGTAGATCGCTATGCACAGGATTGTTTGGGTAGTAAAAGTGGAATGTGTTGGATGAAATATTTTTAAAATCTGGAGGCTTTGTTCAAGCACAATTCCACAGAAGGATCGAAGGAAGAAATGGATGGATATTTCACATGCATGACAATAGTTGTCATAGGTGTCCCTTAACCTAAGACTTGCCCTTCTTATATTTCTTGGCTTGTCAGCTCTATAAACATTAATAGACAAGGAGAACACAGACTTTGTGTACACCTCAGATAAGTATCATCCCAAACATATCATATATAACATTTGACCCTGTCTAAAAGGCATTTTGTATTCAGAGCATTCTGCCATGGGTGACGTGCCAGTTTAAACTTATCAGAAGGGTACACAAAGTATGTGATCTAGGGTACCAGTTATCAGACTTCCATTGTTGTAGGAGCCTCCTAGGTGTAGGTGAGTTAGATGCTGACTTGGTGTGCTGGCAATTACCGGTAAGTGCCTCACTCTGAGTGTGTGGGATTTGAAACCTCAGATGGGACACCACCCAATACAATTCTAGAATTTGCGTGTGAGGTATTGTATAAGTATATAAATGTACAATTTATTGGAAAATTTCGAATTTTGCTTTCTACTAAGAAAGTGTAATCCAAATATAACATGTTACTATGCACATGCTCATGATTTTCACAAAAGTGCAAATAAATGTCTGCTTCACTTAGGGCGTCCCTCCCACATCAATTGACATGCTGTGATATTACTGAAATACTGTTTGAAGAGGCATTAAACCCAAACCACTCACTCACTAATTATCATTGCAGATAGCTAAGCTCAGCAGTGAGTACTACCAAGTCATACCACAGGTTGGTTTTGCTTACGAGAAGATTAGGCCACTGGACCAGCTCCATGATCTGAAGAAACAGATCCGTCTGGTCTCCAATCTCCTGGACTATGAAGTGGCCAGCAGGATGCTCCTGGGCGCCATGTATAGAGAGAAAGGTCAGGGTCATCATATGACAAGGGGGCACGGGTAACCCAGTTGTCTAAGGCACCGCAATTCGCTGTGCAGAGTTGTGTCCTTTGGGCACACCAGAAACCTATGATTGTGGGTTCAAATCCCGGTTCACCCAGATTATGTTTCTAGGTTTGTCACACCATACCTGTGCTCATGGGTTTCTCCGAAGCGGTGAACGTCCGAGACCTGCATCACTTAGGGCTTTCCTCCCACATTGAGCTGACACGCCGCGATATAACTGGAATACTGTTAAAAATGGAGTTAAACCCAATTCACTCATTCACTCATCATATGACAATGTCTGTACTGTTCTCCATAGGCTCTTAGTTTTTTTGTATGTGTATTTCATACCTAGCTTCAGAGAAAGTGGAAAAAATGAAGCTGCATTTGGAGAAAGCAAAAATAAGTTTTCTGTTGTATGTGTAAGATTATTATAAAGACTAAATTTTGAACTTTGATTTTGGTCTTGTAATATAGGAAGTGGAACCTAACCGTGAATTATGATCAATCACCTTTCGAAATACATGCGATGATGCTGTGCGTTAAGAAATAAAACATAGTCTAGGGTGCACTTCAGTTGGTGATGTCTGTTGTTCCAGAAGTGAACCCTCTAGACTATGTGTATCAGTCTGTGGGATGCAGGTTACAGCTGTTGTCTGAAGACGTTGTGGAGTCGCAGTACATCCTCCGCTACATCAACAACTCAGGTAAGGAGTGATTGCTGTTACTGTCACCATGTCCTTTATATAAGTCTCTGACATTTCAAAAGCTTATTTAGCTGCCCCCTGAAATTACTATACAGGGTGAAAAAATTGTTTGCAATGATTTATGATGGACTCAAAATATGTAATAGGTGTGCAAATGGCAAGGTCACTTTTTTATGAAGGTAGGAAAAAGCCTAGTACTTAATGTGATAGCTAGTAGATAAACATGGACTTGAGTACCCATGTACCATGTTTTCAAGTGATGTGATTTAATTATGTTATTAAGGAAGGTGAAGGCATGGGAATCTATGATTAAAAGTAATACTCCAATGCTCCGAAAGTGACGTCATTAAACCAGAAGTGCTTGTAACTTGTTATTAGGGTAGCTAGAGCTTGCTAAGATATGGGATCAATGGTAAACATAGATATTGGTGAGGTCAGCTATGATCTGATTTGGAAAGTCAGAACGGTTCTTTTTATACGTTTCTGGTGCAAATGTTTTTTGGCAGGAATAATTAACACAAATTAATTGACGTTTTTGTATTTTCCACAAAACAAACTATTAATTTTTTTCACCACTGCCAATGAACTGTTGATATTGGGCATATTTCTGAACAAACTCTTCATTTAAAACTAAATCTTTGACGGGTAGGTGACATGTGACTAATCAGGAGTTTATCTAGGAGTAATATATTACCCATAAGTGTGGACAGATCGAGTGTGATGCTCTTCTAAGCATAGAATATGATGTCATTGTTAATGATGTCGGAAATTGAGTATAGTATTACGTCTTCTGAACAATAGTTTGACGTCTGTGAAGTGTCCCTGTAGGGTTGACATTTCAAAGATTTTTATTCATTTTCTCTGTTGCATTGACAAGGAGTTATATATAGAAGAACCTACTTGGTACTCGAAAATTACAGATCAAGTGTCGTTGTGAGTGAATGCTGAAGTGGCTTACACCATTCATTTACTTGTGAAAGATACTCTGTAGTTGCTCATAGATCATTGGCTATTCTCTAAGTCGTCATCCAATGTTCAGTGGTGTATATTCACTGTTGCCAGTGGACTACGCAGAGGTCGAGGCCATCTACAGAGTTGCGGTTCCAGGGGAACAGGAAAGGATGGATAAGAAGAATTTTGGCAATCATCGACTTCTCTGGCATGGCACCGGCGTCGCCAACCTCATCAGCATTCTCCACAGGGGTCTTGTAATTGCACCCCCGGATGCACCCATCACAGGGCACCTGTATGGCAAGGTTAGTGGTGGGAAGCTACCGGGTATTAGGGGACGCGTAACTCGGGTACTCGGGTCGGGTGGGTCCTGAGTACGACCCTCGTACCCACAGGACTGATATTGTTTAATGACAATAGTAATATAACTCCATGGCTAAAACACAAGTTGGTAATGTGGCTGTTAATCTTCCAGCTCCTCACAGACGGCTTGTGTTGTATACTCCCCGGGAGTAATAATGTAGCGATTTAAGCACGCGTTACGGCAAGGATTTGGTGCATTATTGAATATGCACATTATTATATTATCACAGCAGCCTGTAACTAATCACAATCCAGTGACTGACATCAGGAGCAACAATGACACATTTGAGATTCAACGACATGGAATCATCCAAGTCAACAAGGCTGACCTTCTGATCCATGTAGTCCCCACGTACAACTACCTAGGCTGTTTGGGACCTATTGTCTTACCCAGAACAGGAATTGTGACATAGTATGTAGCCTTTGCTATTGCCTTGCAGGGTATCTACTTCTCTGACACATTTGAAAAGAGTGCGGGATATTGCAGCAGTGACGGCAAGACACTCTTCATGCTGTTGGCTGAGGTAGGAGACAAGACTTACATCACGTTACTGCAGCGTGTCTTTAACTAACCTGAAATGTCATCACTGTTAAGGGTACCAAGTATTCCTTTGTTTTTCAGATTTAGAAATAATTCGAGGACTTTTGTGTTTAGAGTAGATTTCTGGAATTTTCCTCATGATTTTTGGTGTTCATGTGGAAGGGATTGTATAGAAGCTTGTAGCATCAATTTTACCGAAGTAGTGAATGTCAGACCTGCATCGAGACATCACTACATCATGGTTGGTAGGAAATTATGATGATCAGGACCCACCATTTGATATTCTTTCGGCTTGTGTGTGCTGGGATTTTATGTATTTATTTGTATATTTTTTCAGCTACATCTACAAAACCAGATACGTTTTGTTTAAATTTATGACACTAAATATATTGTTTGAAAAAAAGCGTCTTGAAGTAATGTATTTTTTGTGGCGTACAAATTCTTCTTTTTCCAACAATCAGAAGCATAACTATTTTTTTAGGCATTTTTCAAGTCAATTTTTCTTTTTGGATAAAATCCTAATCCGCCCCCCAACCCCCCAAATATCAAACGGTCCGTCTCTTATGTCTTTCTTTCAACAATCATATATTCCCAATTCTTTCTTGTACAGGTGTCACTTGGCAACCAAAAGGTAATTGTCAATGGGTATTCAGAAAACCTTGATAAACGACAGAAAGGATTTGACAGTGTCCACACCATTGGAAAGTCGAGGCCAGATGGAAAGCATGATGTCTGTTTACCAACAGGTATGTATTACACCTGACTGTGTTGTGGATCCCTGCATCTGTATATCTGTATATGTATAGGGGTGCAATGATTCACTGAACATTAGGTGCATCACGTGGCTCGGCCACAGATTGAGTATCGTCTTCGGAGGTCATGTACCAAAACTAAATGATACAATGAGTCAATAAATCAGGGAATATCAGGGAATATCTATGATCAGGGACTACCAGGAAATATCTAAAATCAGTGACTATCAGGGAATATCTATGATCAGGGAATATCAGGAAATATCTAAAATCAGGGAATAGCAGAGAATATCTATAATCAGGGAATATCTACGATCAGGGAATAGCAGGGAATATCTAAAATCAGGGAATAGCAGGGAATATCTATAATCAGGGAATATCTATGATCAGGGAATAGCAGGGAATATCTATAATCAGGGAATATCAGGGAATATCTATGATCAGGGAATAGCAGGGAATATCTAAAATCAGGGAATAGCAGGGAATATCTATAATCAGGGAATATCTATAATCAGGGAATATCTATGATCAGGGAATAGCAGGGAATATCTATAATCAGGGAATATCAGGGAATATCTATGATCAGTGAATAGCAGGGAATATCTTAAATCAGGGAATAGCAGGGAATATCTATAATCAGGGAATATCTATAATCAGGGAATATCTATGATCAGGGAATAGCAGGGAATATCTATAATCAGGGAATATCAGGGAATATCTATGATCAGGGAATAGCAGGGAATATCTAAAATCAGGGAATAGCAGGGAATATCAGGCAATGTGTGGGAACATGTATAATCAGGGAATGCTATGGAATATGTTTAATCAAGGAATATGTGGAAATATGTGGGAATATGTAGGAACAACATGTGTAATGAGGTAATCTGTGGGAATATGTGGGAACATGTATCATAAGGGAATTTGAGGGAATATGTTTAATCAGGGAATATGTGGCAGGGAATATCAGGGAAAATGGCAGAATATGTGGGAACATGTATAATCAGGGAATACCAGAGAATATTTATGATCGGGGAATATCAGGGAATAATTATAATCAGGGAATATCAGGGAATATTTATGATCAGGGATTATCAGGGAATAATTATAATCAGGGAATATCAGGGAATATTTATGATCAGGGATTATCAGGGAATAATTATAATCAGGGAATATCAGGGAATATTTATGATCAGGGATTATCAGGGAATAATTATAATCAGGGAATATCAGGAAACATACATAATTATGGAACATGTAGCAACATGTACAATCATTGAATATCAGGGAATATGTATTATCAGATAATGTGTGTAATCAGGGAATATCAGGGAATATGTATTATCAGATAATGTGTGTAATCAGGGAATATTAGGGAATATGTATTATCAGATAATGTGTGTAATCAGGGAATATCAGGGAATATGTATTATCAGATAATGTGTGTAATCAGGGAATATCAGGGAATATGTATTATCAGATAATGTGTATAATCAGGGAATATGTATTATGTGTTAATTTAGGGAACACTTAAAATAAACAATTTTGATATTGACATCACAATACTGGTGAAAGGGGTACTTTGCATTATTCTAGAAACAAATTTCCAACAAAAGTTAATTTCTAACTTAAATATGGCCGTCATATTGAAAATATTTATGCACCTGGAAAAGTATTAATTCTATTGAAAATTTCATAGAAAATGCTTGTTCCCCAATGTTTCTTGTATGGTGATATAAGTGATAATAAATAGTGTTACTGGTGTTTCTTAATGTTTCATAGAAAATGCTTGTTCCCCAATGTTTCTTGTATGGTGATATAAGTGATAATAAATAGTGTTACTGGTGTTTCTTAATGTTTCAGGGTGCGTGATGCCACTTGGTGAGAAGAAGTATGAATATCACTACAACAACGAGTACGTCAGTAATTACCATAATGAATTTGTGGTGTACGATGAGGGCCAGGCATGCTTGCGCTACCTGATTCAGTGGAGAAGGAAGTAGCTCCCCATTGCACAACATTTCATTATGAGGGTCTGGAGATGTGTTTCCGTGACTAAATAGCTTGTTTTGATAGATAATAGGAGACATGATATCAAGGTCCTGTTCATCGTAAGTCTACGACACTGATGATCGTAAGTCTACATCACTATGATCATCTAAGTCCACGACTCTTCATTCATCATAAGTCTATATAACACTACTATCATTGTAAGTCTATAACATTACGATCATCATAAGTCTATGACACTACATTCATTGTACATCTATGACACTACGATCGTCGTAGGTCTATAACACAATGATCATCGTAAATCATGAGACTGCGATCATCATTCAATTTTAGGACTGTCATCACTATAAGCATGTAATGCTTTGACCACCATACCTATATAAAACGTCCAAAACTCTATAACACCAAAAACCATTGTAAGCCAATATGACTATGAACATAAAAACTTCATTGACCACTTTAAGCCTGTAACACCATGTGAAAAAAGCATAGAACACAAAAGTCTATAGCACTACGATGGTCATAAGTCTGTGTTATAACAGGAGCCACAACAATCATATGTATAAGGGCATCATAAAGTTGTTAGAATATTTGTATCAGGACTTTTACTATGATGCCTAAGCAGCTTTGTTCTTTGAGAAATCATTTTTGATGAAACATATTAATCAAGTTTCATATATGTTGGTCTGTGGTGTGAATGCTTGGGAAAATGTGTCTATTCATTATAGAAATGTTTTGCTTGTTTATATTGGTTTGGGGTTATGCAAATTGTGAGCTTGAGGTTCTTTTCAGCAACATTTGTTTGCGTGTGTGATCATTTACTATTTTGATGTGTTGATTGTTTTCTGTTTCCAATTTCTGCTTTATTAATATATGACTTGGTTTTGTGAAAACTTTCCAGATTTCACATATTTTGGGAACATTTTATCTCCTCAGTGACAATTGACCAATGAATATATATCAAAGAGGAAGACACTTAATTTGTTGTTTTACAGATTTTGAGTATTTCAATGTTCAAGAGGCAAAATTATGCAAATCTTGTTAAAGTTGATTTGAAGATAATTTCCTGCAAAAATACTCTAGAAAAAAATATCAAGTAAGGCAATGTTCAATAGCCATATTCACAAATCAATTACCGGGTAACATATTTGTGTGTGTTTCCGTCTTGCATAACTTATCTGTAAAACAAGAAAATGAATTGATACAGGCTAAGAAAGATTAGAAATTTGTTTGGCAGCATTCTCATCTGTTGGCACATGGTTAAAAGTTATGAAGTGTATGTTTTGTAGGAATAGTGTTCGTTATTAGCAGCACTTTGTAAGTGTTGTATAAACTGAATATCACAGTGACACCATGACATTGTCATGACTATCACAATACACCTGGATTGCTTGTATGAACTGAGGAATAAGAGACAGCAATGTGATATAAGGGCATGACATGTGGAGAAATAAGAGACACCCATGTGGTATGAGGGCATGACATGTGGAGGAATAACAGACACCCATGTGGTATGAGGGCATGACATGTGGAGGAATAAGAGACACCCATGTGGTATGAGGGCATGACATGTGGAGGAATAACAGACACCCATGTGGTATGAGGACATGACACATGGAGTAATAAGAGACACCCATGTGGTATGAGGTCTTGACACACGGAGTAATAAGAGACACCCATGTGGTATAAGGACATGACACGTGGAGGAATAAAAACACCCATCTGGTATAAGGACATGACACGTGGAGGAATAAAAACACCCATGTGGTATGAGGTCTTAACACATGGAGGAATAAGAGACACCTATGTGGTCCTTAAAGCAATCTTAGCTCTACAGTCTTACATGGCAGAACAATAAGACAGTAAGATGATCATGTTGAACATGACCCAGGACACTGCACCTGACTCTGTGGAGGTGGAGGGGCAAGTGAGTGCTACTCTCTATCTACTCTCTATCTACTCATGTAAAGAGGAGAGGGAGACAAAGCTTCCCACATGAAGTCAGCCCAAACCCTAGGTTGTCTGTTTAGTTAGAGCAATCATTAACTGCAAGATTGATCACAGTTACAAAATTTGAGTGTGTTTTGAATGACTTGTATAAGCTTGCTAGGAATGACAGCAGACCTGAGCTAAGTCCCCTTAAAGAATTTTATTTAGTAGTGGTATGTCTATTCAATGATGCATCATTTCAGCGGCCATATTTGTGGTCTTAGAATGTTGACTATGCCCATCATGATGAAGACTATGCATTTTCTAATGTCAGAAGATCCTGTGGTATGATTGTGTTTGGTGTATGTATGTTAGGCCTTGACAGGATAATGAGAATTGGTATCTGATCATTGTGATAGGGAGTGTCTGCCATTTGTACATACATGTACTTAATGTGTGACGAGCAAGATTCTGTTCATGCATTAAATATCCCATGTTGTTGCATGGAGTTATTGTAGACTTTATTGAAACATCAATGCTCTGGCTGATATTTAAGTTGTCCCAAGTGGGATCCTCCAGAGTCCTAAAGGGCAGTTGTTCCAAGTCAGACAGGTTTTAGCGTTTAGTCAGTCATTATTTTTTTCAGCGTAGTGAGTGCTTAAAGCAAGTGAAAAGTGGACAAACTGCCAAGAACCCTCTTAGATATCAGACACACATTATTTACTATCAACCATAATCACATGTCTTTTTTGTGTAGAAGTGTCTATTTAGATGGCCATTTCCTGTCAAATTTGATAACCTTTTACTTTGTGAAAGTTGAATTGCATGGTTTGGGTTATATTCTGGAAAATAGACATCAATGTGCTGTTGGTTATCATAATGGTAGGTCCCTGTTCTAACAACAGCAGTATCCTCATGATGTATGGTATTTTTTCACTTTGAAGCCCATTTCTGGTGTCCCTCGCCGTGATATTGCTGGAATATTGCTCAAAGCAGCATAAAGCCATACTCACTCACTCACTTTGGTAACAGGGTACCAAAGAAGCTGACCAAAGAAGCTATATACCTACATTGAACAAGTCCATTGTGATGACTCTATTCAGGACAGATTGGGAGTGTCTCATTCATTGAAGTCGAGCAACTGTTAAGGTAAAAGAAAAAAATAGTTTCGGCTCTGGGACCAATCAAGTGCTTTGTTAGGTTACAGCAGGATGCATTTCACTATGTCTACAACTTGATGTGCAGCAGCTGCCTGTGACTGATATTACAATATTAAGACTTAAACGTAATATTGTTAACTGCTCAATCCTCACCCCAGTTGGATGACACACAGCCTACTCCAGCATAACACACAACCTGCTCAAACCTACAGGGCATAACACATAACTTGTTCCAACCCTTAGGCAGATCACACAACTTGTTCCAACCCACAGGCATAACACATAACATGCTCCATAATCTTGACACATGACCCGCTATGCTCCGCAATCATTACACATGACCCACTTTGCTTCCCACAATGCTCCTAAAGCATAACACTTTTCACATGCTTTGGACACATAAACTCCAACATGAACAGTCTCTTTCTGATATGTTCACAAATGAAATCTTAGGGTAACATACTGTTTAAGTATGTTTATGATTATTTTAGGTACAATGTATAACAAATAAAGTGGTTTGTGTTTGACATGCATGGTCATGCAATTTCAAGTAAAGGGATTCTCCAAAGCTAACACACTTGTAAGTGATCACTACACATGACAAACTAAAAATTTATATATCATGGACTTATCTTCAGTGATGATTGTTACATTACTTTTTTCACAAACTATTTCTTGTTGAATTATATTATTTTTCATGTATTTTCCATGCAAGCCTTTATCTGCTTGATAAGCCTTTTATACATTTTACAGTTGTTGTGATGGTTATCGACTTATTGCCATTTGACAAGGCTGAGTTTGTTTGCAAGAAAGGTGCGTGAATATTATTTTGTTTCATCAGCTTTGCCTTACCTTGTGATGCTCAACAAAATAAACAAAATAATTACTGGTTGGCGATTAAGTTCATTCAATGACTGATTGGTGCATATTTTGTTCACCAATAGGATGTTGCCATCTGCTTTTCTCCACTGGTATGTGTTTGTTTAACGAAAGGAACTGTGTGCCATCATGGAAAACTTATATTGAGCCTTCAGTGAAAGAGAGAGGTAAATGGTGTCATGAATGAAAATATTTCAAATAGTTTTACCTGGTTACCAGAGCTTACATTGCCTATTAATGTAGCCTGGCTGCATATTGTTTGTGTGCAAGAAACAGAAGACACAGTAAGACATCCTTCATAAATTGCATTCAGAGATTTAGGATTCAGTTAACCTTTGAGATGGGTTAATCTTAGCAGGAGTAACACCACTCTACAGCATATTGTCTTGCACATGCAATAATATTTTACATTTATGAAGGTTTGATTATTTGTTTATTGCTTCGTTACATAATGACAAAAGTCTTCATATGAAATCCTTGTACCAAAATATCTAAATTCAATGTGACATCAATTCTGTACATGCAAAAATATTTATTTCGAATCTTAAATGGATGTCAGGTTTGCCCAGCCATGAAAGCCTTTGAATATCATATACTTGTTCCACTGTGATTTATAAACAAATCGTTTTAACAAGGGTTTTTTCCTTCAAGTCAATGTATAAGATGAATTTCCTTAAATCTCTGTGGTTGTGCCAAGTGGAGATGTTGCTTTATTTACAGTAGTTTTCATCCTGCACACTTCAGATGCACAAGTGAAGTTGAGTTTACACATATTTCTTACTTCGATCACCTCAACTAGAATTAAACTCACATATTAAAAGCGTGACTTCCATGTAAGACTAATCTATTGAATATAAATGATATTTATTCAGAAATTCTTGTGTGCATTTTCAACACATATTCTTTTATACATTCTATTTAACAGAGGACTCACTGCCATAGATTGTTTGATACTGATTTTATTCAATAACTTTAGTGCTTGTTCTAAGGTTCTTTTGACAAAAACCAAGTGACGCATTCAATGAAAAGCTGAAAACAGCATTTAGAAATTCAGGTCCTTGATGAACATTAGGCATACATTTTGACTTTATTAGGTAATTGTCTTCAAATATGTTTGTTGTGTCCTAATCTGAATTCAGTAAAGTATCACCTGAACATTTTGTCTTAACACATTTTCAGTTGTTTTATTTACAGCTGACACTGTGTAGGTAAATATGTGAGACTTTTGATGTGAAGAAAACGTTGAGACTTATACTTTGCCTAATGTTAGCAGTAGTACCTTGAACCATAAATCAATTTGCTGAATAAATACTAGATGTTTGCCTCCATGTGTTGTTTTTAGATCACCCTATGTCAGCTAATGTTTTAATACATTGTCCATACTCTGTATTTCTGTAGTTTTGCATTTTTACATCCCTTTTGAAATTATGAATTGTTCCTGGAAGCAACTTTGTCTGAATGATCATGTCAATAGAGTCTGTAATATGTTATGTTTGTCTCTACAAAAGCGTAGAGTTATCACTTTCAACATCGTTGTCAGGATGGCCGAGCGGTCTAAGGCGCCAGACTCAAGGTATTGCATCAGACCTTCTCCCATAGTGGAGATACGGGTGTTCTGGTCCACGAATGTGGGCGTGGGTTCAAATCCCACTTCTGACACACTTTTTTTTCTCCCTTCAAACATGGCCTTTCCTAAAGCATATTGCCTTCATTTGGATAATAGCAGACATGTGCGAGTCCTGGTATCATTTTGGAAGACTGGTACGTAAAAATGTGATTAATGGTACAAACATGCAAATGAAACGATATTCGTTCTTCATAAATTGGTGATTGATACAAAAAGTTGTCCCGCGAGCCGGATTTGAACCAGCGACCTAAGGATTGCCAATTACAGCCTTGCCACTACAGTCCTCCGCTCTACCAACTGAGCTATCACGGGTGCTGACATTTGAGTTCGTTTTAATAGCTAGGCTGATTTTCTCTCAAATCAATAGGACTTTCCTCGCTTGACTGCTCACCTACTTCCTCCTGGGCGACAGTGTGTTATGGGCAGCAACCTGCTTAATATTATTGAAGGTTCATTTTAATCTCACATACAAATATGTCTCCTTACACCAATCTCCAGTCGGACAAGTTGAAATATCCAGCGGTCAGTATGGTATCTTTTAACAGAGAGCCTAATCCTTAAAATCATGCTCCACCACGTGAAGACAACCTGAACGTGCAACACTGTTATTTGTTTGAAACGTGTGAAGACCATATGGCAAGCCCAAACCTCGTGACAATCGAGAGTTGCATGGAGAGTCAATCCATCACTCCACTTACGTTGAAACGGAAAGGCGTGAAATTGACAAGAACACAGATTGAATGATGAAATGAGTAGCTCTGAAACTATCCCAAATGCATGCAGGGTTGTAGGTAGAATCAACATGACTGAAAAACGGCAACATGTTTGTCCATGGTTTGTCTCTACAAAAGCGTAGAGTTATCACTTTCAACATCGTTGTCAGGATGGCCGAGCGGTCTAAGGCGCCAGACTCAAGGTATTGCATCAGACCTTCTCCCATAGTGGAGATACGGGTGTTCTGGTCCACGAATGTGGGCGTGGGTTCAAATCCCACTTCTGACACACTTTTTTTTCTCCCTTCAAACATGGCCTTTCCTAAAGCATATTGCCTTGATTTGGATAATAGCAGACATGTGCGAGTCCTGGTATCATTTTGGAAGACTGGTACGTAAAAATGTGATTAATGGTACAAAGATGCAAATGAAACGATGTTCGTTCTTCATAAATTGGTGATTGATACAAAAAGTTGTCCCGCGAGCCGGATTTGAACCAGCGACCTAAGGATTGCCAATTTCAGCCTTGCCACTACAGTCCTCCGCTCTACCAACTGAGCTATCACGGGTGCTGACATTAGAGTTCGTTTTAATAGCTAGGCTGATTTTCTCTCAAATCAATAGGACTTTCCTCGCTTGACTGCTCACCTACTTCCTCCTGGGCGACAGTGTGTTATGGGCAGCAACCTGCTTAATATTATTGAAGGTTCATTTTAATCTCACATACAAATATGTCTCCTTACACCAATCTCCAGTCGGACAAGTTGAAATATCCAGCGGTCAGTATGGTATCTTTTAACAGAGAGCCTAATCCTTAAAATCATGCTCCACCACGTGAAGACAACCTGAACGTGCAACACTGTTATTTGTTTGAAACGTGTGAAGACCATATGGCAAGCCCAAACCTCGTGACAATCGAGAGTTGCATGGAGAGTCAATCCATCACATCACTTACGTTGAAACGGAAAGGAGTGAAATTGACAAGAACAAAGATTGAATGATGAAATGAGTAGCTCTGAAACTATCCCAAATGCATGCAGGGTTGTAGGTAGAATCAACATGACTGAAAAACGGCAACATGTTTGTCCATGGTTTGTCTCTACAAAAGCGTAGAGTTATCACTTTCAACATCGTTGTCAGGATGGCCGAGCGGTCTAAGGCGCCAGACGCAAGGTATTGCATCAGACCTTCTCCCATAGTGGAGATACGGGTGTTCTGGTCCACGAATGTGGGCGTGGGTTCAAATCCCACTTCTGACACACTTTTTTTTCTCCCTTCAAACATGGCCTTTCCTAAAGCATATTGCCTTCATTTGGATAATAGCAGACATGTGCGAGTCCTGGTATCATTTTGGAAGACTGGTACGTAAAAATGTGATTAATGGTACTAAGATGCAAATGAAACAATGTTCGTTCTTCATAAATTGGTGATTGATACAAAAAGTTGTCCCGCGAGCCGGATTTGAACCAGCGACCTAAGGATTGCCAATTACAGCCTTGCCACTACAGTCCTCCGCTCTACCAACTGAGCTATCACGGGTGCTGACATTTGAGTTCGTTTTAATAGCTAGGCTGATTTTCTCTCAAATCAATAGGACTTTCCTCGCTTGACTGCTCACCTACTTCCTCCTGGGCGACAGTGTGTTATGGGCAGCAACCTGCTTAATAATATTGAAGGTTCATTTTAATCTCACATACAAATATGTCTCCTTACACCAATCTCCAGTCGGACAAGTTGAAATATCCAGCGGTCAGTATGGTATCTTTTAACAGAGAGCCTAATCCTTAAAATCATGCTCCACCACGTGAAGACAACCTGAACGTGCAACACTGTTATTTGTTTGAAACGTGTGAAGACCATATGGCAAGCCCAAACCTCGTGACAATCGAGAGTTGCATGGAGAGTCAATCCATCACATCACTTACGTTGAAACGGAAAGGAGTGAAATTGACAAGAACAAAGATTGAATGATGAAATGAGTAGCTCTGAAACTATCCCAAATGCATGCAGGGTTGTAGGTAGAATCAACATGACTGAAAAACGGCAACATGTTTGTCCATGGTTTGTCTCTACAAAAGCGTAGAGTTATCACTTTCAACATCGTTGTCAGGATGGCCGAGCGGTCTAAGGCGCCAGACTCAAGGTATTGCATCAGACCTTCTCCCATAGTGGAGATACGGGTGTTCTGGTCCACGAATGTGGGCGTGGGTTCAAATCCCACTTCTGACACACTTTTTTTTCTCCCTTCAAACATGGCCTTTCCTAAAGCATATTGCCTTCATTTGGATAATAGCAGACATGTGCGAGTCCTGGTATCATTTTGGAAGACTGGTACGTAAAAATGTGATTAATGGTACAAACATGCAAATGAAACGATGTTCGTTCTTCATAAATTGGTGATTGATACAAAAAGTTGTCCCGCGAGCCGGATTTGAACCAGCGACCTAAGGATTGCCAATTACAGCCTTGCCACTACAGTCCTCCGCTCTACCAACTGAGCTATCACGGGTGCTGACATTAGAGTTCGTTTTAATAGCTAGGCTGATTTTCTCTCAAATCAATAGGACTTTCCTCGCTTGACTGCTCACCTACTTCCTCCTGGGCGACAGTGTGTTATGGGCAGCAACCTGCTTAATATTATTGAAGGTTCATTTTAATCTCACATACAAATATGTCTCCTTACACCAATCTCCAGTCGGACAAGTTGAAATATCCAGCGGTCAGTATGGTATCTTTTAACAGAGAGCCTAATCCTTAAAATCATGCTCCACCACGTGAAGACAACCTGAACGTGCAACACTGTTATTTGTTTGAAACGTGTGAAGACCATATGGCAAGCCCAAACCTCGTGACAATCGAGAGTTGCATGGAGAGTCAATCCATCACTCAACTTACGTTGAAACGGAAAGGCGTGAAATTGACAAGAACACAGATTGAATGATGAAATGAGTAGCTCTGAAACTATCCCAAATGCATGCAGGGTTGTAGGTAGAATCAACATGACTGAAAAACGGCAACATGTTTGTCCATGGTTTGTCTCTACAAAAGCGTAGAGTTATCACTTTCAACATCGTTGTCAGGATGGCCGAGCGGTCTAAGGCGCCAGACTCAAGGTATTGCATCAGACCTTGTCCCATAGTGGACATACGGGTGTTCTGGTCCACGAATGTGGGCGTGGGTTCAAATCCCACTTCTGACACACTTTTTTTTCTCCCTTCAAACATGGCCTTTCCTAAAGCATATTGCCTTCATTTGGATAATAGCAGACATGTGCGAGTCCTGGTATCATTTTGGAAGACTGGTACGTAAAAATGTGATTAATGGTACAAAGATGCAAATGAAACGATGTTCGTTCTTCATAAATTGGTGATTGATACAAAAAGTTGCCCCGCGAGCCGGATTTGAACCAGCGACCTAAGGATTGCCAATTACAGCCTTGCCACTACAGTCCTCCGCTCTACCAACTGAGCTATCACGGGTGCTGACATTAGAGTTCGTTTTAATAGCTAGGCTGATTTTCTCTCAAATCAATAGGACTTTCCTCGCTTGACTGCTCACCTACTTCCTCCTGGGCGACAGTGTGTTATGGGCAGCAACCTGCTTAATATTATTGAAGGTTCATTTTAATCTCACATACAAATATGTCTCCTTACACCAATCTCCAGTCGGACAAGTTGAAATATCCAGCGGTCAGTATGGTATCTTTTAACAGAGAGCCTAATCCTTAAAATCATGCTCCACCACGTGAAGACAACCTGAACGTGCAACACTGTTATTTGTTTGAAACGTGTGAAGACCATATGGCAAGCCCAAACCTCGTGACAATCGAGAGTTGCATGGAGAGTCAATCCATCACATCACTTACGTTGAAACGGAAAGGAGTGAAATTGACAAGAACACAGATTGAATGATGAAATGAGTAGCTCTGAACTATCCCAAATGCATGCAGGGTTGTAGGTAGAATCAACATGACTGAAAAACGGC